CGATATTTCATTTCACTATGTATATATTTATGTACATTTTAATTCTGTTCATTTTGACATCGCAACTCTCACCCTTGCTTATCGCGACACTACTCATTCATGTTTGTTTAGCGTATCTGTAATTTTGGTGATCTGTACGTCGTAGTAATAATAATGTAATCAACACTTCGTATTCACCTTCTGATTAATACATCGTTAAGGGATGTTGTTATCTAGTGACGGTTATCAGAATGAACTGTATACAAGTTTAAGGATTATATTGATGGAATACAGACTAATACAAATCATTTATACATTTGAAATGTATTCATTCTCTTTGATTATGAACATTATTTTAAACTGCTATCTTGATTCTCTTTGAAACTGCTGAATTCTTAAAGTAAACTAAATTATCTTTATATGTTTCTATGGGTTAGTTTTTAATTATTTATATGAATTTGTGAAATTGAACTCATCCATCAATGTAAATGCAACTATTCACTGTTAGTTAATCCAACTGTTATATCCGAGCGAAGATTAAATCACGAGTAACTTCTCAGACATATTAATCAACAAGTATTGTCTATATATTCTTATGGTATAACTATTCAATAATTAGACTATGTATATTTATATTCCTCTTATTATAAGCTTCATTTTGATCTCTATATTATTATTGTACGACTTACGGTTCTTAAGCTATGATCAGTTTATTGACTACTGCCTCCCACGTTCACAGCCACTTTTTGGCTTTATGGTATCCAAATGTTATTTCCTATTTTATGGTGCGTTGCAGTCTGTTTGGTTCATATATAAACTCAGTATGTCCGAAATAAATGATTCGATTCAATTCGCATAGTGTAAGCTGGTATTCGGTGTTCTGGACTCAAGTGGACGGGCTAGGCGAAAATAGGATCAATAAGGACGCTAGGCTGCTCATACCGGTCGAACGTCATCGGTTTGGCACAGTGCGAAGATTGCATAAGTCGTATTTTGATTGGTGGATAAATCACGTGGTAAAAAGCCGGACATAAAGTCATAACACCAATATGTTTGTAAATAATTTCAAGAAACATTCATTTGAGCATAAGTTTAATATGCTTAAACTCTTTTCATATCTCATGTATTAAGATTTATAAAATACATACTACTTATATTATCATTAATAATAGTGTAGTATGTGCTACTGATATCAACAGTTATAAGTAGGATATATCATTAATTAAAAGTGAAATACCTGGAGGTAGAAAGTTAAGAAGTTCAAAAAGAAAACAAAAGAGAACGAGAACAAAGAATGATTAGTGTGGAAACAAAAGAAGAATGAAGTTTGAGATGATTGATCGATATTTTGCAAATGAAGTATTTACTATATAGTTCTCAGATGTTACTATGGTGTTTTGTGATTTTGTACTCAAATATATTCGATTGTTCCCACTTGTGTTCTCGTTCACTACAATAGTACTACATTGAAAATAATACTTTATAACTAACTCAACCATTTTGCTGGATTCTCGAACTTTAGCAGTTTATTTGTATATAGTTTAGAGAACAAAATCTTCAAAAAGATATCTGATCCTCGAATAAATCTACCACGTTAGTTAGAGAAGGTTAGTTGAAATCCGGAACACGCATTCCTTCCTTCTTAGGACTCATCTGTTTGGCGTACGTGAACTCAAATCGATGTTCACCCACACACCGGAACCCAGTAACTTTCGCTCTGAACGCCAGAGCAAGACCTACTTAGCTACTAAGTTTGAAGAACCTCTGCATTGTACAAAAAGACGAATTTTGACTCGGTTTTATAAATCATCCGGTGGATGTTCGGGACTGAAATTGATCACCTACTAAACAAACGGTCTAGATATTACTAATACATCATAACCTTTTTAACATGATTTATATGATGAATAGCACTGGGATTTAAGACAAGCGTTTCGTCCTGTTTGAGATTCGTTAGAGATAGGACAATACAAGCGTTCTAGATTCCACTGTTAGTCACTATCCAGTTTTGACCTAAAATGATTGTCACTTAATGATAATATCTAGACAATTTGTTCATAATAAATATATCTTAGACGAGACTGATCAATTCCATATTAATGACAAGAAATTGAACAGTATAAATTTCTTATCATTAATATATAATTGATCTGTATAAGGCCCTCAAATGCCCTGGTATGGCCGAGAGTGGGGTGGGCCCTTCCTCCCTCTCGAAATGCTCTCACACGGCCGCGCGTATACAGCCTCTGCCAGGGAAGTCCTACTCATTGCCTTCTCGTGGCGGGGGTGTTGTTTACGAAAATGAGAGGACGAAATGCGAATGTCTGGCGCTTTAACCGGATCCCAAACCAATGGTGCACATGGGCTCCAGTATCCTGCGGGAACAAATGGCGTATGAATCAATCGTTGGTCACCGGCTACCATGGGACTGCATCTCCTCACGATGCTCCACTGCCTTGTGGATCAGATCTTTAGGTCAAAGGCTCCGGGTGTGGCCCCCTAAGAAAACCACCTGCTTCGGTTTGGGCATCCGGGCAGTATCACAGCCCACACACACACACAAATATGGTGTGGCGCATATATATTTGGTACCCTCTTGTAGTAATGTTTATGTGTTGAAATAAATAAATGAACAGTATAAAAATATTATCGACTTACTATGATTTTATACAACTTCTAGATCTACTATTCACAACAACAATATTTATTATTCATACACTGAATGATTAAATTCTAATTATAGACAAAACTATTTATACAAATGAATTAACCAAGTATCATATGATTAATGTAATACTTAATTAACAACAACATAGATCCACATAGACTATACAAGCCTATCCAATATGAATAATCAAAATGATAGATGGTTGTTATCATTTAACATATTCAATTCAATTATAATTCTCATATTCATTCATTTTAAGGTATTTCAATCTTATCAGTGATTGTGATTATCATTAGTGTGTTTAAATTCTATTCTGCATAGATACAATTTGCTTGTTTGTTTGTTTGTTTTATCAATATTTAGATTACACATGATATATTTTAATGAAGAAATTTATAAAACAGCTCATCTTTTTTTGCTTAATGTTTTTTACAGCTACGCCTGGAGTTCCCCCCCTAACCGAGGCTAGTGCCGGTCCCAAGCCCGGATAAAGGAGGAGGGTTGATCATCACGTTAGCGACCCCATCCCATAGAAAAGTGACTCACCAAAAAAAAAACGCTTTTACAATTAAGAAGAAATTTCTTTAGTTGTAGTGAGAAGTCATGACTAGAGAAGAGTATACACATGTTGGTAATGAGGTTATTACTAATCAATAGTATTGAAGAATAAATTTACTTGATATTGTTTTACTAGAATCATCTTAGTGATATTTAGGACTGCAATTGATCAGTCTATTATTGGCATATGTTCATACTGTGCGTATTGCCTCGATATAGCCTTAATTAATAAGCATAGATATTGGCTAGCAGTGGAATCCAGAGTGAACATCAACTTTGAGATGCAAGTACATCCAGCTGACGAATTCCAAATAGGATGAAACGCGCGTCAAACTGGATTTCACTGCTAGCCACTATCCATTTTTACTTATAAAGTATGGAAGAATGATTGTACAGTATTGCAAATTGACTGAAATGAAGATTGTAATGGTCTAAAAGTTGAGCATTCACAACAACACCTTGAGATTCTGCGTTCTATCCCAGGGGGTAGGAGGTTGCAATAAGTCTCATACTTAGGCAAAGCAGGTAAATGGATGTTTAACTATAGATCTTATGTGAATAATTTATTTCTTTTTTACCTGAAGACATGTATAGAGTAGACTATATTTGCAGTTTAGTTTGATGTAGGTTGTTATCAGAACATTGTGAGAGATTTAATTTGATGAATCTAGTTGTTTAGATTACTTCCTTGTAAACTTAACAAACCTTCTGATAAATCACAGCAGTACTATTGATCATTTTCTTTTCGGAAAACATAACCAAACGCTAAAAAAAGATAGTTTGTTTTTAATCTAAAAGGTTTCACACTAAAACCTTTACCTGACCAAAATTTGAGTGCTTATAATTTGTTTGTAAAGGTTTGTAATTCCTCATTATGTTAATTCAGGATAGTAACTGATCAGTGGTGAACATAACCTTATACAAATGTGATTTGATCGGCATACATATTTGTCATTAAGAGACCGATCAATTTCAATCCTGAATTAAAACAATGAAAAACGACAAAAACTTCCAAATACTTTCATATCGGTTGAGGAAACTAACGACTATCTGAGCTTAGTGCCATAATGGATAACTCTTTGGATATATGAAGATAAAGGTACTGGGTTTGGGTGTCAATGTGACTATCGGCACTCGGATCCAAGTATGCTGACCTGACGATACGCCTATTCTGATCCCATCACTGGTCGAATTCTAAATAAACTAAAACTTATTTAAGGGTGGATTATTGAAATAAATTAAAAATACTTCTACCATTGATTAGTACTTACATTCTTTTTACGAATCTTTCCGTCACCAGTACGTATATTTTCTAAAACCAATTGTTCATCATAACTTACTCCTGGAATAATTTGTTTGGTCATTAATTCACTGAATGGTGTAAATATTAATTGTCGTCCACTTGGTGGTGCTGTTAATTCAAGTCCTTGTAATTTACTTGTCAATAGTCCAGCTAAACCTCGACGTTCTGTAAATCGTGGATATAACTGTCCACCACATATTCCAACTTGACTACCGTATGGATTATCTTTACTTACTAATTCAGTTGCAAAATCCACTAGGCTATAAACAATATCATGAATAAAAGAAATAATATTACTCATTATAAGTAAGTAGTAAAATTAATTTTAACGTTATTTTGAGGAAAATATATTAAATACAATCAGAGATATTGTGATGGCTGTGAATATGCACTGAAAAGGATGAACATTATTCAAATGTCGACTTCTGAACTACTGACATCTAACCGGCAATCACTCACCACTTATTGTCAGAATCGATGAAGAAATAAGAAAAGGAAAAGTGTTGAAATACTTTGTGCTGAGAATTCTATATTATACCAATAATATAATATTGAGTAACGCCATCAATGTCTATGTAAAATACTTCGGATCAGTTGGCCAGACACTATTAGCAACAACCTACTGTGGGAAAGAACAAACCAGATCACAGCGGAGGAATAAATCAGCAAGAAGCGCTGGAAGTGGATAGGACATACATTGAGGAAAGCACCCAATTGCGTCACAAGAAAAGCCCTCACATGGAATCCTCAAGGCCAAAGGAAAAGAGGAAGACCAAAGTACACATTACGCCGGGAAATGGAAATAGACATGAGAGAAATGAACAAGAATTGGATGGAACTAGAAAAGAAGGCCCAGGACAGAGTGGGTTGGAGAATGCTGGTCGGCGGCCTATGCTCTATTAGGAGTAACAGGCGAAAGTAATTAAGTAAGTAATGCCATCAATAATAATAATATTAATGGGATGGATATATTTGTGAGAGATACCAATGTAAAAGTAGCAAAGTGAGTAAGAGATCTTGATTTTTCAATGTTTGTCTTACGGAGGATAATAAGTATTGATTGATATACTTTTGATTGGTAGACATTCTAGTTTTACATAACAAGTGAGTTTATTTATTCCTCGCAACGATGTAAGTGATCGTAACTCTTGGTTCATAATAAATTAGCCATCACTAAACAGAACCATTTCTTCCTTGCATTGTATTTACATATTTTCTACTTGAGTGTTTGATCACAAAGAATAATACAGTTAAATCGATAAATATCAGATTATGTGATGTGCTGCGGATCAAATAACTGCTTCTGACTAGGATTACATTAAGATAAGCAGGCATTCTTCAATTAACCTATGATCATACAAATAATTGATCACTACGCATTCAATTTAATTATCTGTTAATGTCAGGTGCACAGGTAGATAGTTATTTTATCATCATCATCAGGCTAGATTTATGATATCATTCGATGAGTTTGAATACATTTTTCATGATTCCAATGAATAAGCGCTTGGAGAAAGATGTGAAATCCATGGGCCTGACTATTGGTAGGGTTGTGGGTACCTAAAATTTAGGAACTAAAAGTGAGAAGAAACAGCTGTCCTGTACTCCCTGATTCTTCCTGTTATCCCAAATAAACTCAAACTGTTGCAGATACTAAAAATAAACATTTCCAAAAAGACATCGACGGCGGTTAGTAGTGGGATCACCGGCTGGATGTACCTACACCTCGATTTTGGTGTCCATTTCAGGACTCGAACCTAATAATGCTGAAGGCGGCCTGCTTGAATATCTGGGCTACCTGTTCCTCCGATCTAGATATTTCATCAAGTTATCTGTTTTGTTGTTTGTTTTAGCACATCATTATGTCTATTGTGCACACAATCTATTCAGGCGCGTTTGTGAAAAGTTTACAAACTTTCGCTATACGGGATACAAACAGGTACAATCAGCGACATCATGGTGGCCGGCAATATGCATTGAAACGAATGAACATTAATCAAATATGGATTACCGAACTCCTAACATCTAACCAGTCATCATTCAAAATTTGTCGTCACAATCGATAAAGGTATAAGAAAAGGAAACTTGTTGAAATACTGTATGCTGAGAATTCTATGTTGTACCGAAAACGTAATGTTGAATAAAGCTTCTAATAATAATAATAATATCATTCGCTTCAAGTGTTATCACATTATCTACTAGGCTACTGAATTCAGTTAGCCGTAGTTTGTGCAATGAAGTGGATTTTAATGTACACCTGTTGGTCGTTTGAATCTTCCCATTGAATATTAGAACTCCAGTTGGTGGAGTTTGAAGTGCTGGAGTGAACATTAACTCAGCTGAATGTACGTCCAACTGATGATCTCAAAATAGAAAAAAAACCGATTGTCTTGAATTTCACTGTTAATCACTACCCAACTTTCCTTCTAATTCTTGTAACCGAATATCAACATGGAAGCAATCCGTACACGATACACATATGCTAAATGAGACTTATCAATTAAAGAAATAAACATCAATCGAATGATTCAAACAACCAGTACAAATCAATTAAATACAATCTATAAATATTAGTTTAACGTTTATGATAACTGACACCATCGTATATTAAAAAAAAGATTGTTAGAGGGTTTGAACCTCAATGAGAACATTAACACTTAACTGTACGACTATCCATACCTCTTGGGATAAACTTGCAGTTACTATCCAATATATATGTATATATAATCAGACACTTACTGTTTCCCAATTATTAAATATTGTATCGTAACAGGATAAGCTGGCATAAATTGTGGTCCAATATATATTTGTCGAATAGTTTTATTATCTGGTTGTTTTGGTATAGTCCATGTTTGTACAATATGTTGATCAAATAATACAGTTAATTGATCTGTATCAATTTTACCAAAATATAATGTAACAACAACTTCAATTTCAGCTTGTTTTGAATCAAAAAATTGTTTCTTGATTGTTTCTAAATTTATTGGTGTCGTCGAAGATGATGAGGATGATGATGACGACGAAGACGACGACGACGATGACGACGATGTTATTGTATTTGATGTTACCGTTGAAATTTGTTTCTTTAAATTATTCCAAACTGGTAAAACTTTTGTTAAATTCAAATATTCTGTTAATTCTAAATTTAATAAATTTGTATATGGATCATTCATAGCACGTGATGTTAAAGATGTTCTAGTGTATAATGTTTTACTGACACCCGGTAAAACAATACCTAAACGATGATCTTCTGTAAGGAATATACGTATCCATTCTGCATGTCCCTGTATGTTTTTATTTTAATTTGGAAAAAATATCAGAAAACATATCAGAATGGTAATAGAACATAAGTGTTAATTTACTTTAGTAATTGAGATCATGAATCAATTGGAAAATCTGTAAGCACTGGACAGCCGTTTCGTCCTACTGTGGGACACTTCAGAAGTGTGTATCCACGATCTCGCCCCTATTACACAAGCATGTGGTTATCAGGACTCAGTAGTTATAAATGGGTAACGCGATGGTGTTTGAAGTGAACGGTAATGGGTTCGATTCCCAGAGTGGACATCAACTTTGATATGTAGTTACATCCAGATGACGAGTCCCAAATAGAACAAAGTGGCAAGTGTCCTAGATTCCACTACTAGGCACTAACCAACTTTGCCTATAAAACTTGTGACTTCAAACAATATCGAGGCAATCCCCACAGGATGCACATATGCCAACAAAAGACTGACCAATTGCAACCTTAAGCATCAATGGAAAGATCAGTTAGTCAGTCAGTCAGCTACAACATAGGACCAGGGACATATATGCATCGGTTCAAATTGCCATACCTCATTAACACAACAAGATGGACACCGGATTCATAAAAGTAGTTAATTCAGAGGTGGTAATATATAAAACAAAAATTACAATACGGATACAGTACAGGAAGAGAGAATTAGTTCGTAGAAAGAAAGATATGAAGCGATTTCAATCTCTTAGTTTAAGCGAAGACAGAGAGTGTATACTCCTACGCCATTGTGATCGATTCTGAGCCATGTCACCAAGAGTCTCCAACCATTGATTACGATAGTCACGCGGACTTCAACCAGGTAGTCTGCATCTACCAACATGGCTCAGACTAGAAGTTAGTGACTTCAAGCACTGATGTCACTTTTTGGTTTGGCCGCCCCTAACTTTCTTCCAATGGAAAGATACAAGTAAACAATACCAAGTAAATTCAAAAGTATTTCATTGTGAAAATTCAATTGACTGCTTTAATTTAATTATGAATGTTTGTTTAGTTTGTTTGTTTTTTCAGTTAAATTACTTACAGGTTGAATAATTAATAAATCCATATCACCAGATTGTGTAATTAATGGATTAAAACGTATTGTCATACTGATTCCTGGTTCAAATGGTGAATATCGTTGTGGTTCTTTTAATTCTGATGCCATATATAAATGATGCGGTTTTAATTGTAAACAATATTGATAATTTGGACTTGTATTTTCCTGAGAAAATTTGACAGAAAAAAAATAGATTGGTGTTACAATGGAAGTTGGAAATAGTTTTTCTGAAATGGTGGAGAACAATGGTAGCTCAGGTGGATGATTTTGGTGATGTTTTGTTCTTTGAGCCGGATTGTTTGGTCATGAAGCTTCCATCGTTTTTCTGGATGACATCATCAGCATAAACTTCAGTCTACCTGAAGTTCTACCTGAAGTTTGTGCTGATGATGTCGTTCAGAAGAACGATGAGAACTCCACGACCAAACCACCCATCTCCGAGAACAAAACTCTTTCAAAATAATTTTTAATTATTGAATTCTTATCAATTATAATTTTAATTTTAATAGTTGAGGTCATGAGTCAATTGAAGCTTGACCATCATGGACAATCTGAAAGCATTGGACGGCCGTTTCATTTTATTGTGGGACTCCTCAACAGTGCACATCCACGATTCTGATATTAATTGTCATTTTATTGTACAATTATTAAGAAAAAATAGATTACTATGTATGTATATCCCATTCGTCATTAATTTTGGTATACTCATTAACTTCGGTTGCATAAATTACTATTCCTAATCTGTAGACAATCTATTAATTACAGCCTCTCCTATTTCACGGCCACTTTTGCCTAGTTTATGTATAATTGTTTATTTTCATTTTATGGTGTTATAGAGTCTGGTATATTTGGATATAAACTACATCTGGACTCAAGCCTGAGTCCTTACTTACTTACTTACTCACTCACTCACTCATCCACTCACTTACTTACTTACTGACTGACTTACGCCTGTTACCCCCTCGTGAAAGAGTATAGGCTGTCTACTAGTATTCTTCATCCGATTCTGTCCTGAGCAATCCTTTTCAGTTGTTTCTAGTTTTTATTCATTCTTTTCATGTCTACTTCCAATTCTAAGTGTAGTGTGTTCCTTGGTCTTCCTTTTAACATCTACCCTTCAGGATTACAGGTAAATGGTCGCTATGTGATGAAGTTTGGTGAGTTTTCCAATGTGTATCCTATCGAATTCTAACGTCTCTTCCTAATTTCCTCCTCAGATGGAAGCTGATCTTGCTGATGGTATCTGACCAAGGGATATTGAGTATCTTGCGTAGACAATTGTTTATAAATACTTGCATCCTTTTGATGATGGTTGTAGTAGTTCTCCAAGTTTCAGTTCCGTAAAGTAGAACTGTCTTGGTGTTCGTATTGAAGATTCTGACTTTGATATTAATTGACAGTTGTTTTGAGTTCCGCTTACCCTTTGCCAATTCTCTCTTTTACGTCTGGATCAGATTTTCATTGTTGATTAATGGTACTGTCCAGGTACGTGAATGTTTCCACCTCTTCCAGAGCTTCTCCATTAAATGTAATTGCGTTGGTTTTCTCCGTGTTGTATTTCAAGATGTTGCTTTAACCCTTGAGTAGGTTGAGGCCTAATGATACAGAGGCTGTTGCCCCATTGATTTTAAAAACAGAACCGCTTTACTTTAATTATTTGTTCTATAAATTATTTCTATTCTTGTGTGGACTGTTGATTTCGTAGACAATTTTCATTATATATGAGTTCCGATATAGTAAACGAGGACTTGATGGAGTAATTCAATTAACAATTGAGTGTATAATTACAGAGTACCTTCGTACTATATGCAAATCATACAATAAATATATTATTTGCACACCTTTCTTCAGTTGTCGTTTACATGTTTCATGACTCTTCCAATTCTGTTGTTATTACAATTAATCTCTGTTTCCCTTCCTGTTCTCTTTAAATTCAATCTTCTTAATCTTCTGCTATCAGGTATACCACTTCCAATTGATGCTACATACTACTAATATCTGTCAACATAAGTAGAATGCATTACATCACAAACTTAAAGTTTTAATGATAATGGGTTCATTTTGGTAACATGAAATAGGTCAAAGTATCTTTTGGTAAAGTTTATGTTTTAATGTAAACACCTGATGAGATTCAATTGAATTTTTCTGGTAAATTTTAGATTATTTAAAATTTCATTGTTTGGTAACATAAATGCTTACTTGAATTCGGTTACTTTAATCAAGAAATAATTACACAATAATGATCGCGACTGTGATTATTGCCTTGATCTAATCGTTAGGCTTACTTACAGTGACTATATAATAGAGCTATATTGACTGGAATAAGTGTCTGTTTAGATCCTAATATGCCACGCAGCTCAGTGACTTAAGGTGAAGTCAAACTGCTAGTTTTGCTGGGATGTGGAGGCACTAAGGTATTTCCACTACCTACCTAAAAAAAAAAATCCTAGTCTCAAACAAAAGAACATACCCATGAAACTACATTGTCGACGGTAAGGTCTTTAATGTACAAAACTAACAAAGTAAGAACTTCTTAGAAAAAGCCCGTATGTAAGCGGCGTCACTCAGTTGCCCCTTGTGCTCTGTAGTCATGCAATCAGGTTGCCAAGATCACTACTACTAATCCAGCTTACCTTTCAAGTATTTGGAGGAAAACTATTCTTTGATAATGTGTACAACCGAGAAGTGACAACCGCTCACACACTTATAACAACACTTGAGATCATATCGTTCACGATTAAATCCCTTCTAATAATAATGATATTATTATTATCACAATTATTATTGTCAATCACTTACTATAACTCGAATTTCACCAAGTTGTCTAGAATCAGTAAACTGTGTATCACCAAATTGATTCACTGAAGTAATTGCATAATCAGCTAAATAGACTTCACCAGATTGACTTAATTTACCATTTGTAAAACCAATACGACCGGCGAATGGAGTTAATGAAAAGCCGAGACTAAAAACAAAACAAAACAGAGAATAAGTGAGAGATGGAAATTACTATACAATTTGAATAGGTTTATAGGTAAACAATGATAATTTTGTCTTTTCCTGTACAATAGGGCAATATAGTTTAATCTCATAATCTGAAATTTAATTTAACAGTGATTTCATTAGAGTTCATTAAATATGAAATGTGGAAATGTTGTTATACTTATCTCTAACGAATACATAGACTGTATTTGTGTAAATTACATTTATCCCTTCTGAAATATTCTGCATCCCTAGAAGTATTCAGAAGTCAGATTTAATATTATCGTTGTAAAGTCATGATTCATCAATTGTATTGACCCATTCAAGGAAGCCAAATGCTTAAATGATACTTTTCCATTCAATTGAATATTTTATCTTTTTAACATTTTGTCCAGATGTTGGACAATATGAGATAAAGTTTACTGAACTTTAAATATTTCATTAGAATTGGGCACATAGACAATCTTCTCGAATTCAGTTCATCAATAATCATCCCGTCATTAAATCAATAATCAGGAATGCACATGATATTGTGAGTAATTGATGTATTCATTAACATGATATATCGATGGTCATCTAAAATTGACAATCTTAGTAAAATATTTGTTAGATCGATCATTGTATATCACATCTTAGAAGACAAGTCGATAAAGTTTCACTATTGACTAGAGCTAAAGCAACTTTTACTATGATTCTGAGAACTTATTGGACCTATCCAGTTAATCAGAAAAATGAATGAATTTACAAGTATAATTTCTATATATCATTAAGGAACTTCTTGGAATTGCCTATACGTTCTTCTGTCTTAAGTTCAAAAAAACCCTTCGATCAAACTACTGATAAATAAAAACTTCATGACTTCACATAACTGCTTTCAAGTGAATAGTTTCCTAAACTACCTACAATACGTCATACATTTTTGGTATATAAAGTTTTGATTGAGATCATGAACCGATTGATGTTAGACCATCATTGAATACCTGGAAGCACTGGACAACCGTTTCTTCCTATTTTGGGACGACTCAGCAGCGCTCATCCACGATCCCGCTCGCAGGATTCAAACCCACAGCCTTCAGTCTTACGTACGAGAGTCTAACCTACTGGACCACTGAGCCGGCATCTAATGGTGTTAGTGTCTAACATCAACCAATCCACGAAATTGAGCGACCATCTTCCATTGTACTAAGGTAGATACCTGTCTCTACCCGACACGGATTAGCTCCACTTGTAACGGCTTCTCACCAGAACTCTGAGAATTCGCTCATGAAGCTAGTCACTAGTGCGCACTGCTGAGGAGTCTCAGAATAGGACGAAACAGCCGTCCAGTGCTTCCATGTTTCCAACGGTGGTCTAACATCAGTCGTTTATTGATCTTAATTAAAAACTTAATGATCTCCACAATCCTACACTTATATAAATAATAAATAAATTGAAATTACATAATAAAGATATATATAAATTACTTTTGCATTCGTTTACGTAATTCATAATGACTAGGTGGTATACCACCTAAAAATAATATCATATCATCATTACAATCAGTTGTCATAAAACTATCCAATCGTAATATACGCATAGATGGATCTAAAATATTTAAATTTAATCGTCGTCTATCTTCATCATGATAACCACTACCACTGGAACTAGTGGATTGACGTCTCCAACGTGGTTTAAAATTGAATGTTTTAAAACGACGTCGTCTTATTATTTCCATATCATCATGTTGTTTAGTATCCTCTAATCGATATAATTCACGACCAGACCAATAATTAGCTTCAGGTCGACCATTAATTAATTCAATTGTTATACCATAATCCTTTAATAAGATGAAATTAAAAATTTACATGGATTAAATACAGTATGAAATTATTGTACTTGAAAAGAGTAATAAATCTAATGTCTAGTCTATTTTGTAATGAAATACTACTATGCAATATAATGAATTCTGATGTGTGAGTGAAGAAGATAATGAATGGTTGTAGCTACTACTACTACTACTACTACTACTACTACTACTACTACTACTACTACTACTACTACTACTACTACTACTACTACTACTACTACTACTACTACTACTACTACTACTACTACTACTACTACTACTACTACTACTACTACTACTACTACTACTACTACTACTACTACTACTACTACTACTACTACTACTACTACTACTACTACTACTACTACTACTACTACTACTACTACTACTACTACTACTACTACTACTACTACTACTACTACTACTACTACTACTACTACTACTACTACTACTACTACTACTACTACTACTACTACTACTACTACTACTACTACTACTACTACTACTACTACTACTACTACTACTACTACTACTACTACTACTACTACTACTACTACTACTACTACTACTACTACTACTACTACTACTACTACTACTACTACTACTACTACTACTACTACTACTACTACTACTACTACTACTACTACTACTACTACTACTACTACTACTACTACTACTACTACTACTACTACTACTACTACTACTACTACTACTACTACTACTACTACTACTACTACTACTAACTACTACTACTACTACTACTACTACTACTACTACTACTACTACTACTACTACTACTACTACTACTACTACTACTACTACTACTACTACTACTACTACTACTACTACTACTACTACTACTACTACTACTACTACTATACTATAACTACTACTACTACTACTACTACTACTACTACACTATACTACTACTACTACTATACTACTATACTACTACTACTACTATACTACTATATATACTACTACTACTATACTACTACTATACTACTACTACTACTACTAACTACTATACTACTACTATACTACTACTACTACACTACTACTACTATACTACTATACTACTACTACTACTACTACTACTACTACTACTACTATACTACTATACTACTACTACTACTATACTACTACTACTACTACTACTTACTACTACTACTACTACTACTACTCTACTACTATACTACTACTACTACTACTACTATACTACTACTACTACTACTACTACTACTACTACTACTACTACTACTACTACTACTACTACTACTACTACTACTATACTACTACTACTACTACTACTACTACTACTACTACTACTACTAATATACTAATACTACTACTACTACTACTACTACTACTACTACTACTACTACTACTACTACTACTACTACTACTACTACTACTACTACTACTACTACTACTACTACTACTACTACTACTACTACTACTACTACTACTACTACTACTACTACTACTACTACTACTACTACTACTACTACTACTACTACTACTACTACTACTACTACTACTACTACTACTACTACTACTACTACTACTACTACTACTACTACTACTACTACTACTACTACTACTACTACTACTACTACTACTAGTAGTAGTAGTAGTAGGAATCTGTTAGGTACAAGATGAGTTATATATTCTCTTACCCTCATCATTATTATTATTGTGATTGTTGTCGATTTTTGATCAGTCTAGTCATGTGTTCATGATTTGAGTTGTATTAAAGTCCTGTAGAATAGACACTGACAGGGAATCTAGTGTAGATATTCGTCTAAGGTAAATAATTAGCGTCTTATTCGTGTAGACGAGTAAAACAGAACGTTATAACAAATTCAATTGCTATTTATTCATATAAACATCACATGGGACATTCAGGGAGTACTGTACTTTTGTTCCGCTTTAACTTTCTGAAATATTGAGGTGAAATTACAAAAAAAATGTGGGTAGATTTTGGATTACTGATGCGCACTGTTCAGAAGTCCCATCATAAGACGAAACCGCCGTCCAGTGCTTCCAGGTTTTTCATGATGGTCTAGCTTCAATTGACTCATGATCTCAACTGTTGAAATTACAACAATATATGTTCGATTTCAGTTTGTATTCAACTTATACCTATTTCTTTCCGCATAAGTATATACAATCTCGACCAGATCAATTATAAAGTATTACTGAAAGCATTAACTTACTTTATCATAATTTATAAATGTCATCACTGTCATATTAGATCGTTGATATTCTTTTAATGGTATTAATTGAAAATCGAATTGATCTTTACAAAAATCTAAATTATTAATCGATTTTAAACGTGCATAACCACCGGCACCATTAAAATCATAGAAAAACATTCTAGTTAATGATAAAGATGGATCAATTAATTGTGATGGACGTGCTAAATTAGTTAATTTATCTAATTCACCTTGTCTATCCCATATATAACCATTTCGAACAAATTGACGATTTTTACCACTATAATAAACAAAAATGATATTGAGATGTAAGTTTCAAAATAAATTATTAATTTAGTTAGGTTAATGTGATTAAATATATATTCCTCTATGGATTCATGGTTTATATTATACAATTCTACATAAAGTCCATTAAAATTCATCATTGGATGTCGACTCAGTGGTCCAATAAGTTAAGCGTTCGCACACGAGACCGAAGGCTCTGGATTCGAATCCCACGAGCGGGATCGTGGATGCTCACTGCTGAGGAGTCCCACAATAGGACGAAACGGCCGTCCAGTGCTTCCAGGTTTTCAATTGTGATGGTCTAACATCAATCAATTCATGATCTCAATCAAAAACAATTTAAATAGCCCAGTCTCGACGTGCCTGACTGTGAAGCTGTGTGACATGGATTTGAATCCCTTAAGGAGTATCACAGTCTACATCATTTTAGATTAATATATGCGCCATAATTTTGAAGTTGCTTTCTCAATAGTACACTTAAAATGATTTAAATTCAATAAATTAACAAACAAATCAATGGCTATAAAAAACTCACGGTCTTTTTTGTCCGCGGTAGAAAACATCGTTTGATGTACATAAATAAAGAAAAGAAAAGAAGAAATTATATAGAAGCGGAAAGAGTTCACAATTGTGAATGAATAAAATTTACTCTTGTTGAACTATCTATTGTCATGGAATAACTGTCAAAATTGTTTGAACTATTTGCTTAAACAAGGTGGAATCTTTAATCACGTAAATGTTAATACAACATTCTTGATTTTGTATGGTGTTTGTCCATCAATTCAGAACGTCAGTATTATAAACAAGGATTCCGAGATTATCTAGAAGAAGGTAGTGAGCTATTGATAAACGTTTTGAAATTCATGGTTTAGTTTATTACGGAAGTGTTAAATCTTATGTACGACAAGAAACTGCCTAAGCCTCCTGTCATAAGGAAGAACTAGAAGTGACTGTCTCAAAATTACATAATAATAGTAATTTTTTATCTTATGTAACTTCCTTTTTCTTATCTTCTATAAAACAGAATACACAAGGATAATTCTATAAACTCTTTAAGCTAGGAAATTACTATCTGTCAGCTGACTATTACCATTAGAAACTAATGGAAAGACGTGATTGAAATTCCATCTGTCAATTGATCCGAATGTAAACTGAGTCAACTGAAAGACTCTATCTCCTGGAATAACTCAAACTATCGAACCTTCTGCCTTTTCCAAAGACAGTTCTACCGTACTTGAATCAAAACATTTTTTTTGAATAAAAGACTGTCATTTCATCTACTATAATTATTCTAACTATTGTTGCTTAAATTAATTTATCTAGGAATGTGAGTGGCTTGGAACAGAGTACTGAATTCATATTTTACCTTACATAAAACTCGTGTTAGATGAATGCTAAAGCTTAAACTAACTGATTATCACTAAAAAAGTTAGAGCTCTATTTATTCAGAGAGGGGTTTTATGAATATTATAGTAATTTAATAGTTGAATTCACGAATCAATTGAAGTTAGAGCACAATGGAAAATCCAGAAGTACTGTACGGCCGTTTCGTCCTACTGTGGGACTCCTCAGCAGTGTGCATCCACGATCCCGCACCCCGCGAGATCCGGATCGAGGACCTATCAGTCTGGCGCGCGAGCGCTTAACCAACAGAGTATTGAGCTGACATTCAATGGTGTTAATGTCTAACTTCAATCAATCCACGATGTTGTGCCACCGTATACCATTGTCTTCAGTGAGTTCCTATCTCATAACAGACCTGGTTGAACTCCACTGGTAACGGCTTCTCACAAGGACTCCACGAAATACCTCTTGGAGACCATCACCAGTGAGCATATGATGATTATCATCAAAGAGAGGTTTTCTGGGTATTATAATAATTTCATTGTTGAATTCAGTCTATGAAATGATGATAGCCACCGACTTGTTCAGATTATTAGTGATACATCCAAAAAATCTAAACTGTGATTGTTTAGTGAGGGAAGACAGACGAAATAGGCGATTATGATTGATTTACACGTAATATCATCCTGATGATAGTCAGACAGACAGAAGAACAAATAACTAGATATAAATTTATAGTATCAGTCTCGAACTTTTAAGAGCAATATATTTTCAAAAGTACATTTAGATTTGTTCTGAACTAACTAATAATGTCTGCTAACCACATCGTCTACATTCATGCTTTTATAAAACATGTTACAATCTGATTACTGAAAATCTCATGAATTGTCATCATAGTATCTAGTATATTTTCCTCCTTCTCTGTCCTGTGGAAAAGCGAAAGGTGATTACTATAGAATTCATACACTAAATTTACCCAACAATAGAATGAGATATCATAGGAGTAGGATCAATCTTCGACATTAGCCAGTGAGTATAAATGGCAGGTGAAAAGTAAGTAATATTTGTTGAGATCTCACGAGAATTCCTGTATGAGATCTCCAGAAGATAGAAAAAAGGCTGAGACCATTTCGTAAAATAAACATATTTAATGAATTCTTCTGGAAAATTAATTGGTTGTGTCAAACTTTAACTGGATGATTACTTACTCTGCTACTTAATTGAGAATGTTTCCACGAGTTTCTAGAGTTAAACGGCCATCAATAAACCTATAGATAAGTTTGTTTTTTGTACATAAATGAACACTTAAGTAAAGCTTCTATTCTTACTTTACTCTTTTCATTTACTATTCAAGGTTCAAATCTAAGAGTATTTAAGGATCCTGTGATGCAGATACGAAGTTAGTATCAAGTATTCGAGTAGCAGGCATATCTTTATTATGAAATTTTATTCAGTCAGTCCCTTATTTCAAAGCATAGTAGGATCTGTCAAAAATGTACATTGGTTCAAGTTATCACATCATATTAATTACCAAGACAAATAACAGGATTTTAGCAAGAGTAACAGTATGAGTGGTAGTAGAAAAGACTCTAAATACATAATGTGAACAGAAAACAGAGAATGAATTTGTAGTTTAATATATATAAAACAGTTTCAAAACTTAAGATTTAGAGGGGGACAAAGAGTCAGTGCATCTGCGCTAACTACATTAGACTCTGAGTCATATCAGCCAGCATCTCTAACAATTGGCTAAGGTATTTCAATAAATCTCAACCGAGTAGTCTGTACCTAGATCGCACTATAATTTGATAATCTAAAATTCTTACAATATTATTTTCATTAAGCATATCATTCATAACTTACAACTGACACTGATATTCTCTTGGCTTAGAACATTCAGGATTAGCATCAGCAAAATTAGCAATACTAATAGGTGTCCCACTTAATCTTAAGTTGAACATACAAAATTTAATTGATTCCATTGACATAAGTCGTGACCAGAATTCCTCAGCACCATTATCACCCCATGCTTCCGGGTTACTTAAACGACTACTAGGTTGCATAACTCCTCCAATACGTAATTCCATTTGTCTATCCATAATAAGATTTGCTTCTTGATCAAGTGTTCCATTTGTTGTAGAAGTTTGTTTCATCTCGGGAAATACATCACCATGATCTTGAAATGATCGTTCCATAAGTATCATTCTTGTCTCACCACCAACTGATGTAACACGTGTATGATACCAAGTATTTTTAGCAATTGGACCTAATTCTAGGATTCCATTTGGAGTATTCCATGAAAAGCGTAGTCTATTATCAGGTGCTTCAACAGTGAATGCAAACATTTGTGTATGTCCTTCAAAGGCTCTACGTCCAACCATTAATACACTACTTATACTCGATAAAGTTGGTAAATTATTCAAATTAAACCAAAATTCAACATCAAACACTCGAGATTTTGTTAGACTATAAGGAACCAATGTGTATACACAATCTTGACCTAATTGTAAAGGTACTGGATCATGAGATAATGATCCATAAGTCACATCAAGCATTGAACGTGCTTCATCAGCTAATCGTCGTAAATTTAACAATTTTGAATCTAATTGTCTAGCAACATGTTCAACTTCATCAATTGATTTAATTAAATAGGATTGAGTTATATTTGCTCGATCAACTATAATTTTATAAGAAAATAATAATCAGATTTAATAAAATAGATAGGGATTTCATGAATAATAATTAAATTTTACAATAAAATAAGTCTATTCCAGTATGAACTTAGCTTTTTCTTGTCCTAAAATATGAATAGTCTCCAAATGTCCCAGTATGGCCGAGGGTGAAGATAGACTGCTCTCCCTCTCTCCAAATGCTCTCACTTGGCCACTTATATACAGCCATTACCAAGGAAGCCCCAGTCACTGCCTGCTAGCAGCTAAAATGTTATTTATGAAATTAAGGAGACGAAAAGCGAATGTTCGACGCTTTAACAAGGCTGTTGGATACGAAGGATCTACCTGAGAGAGTTAAAAAACCACAATTCCAAGCGAATGGAGCACATGGACTCCAGGATCCTGAGGGGAAAAAGGGTATGAACATATTGTTGGTCATCAGCTTCCATGGTAGTGCATCTCCTTTCGTTGATCCACAGCGTTGTGAACTAGACCTTCAAGTCAAAGGCTCGGGGTGTTGCCCCCTAAGAAGACCACTTGATTCGGTTTGGGAGCCCAGGCAGTATTACAGCCCTCACACGAATTACTAGTAACTGCTACTGGCCTCATTGTCATCGCGTGGTTGATATGTATTTGGTGCCTCCTTGGACCATTGTTTATATGTTCAAATAAATCATAAAGTTTGGATATTGTGTAAGTAAGTAGGTAAATGCATGATTGTGCTTAAAATATAATTTCTTATTTGGTCTGCTGTATGTTCAGATATTTTCAGTATTTTATTGTATGAGCTTTGAATCGGGATTGAATTGGGTACAATGGGGAACTGAAGAGCCACTTGACGTCATCTTCTAATTGGTCACGCGGTTATAAACAAACTCGAAGACCAATAAGCGTTAAGACCTTACTTGTCATTCATTGGTCAGTATGTATATTCGTGAAATTAGTTACTCCTCCGAGTGCCGACATAGTATATGATCTTAATTATGAATTCTCAAGCCATAACAAATCCGAGGCGGACCTCTTCTGAAGATAAAACAGTTTCGCCTTTAAATGTGGCTCCTCAACAGTATCATAAAATGGTAATATTCATTGATGTAGAAGCTGTTTATATAAATACCTAGTATGTTTATTCCTTAAAACCATGAAGTGCTTGAACAAAGTCCTAAGTACATAAACTGATAGAATGAGTGATGTATGATACTTGTTGGAAGCCACTAAAGTCTCATTGAAAAAAATGCTCTGGAAGTTAAAGAAAATTGTTGAAATTACCTCAACTAATCAACAGTCTTTGAAAATTTTCAAGAGAAACCTAGAAAATAACTGATTGGGCTTTCGCTATCCCAATTGGATAGTTACCGAATTTTCTGCTACTTTCAACATGTTTTCTAGCAGTTTCCCTAATCTCGAGGTTGTATGTAATCTTATAAGTATTTTGATGGGGTTTTGTTCTCTGAGATGGATGGTTTGTTCATGGAGCTTTCATTGTTCTTCTGAACGACATCAGCACAAACTTCAGATAGGAGTGAAGTGTTCGAATTTCTCCATATGTGTTTCACAGCTTGTTCTGTACACCTCGATGTTGATTGGTTCTTATTGACCTTAAATTTGTCACTGTTACTTCCTTGTTTTGGTTGTGTCAACCATTGGTTTGATTTTTGTTCCTATATTTGTGCATAATTTTCCTGATTGGTTGATAAATTGGATGGATTTCAATGTGCTTGTTGATTGCTGATTGACCTCAGTACCAGGCTTTTAGAAATTCTCTGGTGTTTTTGGAATTTCCTCTGTTCAAGATTTCTACATTGTTCCAATCGAATGAGTGTATTGATATAAGTGAGGAAGTATCATGGCGTTTGACTGTTAATTGATGTTCATGAAGGTGAAGGGGGGCGTCCGCTTTGTCCGATGTAGTGTTTTTCGCAGTTGGCACAATTTATTTTGTAGATGATGTTTGAGTTGTCTTCCTTTGTTATTTCATTCTTTGGTTTGCATAGGATTTACACCTTGTGAATAATCTAATCTCCTAATAAGGGCTTTGTTTATACTATGTGCCTTCAATTTTGTGTTCAGAGATCAAGGATAGGAGATTTCTGGGGACTAAAAAGAGGTTGGTAAGTAGGGGTCCACGTGTTCACAAATATAGAAAGAGACGTTTTTTTCAAATGTAAATTTTTATTTTAATCACATTAGAAAAACAGTAGTTATAATTTGTTAAAACTAACCTAGAGTTTTAGCTGTTCCTTGTATTTGGGAAAATCGATTCTCCATTTCTTGTAAACGATCATGTAATCCATTATAACGTCCTAACTGTACTTGTAATTTATCCGAGGCATTTTGAACCAGGGGTTTTGTATCTTTCAAAAATTGTTGTATTGAATCAACTAGAATGAAAGAAAATGTTGAAAAATAAACAAAATAATGATGACTGGTCCTGTAAATGTTTGTCAGTATCGCTTATCGTAAGCCTGAATAAGATTAAATATTGTATTGGCTAGAAATAGACAGTGATAATCAGACTGAAGAATTGTTAATTTAAAACATACCAGGTGGATGGAGGTAATTGGAAGGAAATCAGAGATCAAGCTTTTATACAAGATGACTTTCGTCAACAATGTATGCTAAAACTTCTGATTAAACGAATGGTTCTCGGGGGACATCAGCCCGTGTCACCCTATATGAGATGTTACCATTGACCTACTTTAGCATTCTTTGACCTGCTGTAAGACTCAGATGTGTACATTGATTGATCACTGAGTGGTGCACAACATCATGTTTATTTAATGTTTCAGTGCTGATTAAATTCTATCAGTCCAGTTGCAGTGTGGCCATTAACCTTAGTGACTCAGAATCGTATGAGGTATGTTAAAATGTTTTGTGGTTAGAGGTAGTTGATAGGAAACTCCAGATGTCATGCTCGTTGAAATTCCACCAGCAAAGAAATATGTCAATTCCATCTATTTAATAAAGTAGATATTGAAAAACCAGATGAGCATGATAGAGTCCATTACTCAGTGAGTGCGTGAAGTCGAAAAACTGTCAAGAAGTTAACTCTATCTAATCAAGATCTCATGCAAGGATCGAAGCTCGATCAAAATTCGCTGATCTAAATATACAGTTCTAGATGTGAGAATGAGTGTTCTTAGTTCAGTGCTCAGTGAATTAATGTAAATTATTTCGTAAGAAGCTCACAAACAGAAATATTGGCATTACTACATAGTTTTTCTTTGTTTTGTACCTACAGAACTATTTCCACACATCAATCTTTCTGTATCTGTTTTTTAAGCCTACGCAATACTACTGAATAGTAGTTAGCAGTGCAAGTAGTATTGTACAATTTTACAACCTTTAATATAATTGTGTAGGTTTCCGTAATCTTGCTATAAATTTCAACTGTCAATTGTTATAAATAAAAATAATATATTTGTAATATCCCAATGAGTAGAAAAATGAGATTTTCTGACGTTTCGTGACTTAGTGTAAGTCACTTCTTCAGAGAATAAATAACCAAATTAATTGATAACCAAATTGATTTTAAAATATCAAAATATTGCAAAAAGGCTTTTCCAATTATAAAGACAAGAGAGTAGCTGAAGCGTTCCATATAATGCTTAATCCTACTTCTCACCATATATCCTATTTGAACCATCTATCCTAACCATTCAGTCTGATCGTATTTACAATTTCACACTATCATATTACAAAGTTAAACTTTATCCTTTCTTACCATAAAGGTCATACAAGTTTTTTTCATTCTTAAACAATGCACACATACTTACATACACAAATTTACATACATATCACCTATGAATCTCCTTGACCGAAATGACATGACATTAACTTGTTCAGACCTGTTTTTTGATTGATCAAATATTATTCTTGCATTGTTCTGTTGTACTATTTAAACTTGAATTAATTTTAATTTGGTTATTTATTTACTCTGAAGAAGTGACTTACACTAAGTCACGAAACGTCGGAAAATCTAATTTTTCTACTCATTAGGATATTACACATATATTATTTATGTATTTATAACAATCAACCCAATGCTCAATTTATTTGAAATTATCAAATCAAACCTTGGTAATGATACCTAAAAACACTAAAAAAAGTTTGAAAATAAAAATCATTTGACTTCTTCTCTACTGCGACTAGATTCTAAGTTCCTAGTTACTGGCATAGATGATAGATGATTTTTTTTTAAAATCAATTTTTATCCGTAGTGACATGTAAAAAAAAAATCCATCAAATAATATAATGACCCAATATAGATTGTTTATTTTCAAGAAAACTAGGGTTCTAGTTTCAGAAGAATCGTGTTTCTAGCTTCTTGACTTAATTTGGCTAGCCTCAACTACAACATTCCAATAATCATTTCGAATATAAGATAATCCAATTTGAATAATATACATAACTTTCAATATATTTTTAAAATTTTTATCTTTTCGACTCAACTATAAGTATTGAGTAGGTGATATTCATCATGAATTTATAACATTCATTGGTGTGGTGTGTGCTACTTATATTGACATAAGTAGTATATGATATCAGTTGTAAACAGAAGGTCTGGCAGTAGAGAGACAAGAGGATCGAACAATAGACAATGGAAACAGAATGCAATTTGTATGAAAATGCAAGAATAATGAAGGATGAGTCTTTATGAAACAACTGGTGGACAGTTTGCAAATTACGTATTTACTATTTAATTGTTAGATTTTATTAACAAGTCCTGTAATTTTGTGTTAAATACATTCGATTGTCCCCATTGGTGTTCTTGTTCACTACAACTGGTACCAATAAAACTCGGCCAGTACAGAATTTGGACTAATGAGAAGTTTTAAATTAGGACAAAACAATTACCCAGTGTCTCCCTATTTTTCAGTGATACCCTAATGATGTTCGATGTGGAAAGTAAATATGATTAACTTCTTGTTGATTTCTACTCCGAAATCATTGAGAGTGACTGCTTGTAATTATGTGGAATACAGTATTGTCTACCGTATACTATGGTCCTATATTCTTGGTCGTAAATCGTGTACCTGGTATGACATGACTTAGTTTGTGCATAGCGTATCGATTGTGTATCTGGTCTAGTACTGTGGTGTGTGCTACTTATGTTGACAGATATAAGTAGTATGTACACCAGTCGGAAGTGGTATACCTGACAGCAAAAGATGAATAAAATTGAGTTAAAGAAAACAGGAAAGAAAACATAAAACAATTGTAATAACAACAGAAGTGGGAAAAACTGTGCAAATAATGCATTTATTGTATGGTTTGCATATATTCCGAACCCACTCTGTAATTACGCAATCAATCATAAATTGGTTTATGCTGTCAAGTCTTCGTTCACTACAGTATACTTCCGCTCATCTCAGGTGGTGTTAGAGAATTCGAAGCATGAATTACAAGAGTAGAAGATATGTGTACGCTGCAAGCTATTGACCACAGGTCTTACTCGTGTGTTGTCTAATAACCTAATGACCAATTTTGAGGTTAGGCACAAGATAGTAGGCAAATTCTAGAAATAGATTGATGAAATTGTGAACGTTAGTCTATTAAATTGATCAGAACATGTATTACTTACTCCTACCTAGACTAATGATATCTACTGATGTGGGTGTAAGTTGGAAGAAGTTAAGCTCAGTCAAACTAAGATGTTACACTAATCCAAAAAACCAATGACTATTGATTAGAGCTTTATGAGTAGATGATAACTATCTGATTAATATCTACCTAAATATTGCAACCAATAGTTTTAGATGTCGAGAGAAATAGCTCACAATTAATCAAAGTGGGGGCAAATTAATTCTTTCTTTACTATTCATCGTGATAACTTCGTGTATCGTTATGCCGTTAATGCATAAGAATATGTGCCCAAATAATACTTGTACCAGATTGTACTTTCATTAGAACTTATTTTATTTATTTATTTAAACACATAAACATTGGTATAAGGGGGCCCCAAATAGATATACACCACACAAACCATTCAATTTGTGTGAGGGTTGGGATACTGCCCGGGTGCCCAAACTGAGGTGGACACATCCCGAGCCTTTGATCCAAAGGTCTAAAACTCAAGGCAATAGAGCAAAGTCAGGAAATACAGTCCCATGGTAGCCGGTGACCATTTGTTCCTTCAGGATGCTAGAACCCATATACACCAGGGTTTTTCAACTTCCCTATGTGTACTCTCCATTTCCACCAAACCTCTTAAAGCGTTGGATATTCGCTTTTTGTCTTCTCAATTTCATAAACTACACCCCCATCACAACAAGGCAGTCAGTACGACTTTCCTGGCAGTGATTGTATGCTCGTGGTCATACGAAAGCATTTCGATAGGGAGAACTTACTTTCCCCATTTAAGAACTAGTGATCTCGACGGAACACATTTTTTTAATATCTAATTTCTAAATATCTAATAAGAAAATTGAATGGTTACCTAATAAATACTTACCTTTATTAACTATATTTTTAGTTAATTTTAAATTATTTAAAGCAATTTGATTTAAAGTACTTAAATCATTATCAGTAGTTTCTAATTGTTTATCAATTAAATTTAATGTTTCATTATGTGAATTATAAATTATTGATTGATTATTTAATCTATTTGTAATAGAATCACGTTTATTAATAATTAATTGTAAACGATTTTGCCATGTAATTTGTTGACCATCTATTGTTGTAGTACTATTCAGAAATGCATTCTCTGCTTCATTTGTTGCATTCTCAGCTAATTTTATATTATCTATCATTAATTGATAGGCATTATAAGCTAAATAAGTACGATTTAATTGTTCTGTTGGGATTAATTTATCATGAATAAGTTGTGATTCTTGTTCTATTGGTTCAATGATATTTGTATATAATTCGGATGGGATAAAAATTTGTTTGGAATTCGGTAATTGTATTTGATTTAATTGATGAAGAAGAGCTTTTAATGTTTCAATTCGATTCAATTGTTCTTGATTAGGATGTAATTGTTCCAATTGGGATAATTGTTCATTTAAATTCTGTGATTGTTTATTAAAGGATTGTATTGTTGTTAAACTTGTTGTCGTTTTAACAGTATCGACTAATGTATTCGCCTTTTTCTAAATAATATAATAATGATAATAATCAAATTAGGTAATAAGATATGACCGTAGTAAAGTTTAGTCATATACTTTAATGTTTGATCCTATAGTATGATATTTACTTGTGATAGATTTAGGAAAGTTGGACAGAACATGTATGGTAAGTTAACGATAAGTCTAGATCAACTATATGTATATATATGTATGAGTTATGAACATATGGAACTCAGATTAACTGTCAACCAACATCATAGTTAGAATCTTCAATATGAAGGTTGAGACAGTTCTACTGTACGGAGCTGAAATTTGGAGAACTATCACAATCATCATCAAAGCAGTACAAGTATTTATAAACAATTATCTACATAAGATACTCGATGTCCGTTGTAAGGATATCATCAGCAACAGTTTACTGTGGGAGAGAACAAACCAACTTCCAGCTAAGGAGGAAATTGGGAAAACATGTTAGAGATGGGTAGAACATACAATGCGGAAATTATCAAAGTGCATCAAGATGCAACTGCTAACTTGGAATCCGGAGGAAAAACGAAAAAGATGAAGGCCAAAGAACCCACTGCATCGAGAATTGAAAGTAGACATGAAAAGGATGAATAACAACTGGAAATGATTACCTAGGACAGGGTTGGATGGAGAGTGTTTGTGGACGGGAAACAGGTGTAAATAAGTATGTGTTATGAACGTTATTATTCTATCTCACACGCAACAGCAAATGCAGCAGAAGACTACCAGTGTAGCAGCAGCGTCAGCAACAGTAGGTCTCAACATACACAAAGGGAAAAGCAAGATTCTCCGATACAACACAACATGCACCAATAGAATCACACTTGACGGAGAAGATTTTGGATATGAGCAGCATCATTGATGAACACGGTCAATCTGATGCAGATGTGAAGAGGCGGATCGGCAAAGCAAGAAAAGCATATATACGACTGAATAACATCTGGAACTCTAAACAAATAACAACTAACACCAAGGTCAGAATTTTCAATACAAATGTCAAGGTAGTTCTACTGTATGGGACGGAAAGCTGGAGAACTACGAAAGCCGTCATCCAGAAGATACAAGTGCTTGTTAACAGTTGTCTACGCAAAATACTTCGGATTCATTGGCCGGACACTATTAGCAACAACCTACTGTGGGAGAGAACAAACCAGATTCCAGTGGAGAAAGAAATCAGGAAGAAGTGTTGGAAGTATATAGGACGCACGTTGAAGAAAGCATTCAACTGCATCACAAGGCAAGCCCTCACATGGAATCCTCAAAGCCAAAGGAGAAGTGGAGGACCAAAAGACACAGTACTCCGAGGAATGGAGACAGACGTGAGAAGAATGAATAAAAATTGGATAAAACTAGAGGGGAAGGCTCAAGCCAGAGTTGGTTGGAGAATGTTGGTCGGTGGCCTGTGGTCCTCCATTGGGAGTTACAGGCGTAAGTAATTATGACTATAGAACTAAGAAAGCAAAGCCTTAAGATAAGTGACCGAATACATTATGTCAGTAGTTGTCTATCATAAATAACTCAATCTCCATCAACATATTAGTTTTATAATCAACACTCTTTGCATCTGTCTCTAATTATCAACGATAAACTCTATACTCTGATTAAATTTCAATGTCTAATTAACTACTTGTGTTTCTAAGGAAAGATGTATGGTGGCTAGTAGTAGAATTCAAGACGCCTGTTTCTTCCTATCTGGAATTCGTCAGCTGGATGTACCTGCATCTCAGAGATGATATCCACTACCGGACTCGAACCGATTACTGTACACTTGAAACGCCATTGCATTATCCACTTACCTACTGAGTTCAGATAGCCACTTCCTTATGCAATATGCACAATATTCGCATATGTCAATTGGAGACTGATCGATTCCAGTCATAAGCGTCAATGGGAAGATTCAAATAAACTATACCAAGGAATTTTGAACTTCATCCCATTACACAAGCAAGTGACTATCACAACTAATTACCTAAATGGATAATGCGATGGTATTTCAAGTGAACAGTACTGAGTTCTAGTCCTGAAGTGAACATCGACTTTTACATACAGATACATTTAGTTAACATCTTCCCAATTCATAATATGAATATTATATTATTATTAATCACTTACTAATGCTATATCTAATTCATTTATTGCTAATTTAGTACCATTACTAATACGATATATTTGATTGGTTTCATAATCTATTAAAACATTTTGTGGCTAACAGTGGAATCCACTTTGCCACATGTTTCGTCTAATTTGAGACTCGTCAGCTTGTGTAATCCGCACACCATACACATATGCCAATAAAAAACTGATCAATTCCAGTCATAAACGTCAATGGAAAGATTCAAATAAACTATACCAAGGAATTTTGAACTTCATCCCATTACACAAGCAAGTGACTATCACAACTCATTACCTAAATGGATAACGCGATGGTATTTCGAGTGAACGGTACCCGGTTTTAGTCCTGAAGTGAACATCGACTTTTACATACAGATACATTTAGTTAACATCTTCCCAATTCATAATATGAATATTATATTATTATTAATCACTTACTAATGCTATATCTAATTCATTTATTGCTAATTTAGTACCATTACTAATACGATATATTTGATTGATTTGATAATCAATTAAAAATTTTTGTAATTCCTGATATCGATTTAATTGATTTAAATCATTTTGTATATGATTTTGATTAATTATTGATTGTATTAATTCATTAATTCGTTGAATAATTCTTTGAATTTCTATTTCTATTTCATTTAACCATATTATTGTTTCATTTAATTGTATATTACTTAAATTAATATAAATTTGTTTAGAATGTTCTTGCCAATTTATTAATTCATGCAAATTCATTGATTGTCCATATTCTTGTTTAATTAATCGATGAATCCAATTATTTAATTGATTTTCAATCAAATTAGATTGATTATGCAATTTATTGATTTGTTCTAAAATATCACAATTTGATTGATCAAATACTTGATAATTATTGAATATTCTTATATAGCTTTGATTGATTTCAATTAATTGTCGAAATAATTGTTTTGTACGTGATAGAATTTCATTTTCTAATTGAATACGTGATGGTATAAAACGTTTCTTATTCATATCTATTTGTTGTTTTAATTTAGCTAAACCTTGATAAGCTAAAGTGGTAATATTTAATCCATCAATTTGTAATTTGACATAATCAGATTTAATAAGTAATTCACCGGTACATGGACCACGACAATCTAGGATTACAAAAAAAAACGAGAAGATGAAGTTACATAGAAATTGAATTCTAAGTGGAAATATGAATTGCCATAGTAACTGCAAGAAATGAATTTGATAGACGTTTATTGATATAAATAAAATATATGAAAATAAATCTTCTTCAATGAGATCATGAATTGATTAATCTTAGATCACTATTGAAAACCTGGAAGCACTGGATGGCCGTTTCGTCTTATCGTAGGTGTAAAATGTGATCGATAAACGTACTCACCACATTAATTTCTTTGACCTGTATGACTATGTCTTGTTTATTCACTAATCACAATTTTATGTTCATTATAAAACAATACTTGCCTTGTTGACTCATTTTTCTTATCCTCTAGTTACTGTTCGGTACGTTATTTATGTCTCTGTTTTTCTCTGTGTTAATAGACTGTACTGTTTGTTTTGTACACTAACGGTGTAATTTAGTTTTAGAAAAATAAAGTTTATCAAGCCAAATAGTTTACTTGTTCTGACTTTGGCTAAACCATGACTCTGTGCTCGACAGTCTAGAGAATAGCTTAAAGTTACACCTGTAGGAAATCGCTTCCTACAGTGGAACTCCTCAGCAGTGCGGATCCACGATCCCTCACGCCGGATTCGAGCCAAGAGCCTTATTCTCGCGCGCGAACGCTTAACCTCTAGACCACTGAGTCCCACAATAGAACGAAACAGTCGTCTAGTGCTCCCAGGTTTTCAATAGTGGTCTAACATCATGATCTCAATCAAAAACTTAGTAATCTCCGCAACCCTATACTGATAATAATTTTTCTAATGAATTGACAAAAGTTGGGAAGCTATTAAAAGTCAAGGTAGATGATTTACGGTCGTTTTGTCTCAGTTTAATATTTTTAAGCCTTTTGCGGTTTATTCATAACCATAATACTTGTAGTGGCTGATAGTATATCAAGCCCAATAGGCTATTTTACGCTTTGGTACAGACCAATCTATTCGTTCTTCTCAATCTACATTTTAACCTTGTCACTTACTCGCTTATTAACCCCGACTGTTATTTTATGTGATCGTGTGTCTGTGTGTGTGTTTGTGCTAATTACTTACCCTATTCGTCATGTGTTTGTAACTTATTTTGGTTTGATTATAAATATCGATTCATGGTTGACTAAATCGAGTTGGTTCCTATGCGTTCTCCGATCCGTTTCGCTTCGTTTACCTGATTGTCTGTTCGGATCAACGATTGTATGAAATATACGTATTCAAACTCCATTTTCATATTTAACTTATTTAATTCTGTTATTCCCTAACGCGACTTAAGTCGATGAAAATATACCAGAGTTGGCAGCATGTAAATTTCAATAGCCATCATAAGACGATCAAACTGAAGTCAGATATCGGGCCACCTAAAAACTATATTTTAATCTTATATTGGCTCAAAAAATTACCTAATAATCATATACTTACTAATGACTAGTTTCTAAAGATAGATTTTTAATGTTAGATAATTAATCAGCTCATCATGAAGTCTCAATTTCCTAGGTCTTATTTCCATCGGGAAGGGGGCATTAAAGAAGTTTTCAATCTTAACAAATCACATGTCCAGTTTTACATTTTATAATTTATATCACGGAGTGCTCTTAGTTCGATAAACACGAAAAACCAGGAAGCACTGAAAGACTGTTTCGTGTAGGAATCCCCAGTAGTGTACATCAACTACCCCACCAGAAATGGAACACAGGACCTCAATGTCTCAAAAGCGAGCTTTTGACCTTTAGACCACTAAGTCTTCACCGAGTGATTCACGTTTCTAACTTTAATCAACCTGCCATATCTCACAGACAATCTACAACGCCAATGGCAGGTAACTGCTGCGCACTCAACATATTTGAATTCTACTGGTCACGTCTTCTCAGTCCAGTACTCCTTCAACTAGTATCAATCTATGACGAAGAGTATTCAAATTGGACCAATTTCCATAAATCACTCAATTAAACGTATCAAATAACTGAATTAACGCTGTTGGGAGCTGCAGACTTTTTTTTAATCAACTTGGTTTACGAAACGTACGAGACGGGAATCATGGTACAATATTTCTGTAGTACGAGTCATCGTAAACTTAGACAGTTAAAACGTTCAGGTTTGCTCAATAGTTTTGACAATATTGACTTATTTTGATAATGTAATAAGAAAACAAAGATTATCAGAACTACGTTGACTTAATAAGTGGTTTTAAAAACTTGGCAGCGCACATCGTCCAGTTAGGAGGTAAAGCATAGATGCAGCGTAACGTAGATGGTTAGTTGCATTCCTATGTCTTCTGTACATGGGATCAGATGAACACAGCTTCCCGGTGTACAGTCATCACAGGAATTGACGGCACCCGTATATTTAAGAAAGAAATTCCAGTCTACCAGTTGGTGTTATTGGATGCATCTATGAAGCTGATTTCAATAGCCTTTGGATTTCTGGCTTGAGAGCCATCTGATCTTATTGGAAGGTTTCCAGCGTTTTTCCATTTTATTATTTTGTCTGGTATACCAGTCCGAAACTCAGTAAAGATTCTGATGATAATGACAACGCCTTCTGTGAGGGTGTCACCTATTTCTATCACCTTGCAAAGAAGAGAGTTCCAGTGAATGGACTAGATGCACTCGATACAAATTTAATTACCGAACCGTTTTATTATGCAAATAAATCCTTCTGACTCAAGCAAAAACACTTAAGCTAAGACCTTGATTAGGTATTTAGTTGTTTTTTTTCCAAAATTATAGGTCGTTTATAATTTCTCACTTGCGGTTTGACTTTTAGTTGGTATATGAGGACAGGCGTGTCATACGTCTGGTATTAAACCAGCCCGTTAACGTATCGGCCTAAAATTATGTTCTCTTTTAGAGAGATTAAAGCACATAGGTCAAAGTGAGAGGACATTATCATATCGCAAGACATTTAATACAACATCAGTTAAGGTTAAATAGTACTATTAAAAGCTTATCGTCTGTTCTACATACCACGACATGTTCCATGATCAACAACATGATCTTCTTCGCATTGGTCACATCTACGCCCTTTAATACCAGGCCAACAATCACATTGTCCAGTATCTTGATTACATGTCTCCGATCTCGATCCTCCACTATCGCAATCACATGCTTGACAAGCAATCATGCTTGTTGGATCACCATAATAGCCAGGAGCGCATTGTTCACATCGTAAACCAGCATAGCCTACTTTACAAATACATTTATGTGGTAAAAGTGAGGGATCAGTTGATGGTGTACATGTGATTGCATAACTATAGAAAGTGAAAAAAGATGGAAAAATAAAGGAGATAAAAATTACTTTGATACGAAAGATACAAAAGAAAAACCTTAAATCCTTCACCATATATTGACTAATGAATTCCACATTATGACTGATTTACTTAAAATGGAAATAAAAATACAAATTTATCAATGTACAGATTTTGTACTTCGTTTAGTGGTTAGTCAAAGATTCTATTAACAATTAGATTGAAACTCCTCAGCAGAGCGGGATCGTCGATGCTTATTGCTGAGGAGTTCCGTACTGGGACGAAACGACCAACCAGCATTTTCAGGTTTTCAATGGTAGTCTAACTTAGATCGATTCATGAATTCAACTATTAAAAGAACAGGAAGACAAAAAAGGAATAATAGTTTAATGTAAGATTACTGAAATTGGACCAACTAAGTTCCTCTTCACAAATGATTCATAGTGATGCTTTTTTAGACTTTAGCTATTAAATCTAATCTATTGACACTGTATCATAATTCAGAAACTTTATCAACCATCAAGTGTAGCTGTTTTTCAGCATTCTCAAACAACCATGAATACGATTGAACCACTTAAGTAAACGGTTTCGTAGAAAAGGATTTTCATTCAAATACTAATCTATCGTTTTCGTATTCTTACTACGCGTTGTCAAATTCGGCATTTTTAACACCGAGCACAAATCAGTTAATCATTCCACAAACATAACAGTGACAAACATCCCAATAGGTAGGAAGATGAACTTAATAATATATGTCGGAAAAGCTTAATCAAACACTATAATGTATGTTTTTATCAACAAAATACTTACTCAGTTTGTTCGGTAGGACATTGACATTTAACACATGGTTGTCCAATTTTTGGATCGCCCATATAACCTGTAGCACATTTCCCACAGTCTGGGCCTTCTGTGTTACCGGTACAATCCAAGCATATTCCAGTGACTGGATCACAATTTGAGGACATACCATGACAACGGCATTTCTGTGCTCCACCTTCCCAAATGATGTGTCCTGTTGGAAGAGTAGGATCAATTATGGCAGTTGGTGGTAGAATTTCACGTCCAGGTTTTGGTTTAATTGGTGGGAAATAAAATCCAGACGAAGCAATCTATCAGAATGAAAACAAGGTAATGAAGAAAGACATCATAAAATACAATATTATTACATAATGATGATAAATCCATCTCATGAAAACTATATTATTTGAAAGCTAATTGATTTGTCGACAACATGAATTGGATACAAGTAAGCTATATTCGATTCACGGAATTGTGGAAATTCATTTAAACTACGTAGTGCAAATGATTAGTTATTAAGCAGTAACTAATATCATTTTTATACAATTATTTTATGCTGATCGAATGATATTGATCAAGTAGTCGACAGGGAACGCTGACTCCAAATTACATGGAATTAAATTAACACTGGAAAAATAAATGAACATCACACTAATCACTACTCAGTAATAAATCAGTCCTACAGCATGTCAGTTAAGGCACAACGTTTTATACTGTGTGGCTGGGTGATAAGAATCCTAGTTCCGTATTGCGTAACAGTTCCCTCAAGATTGTAGGTGTAGGTTTAGCACGAAACCTGACTCAAACTTAGGCCCGGGAGTGAACATCAACTATAGGTTGCAAATAGGACGAAATACGTGTCGTGGATTCCATTACTGGATAAGTTCTAGCATATAGTGAAGTGTATAAATAATAACGCTAATAACTAAGATATACATACCTCACAATGATCACCGGATGCAGTCGGTGGACATTCACATTTTTCAATTGTTTTAATTTCAATTCCAGATAGTGTTGTTATTTCTGTACGTGGTTGATAAATTTTATATTTTACACTAAAAGAAACAAAAATATGTTAAATTAAAAAACAAATCGTAAATTATAAGTAAGACAATCCATTAAATTTTGTTATTTTTTTTCTTTACAGAATATATTTTCAGTAAGTTATTTGATTATAAACAATATGGAAGTCAGTCAGTCAGTCAGTTAGTAACAACGTGGAACTTTGTACGTACGTACGTACATCAGTTCGAGTTGCCATATCACATTAGCACAGAGATGCAGTTGACGATTCAAATCCCATAGCGGTAGAAGTAGTAAAAGTATAAGCAGTAATCGGGATGATTAGGGTTTGAAGATGTTATTCAAGGAGTATAATCCAGTGAAATAAATTTGGAAGGAAAATAAGAGACATGAAGAATTCAAAAGATTAGAATTTGGGAGAACACAACGAGTGGATGCACCTGCGCCATTTCAAACGATTTTGAGCCATGTCATTCAAAGTCTCTAACCATCGGTTACTATCATCTCGTGGATCCCAACCAGGTAGTCTACACCTACCAACATGACTCAGTTCACTTGTCAGTGACTTCATGGACTTGTGCCATGTTTTGGCTTGGCCGCCCCTAGCTTTCTTCCAACCTACTCCTACACCATAAAACATCGCACGTCAAGGCAGTCGGTGGTTGGGCATACGTAACACATGTCCCAGCTATCTCAACTGATGAAGTTTCACTACTTCACCAATTGATTTACCATCCTTACCTAGTACCCGTTTCCTGACAACTGCATTACTTACCCGGTGGTCCCAGGTTATATGAGCAGTGCTTCGAAGACACCTGTGATCGGATACTAGTAACCTATGAATATCCCCTACTCTTACCGGCCATGTTTCACTGCCATAAAGTAGGACAGAGCGAACTACTGCGCAATAAACCTGTCCTTTGGTTGGCAGACGGATATCTTACCTACGCCATAAATGGCGCAAGTTGGCAACATGGAATGCACCACGTGTATGTGTTTGTTCAAGTTATTATACCATACCACGGTTATCACTTCTAAGCCAGATCATCCAACATATGCAATCTTTAGTTAGGACAATCGTGCTGCTCCTAATCAGATAGTTTTCATCTATTATCATGGCTCAGACTAATAGTCAGTGACTTCATGAACTGATAAAATGTTTTGCTTTGATCGCCCCAAATGTTCTTAATTCAGCCCATTGCGCAAGTTAATGGCCATCTGGACTCAATAGCTAAGTGGTAGATTTTAAAATGAACATTTCGTTTAACTTGGATTTTGTCAGTTTAATGTATTTGAATGTTTACGTTATAGATAATATTTATCATAACAGATGGACAACTGGTAACTATTTATTCTTTTCTACGACTACTACTACTGATACTGTAAATACTTCTACTACAACGAGATTTATATTGATATCATTTTGCTGTAGTAATGTAATGTGACGACTGGAACCGACACATATATCTTTCAGGTTCCATTTTATGTATGGCTATTCGTGCAGGTTCAATAAGCTCATGATCTACACACTAGCATTTAAAGCAATGAAGAGTAAGCACAGGCATGTTGGTAGATGTAGACTACGTAATTGAGGTCTGGTCGCTAACTTAGATCGGTGGTTGAAGACGTTGCATGATAGGACCCAGGACAGATGACAGTGACTCAGATCCATCCAACTTTTTTCGTCCTTTAAATGTTGAATTACAGTACTTCTTCGTGTATACCTTTTCATCTTGCCATACCAGTTCGACGATGATTATTTCATCTTGTTTCCTATTTATCATTTGAATTCCATCTCATTAACTAGTGTGGTGTGATTACAGCTGACTGTCCAACAGACAGTTATCAAGGTTTCTATTAAAAGTAACTCATATTATCAAAAAAGACTAACTTCGATTTAGTCTTTACTATCACGAACAAAGTAATATAAACTTTTATCATTAATCAGTCGGTAAATCGATGACCAAAAATTAGGTGATTTCTTCTGACCATCATACTGCTGTTTATTATTAGTCGGTTGAAGATAGTCAGGAGTAAAATCTGACTGGCTTAAGTGTCGTGATAGTTATCACTCGTCAGTAAGCTTATACTCCCTATAGGATTTTAACTCAAGTAGTTCAGTTTCACAGTCTGAGATATCATCACTTTCCTATATGCACTGTAAATGTTGTTTACTCTTTCGTAGAAGAATTTATACACTGAGAAATGCTTTTGTTAATTATCAAAGGAAACCTATTTTGGAATTTTAAATGTTAAGTTCCACCTAGCTACAAAAAACTTACCTTACAAGTTTGGGTCTTGCTTCAGGCATAAATAAACGTACACTGAATGATGTAACATTAAGTAAAGCTAACATTAATTCATTACGTGTTGGTCGAACACGTGTATCAATACCAGATACACGTGTTATTACCCAATCTTGTTCACGAAGCCAAATTTGACGATAACCATCCGCAATAGATGTAGGTGAATTTTCCTAATAATAAATAATAAAACATTATTGAATTGTTAAACTGATCAAATTCATTATTTGATATTAATCAATAATATTGAATGAGTCTTCCTTCATTAATATAAGAATATTTTGACTTGAATTCAATAATGATGATGATGTCTCAGGAACTGTAATGAAAGTTTGTCAATTAAACAACTTAGTTGAAAGTATAATACAACTATCATAAGCAATATTAATACCTAAATGATTAGTGAAGTCCGACTATGTTGGGTATGAGGTGATAGTTGCACAATACAACATAGTGATTGAAATTGAACACGTAAACTACTGAACAACGACTAAGTGGTCTAAAGATTAAGAGGTCAGCGTGAGAATTTCAATTCATGAATCCGATTATCAATGGGATTGTGGTTTAGGATGTCCATGTAACCCTATACCAAGAGGAAATAGCTGTTCATCACTTATTACTTTTCAATGGTTATTAGACTAGAGTTAATTCATAATATAAACTATATAATATTTGAGTGGTTTATTTGAATATATCTTTTTTTTGCAGAAACAAGCAAACACAACAACATTAAATCATTATCAACTAATCCATAATTAACTTACAGATGGTTGATATTCCATTTCGATATAACCATTTAATGCTGTCATTCGAGCATCTACAATATCATTTCTACGTATAATTAACCCTCCGGGTAAATCCTCTCTATTTGACAATATGGTAGTAGTTTGTGCATCTTCAATGCCAAGTTTACAATCACCAGTAGGTAGACATTCTGTCAATACACCTATAAGTACACTTCCATAATTACGCATCTAAATGTGATATAAAAGAAAAACGCACAAATATTTTCAAAGTATTTACTATAAAAAATGAATTACAGAGCTTATCATATGATATGTGGCTAGGGAAATTAAGATATGATTAAACATTGAACATGAACTGACAGATATTCAGCTTACTGACTATTATATATATAGATCAGAAGGGGTTTTGTAGATATTATAGTAGTTTTAATAGTTGATATCATGAGTCGATTGAAGTTAGACATTAACACCGTCGGATATTGGCCGGCTCAGGGGTCTAATAGTTAAGCGCTCGCGCGCGAGACTTATAGGTTCTGGAATTGAGTCTCGCGAGACGGGATCGTGGATGCGCACTGGTGGGAAATCCCACACTAAGGCAAAACAACCATCCAGTGCTTCCAGGTTTTCCAGGGTGGTCCAGCTTCAATTGACTCATGATCTTAACCAACAGAATGCATATATGTGATTTCCTTTGTTGTTGATGATTTCTGTTCTGGTTCCCAATTTTATTATTGTATTGTGATAGCATACTGCAGAAATGAAAAGTATTTTCATTCTCCCTTTATATCACCATACTAATAACAGTAATAATACTCACTTCATTCAATACTATATGCTTGATTACAGTGAAGAATTGTCGACACAAAATATACATTGTGACAATAAGATTCTAGTTTAATGTTCATTTAACTCTTTCATAAATAAATAAATTTTTAAAAAAAAAAATTCAAGTTTTTAAATAGTAGTTACTTGGCACTCAGATTCATCTGTAACCATTTAAGATACAATCATACCTTTGAGATATCTTTTCTTCACCAGATAACAACATGTAGCTAGTGAGTAAAAACAGTTGGATGTCTATCTATGCTAAATGTATGAAGTGCTTATAGAATATTAGTAAACTCCTTTTCATTACTTAATTCAATGTACTGTACTCTAGATTTCACATTATGATAATAAGTAGTTAATATAGCTTAAATAGTTTGATTTGTAATCATTGATTGGAATCGTATATTTGTGTATATTGTCTGTAGTATCGTGGTCTAGTGGGGCCAATCGCATTACCCCATCTTGTCATACATGAGGTCAAATTCATTTATTATTTTTAACATTACAACAATTTGATTTATGAATTCTATCGTAATCATCCCTTGTTTCTCGAAGGCACAGTCCTAGAGAACAATGCACGAACTATTGTGATGGTAATTTTTGATTATTTTTTTCAGTTTGCAGATTTGCGATAAGTTGTAAACATTGAAATACATGAGTATATGTTTGGAATTTACATTCAGAAAAATTTCGACTTAGACGTTTGAATGGGTCCTTAGTCTTTCCTTCCCCCCCCCCGCACACACACACACAATTTTTGATCAATAATGATAAAATATTATTCAAAACTTACTAATGAACCCTTTAATTCTGGTATTTCTAAATGAGTTGGACGATGTACAGAGAAACGCCAACTGAATTGACTTAAACCAATAGTTAATTCATTTATATCAATATCTCTTAAACCAAGTTTTAAATCAATTAACGGTCCACCTGGATAACGTGGATCATCAGTAGAAATTATCTTTATATTGAAATAGAAAAAGTAGACTTAATGGAAAAAGTGTATTTCCTATACAAATAAGATGAAATATGGTAAAAGGTATAAAATAGCAAAGTGTAATTGTTTTTAAGTTTGTATCTTTATTCTGTTGAGTAACAGACAATGACTAGCAACTTGAATAGTCTACTGATATTACTATCATCAATCTAACAAGTGACAAGATAGAAACTGGAACCAGTCAATGAATTTTTGCAGACCTCTTAGACAAATAACAATTATATGCTTAATAATAGACTGATTTCATGATAAATTACTGACAATCTATGGAAAAGTTCTGAGTAGTATAATCTAATCATATGATAAATAAGGCAGTTGCTGTTAAACAGTATCATACTATATTATAAATTGACTGAAGTTGGAAATTTGAACTATCGAATTTCGACTCAATAGTTTAGAGGTGATGGTCATACATTCAAACTTAAAAGTTTTCGATGCAATCCATGATGGGATCATCAATGTGTACTGTTGAGAGGTTTTATATTAAGATGGAACAAATGTTCAGTGAATTCAGGTTTTAAAAAGTTTTACAAATAAAAGAAAACGTCAGTGACTAAATCCAGTATAAATGTGAATCAATCTCCATAAACGATAGAACACAAAATAGAATCCTTGGTAAAATAATGAAAAATTCAGTCAGTCAGTCAGTCAGCTACAACGTAGGACCAGGAACACATGTGCATCGGTCCAGGTTGCCATGCCTCATTAGCACAGCAAGATGAACACCGGATTCATAGGAGTGGTTAGGTCAAAGGTGGTAATATATGGGAGAAAGATTGCATATAAGGATACAGTACAGGAAGAAAGAATTAGTTAGTAGAAAGAAAGATTTGAAGTGATTTTAATCTCTTAGTTTAAGGGAAGACAGGGAGTGTATACACCGACACCATTGTGATCGATTCCGAGCCATGTCACCCACTGTTTTCAACCATTGGTTACGAAAGTCACGCGGACCCCAACTAAGTAGTCTGCATCTACCAACATGGCTCAGACTAGAGGTTAGTGTCTTCAAGCACTGATGCCACGTTTTAGTTTGGCCGCTCCTAATTCTCTTCCAACCATCTCTAACACCGGTTAGCATTGCACGACGTGGTAATCGGTGTTCAGGCATACGTAACACGTGGCCCAACCATCTCAGTCGATGAAGATTAACAACCTCATCAACTGATTTACCATCATTACCTAATACCCTGCGTCTAACCTCTCTTCAGGAAACGCTATTGATTGACATTATTAGCGAACAATCATAATACATATCTATATCACAGATATAACCCAGATAATTACTATGTCTATGCACAGAAAACATCCAATATCAGTTTAATGATACATTATAATGTCAAGCCGATGGTGTAGCTATTGAAAATCTTTTAGAATCGGTTCTATCCGATATATTTGTTAAAAAATTTAATAAGAATGTAATTAATGTCTACTATCAATAACATTGAACTTTATGTAAGGTACACCGATGTTACTTTCGTATGGTCTAACAATATAAATCTCACAAACAAGATACTTAAGACTTTCAACAAAGTTTATCCCAACATCAAATCCTCAGTTTAATGTGAAAGAATGGATAAGTTTCATTGTCTAGATCTAGATACCTTTCAAGGAAATTATGGAACCTGTCAGACTCATAAATCCGAAATAAACATAGAATAATATGTTAACTTTCATAGCTGTTGGAGAGTAAAATTCTGATAATGGTTTGGCGAAAACGCTCTACTACAAAACCAGAAAATTATCCTCATCATAAAATCAAGATTTAGTAATAAATAAATATCTTTAAGAAAATGGTTAAGCAATCATTAAGAAATATACTACTGATTGAAAAGAATTACATTCAAAAGTGACCAAGTCATGAATAGAATCCATCAAAGTCTTGAGGAATACAATTCCTTTCATTGGATATAATACTTTGTTCAATAAAGTAAACGAAAGTCAATTTATGTGTTCTTACAAACCAAAGTATTTAGTTTTTCAAGGACAAAAAGATCAGTGTTCACACATTTTGTTGGATATATTCCAAAAAATCTATAATTTCCAGGACAAAATATTGTTTACTTGTTCGAAAGTACAACACCAACTTGAAACAGAATGTAAAGTGGGTACAATGAATGTATTCTAAATAATTAACAAGCAATATAATATTACAATCATAAGCAAAGACGGATAGTGGATAGCAGTGAAATCCGAGACACACGTTCCGTCCTTTTTGGGACTCGTCAGCTGAATGCACCTGCATGAGTTAATGTTCGCTCTGGGGCTCGAACCCAGTACCGCTCGCTCTAAACGCTACCGCGCGACTCACTTAGCTACTGAGTACTGAGACGTGCATCGTGGATTTCACTACTAGCCAATATCCATCTTTGCTTGTAACGCTTGTGAACTGAAGCAATATGCACAGTATGCACATATGCCAATAAGAGAATGATCAATTACAGTCCTAAATAACAATGGGAGGATGCAAGTAAACAATACCATGTGAATTTAATGTAATACTACATTATTAAACTTTGCAGAAACCATAGTAATTAGATAACTTGAATCTAACTTTGTGTTTGGAAAAGAGTTAATAGTTAATTTTCATCAATCTTGGCAATCAATTTTACCTTGGGTTATATATATAGTGAATGGTAACTGCTGGAATCTATTTATGGACTAATACTATACGTGTATTTTTATCGTATAATTATTAAGTAACTAAACTGTTCATATTAATATTCCTCTTATTATGAGTTTTATTTTGACCTATGAACTATTATTATACGATTAACCATTCTTGAGCTATGGCTTGTCTATCAGTTACTATCTCCCACATTCAAAGCCACATTTGGCTAATATCATGTACAAATGTTGTTTCCCATTATATGGTGTAATGTGGTCTGTTTGGTTGATATATTAACCCAGTATGTTTGAAATCAATGATTCATATCGCAGAGGCTGAGATTGGTGTTGTGGACTCAACAGACAGGGTTAGGCAGGAAGCAGAACCGATAGAGACTCTAGTCTGCACGTACGGGTTCACGCGTCAGTGTTTCTGCCGATAAATCACTGTTCTCTAAATGGCAGCATCATCACGTTATACATTGATAGGGACAAAGGGCACAAGTTATAACATCTTGTCTCAATTTTATTCTAATTACAATTTAGTTAGCCTATATTGTCTCTTCATACTTGTCATTATAAAAAAAATTATACTATTGTGTTAAGCTATAAATTTAATTCATTAATTACTTCCAACCATGAGGTGTGTTGTCATATACAATCAATTTCCTACGGATCAGTTAAATAAACAACTTTATATTTTCTACATTAACGAATTACATAATACATATACATTCAAATGTTTCATTACTTACTTCAACTCCTTTCACTTTCCCTGGAACTGAACGATAACCAGTCAATAGACTACAACGAGATGATGTACCAGTTGGAAAACAAAAACATGTATAACAACCAAGTGGATAATCAATATTTAAACCAAAAGTTCCAGGTTTACATTGATCACATTGATCACCCTAGAAAAAAATATTAAAAAAAATAATAAATGGAAATCAATATTTTGAAGGCATCATAAACTATAGTTGGTATAATAGTGAAATGAAGAAAGATTAAATTTGATCAGAGCATTATATTTGATTAGCTGACTAAAACTATTCACTGTTGAATTGAATTGTGTTACAGGAGATGTAGATTCGTACAAGATAGTCATAACTTAAAGTTTCAGTTTATAAATGACGTGGCTAAAATTCGATTGGAGTAGGTTACATTACACCATTCACAATCCCCCTTTAATTTTTCTAATATAAATGTTACTATATACTTCTCAATGCTCAATTTTATTCATTCTTCCCAAAATTTATATCGTATCAGTATATTTGGTAAGTGGTTAATAGGGAAATACAGTATGTATGTTTCGGCCTGTATAAGACTCGTCAACCGGACATATTCTTATCAAATGTGTTAATATTCATGCTTAGACTAAAACTTAGTATAATCAAAATGAGTTTAATTCAAAAGTGAAATTTGACTGATGAAATAGTGTGACATGAAGTCAAACAAGAATGTGATAACTGGTGACAATTGCATGTGCTTTAGAAAATCAAAAGTTTACCCTAAAGTTTCACTTGTCGATAATAAGATTCTTATGAGTTTACAGGTTATTCGGAATCGATGTAATATAACTAAAAGTGGGAGAGAAAGGTACTACATTTGAATCTTGGAGTGAATATTAACTTTGAGATTTCAGTACATCCTCCTGATAAGTCTCATATAGTATGAAACGTGAACCCTGAAATTTACTGTTAGCCACATTTCATTTGTTCTGCATAAACTTACATTATAATGACTATGTTGATGTAATCCACACAGGATGTGTTTACGCCAAATAAGACAAGTGAAAATTTAATAAAAATATCAACAACGAGATAATCCAGTTTGTTACAAATTCAATATACGAGTTCTTGTATTCAAAACAGCTTTAGTAGAATGGAAACTTTGTTGCTGATGTCTTCTACTCAATTAGGTCTACTGATTTACTAGTTGGATAAGGTATGGTCGTTAGTTTTGGCTATTTTACATTGGAACAGCTGTTTTCTGACTGATTTACTTTGTTCGTTTACAAAACTTCGGAAAGTCAGTACAGGATAATATAAGTGACTCAGATAACTAATCTTCAATGATCGATATTAAAAACACATAAAAGTTCGTTTTAATCAATCAGGTGTTAATTTCTAGGAATTCTAGGCAGTACTAAACATAATAATGTAAGTTAAGAAATACTCAAAGTGAGAATTTTGTAATTCTCTCTTACTTTAATGTTGTGCTGAAGATGTTAATTAACTTGACACTAACCCACCTACTTCTAAAGATTTCGTACCAGAATAGATTTACAACTAATCCTAGTTGACAGATCGTAAACATCAATTATAATAATACAGGCACATATTATTCCCGAAGTACGTTTTTATTATTAAAAAATGAAACTACTAATGAGTAGTATAAGGTTTAAATGCAAAATGTTTTTACTACATACTTCAACATTTTCTTTACAGTTACATTGTCCATCAATTGGATTACATGGTACAACCGTATCTGATATGGATAGATTTCCCCATGCAGTACCACGCATATCACAGTTGCATTTTCTACAATAAGGATAACCATAATAACCCTTACTGCATTCATTACATGCACGACCTGAAAATTCGGGTTTACATGTACATTGTCCCGTGGTTAAATCACATTGATCTTCAAGGCCTATAACGGAACCATCTATCGAACAATTACAATTCTGCAGTTTACAAAAAAAAGATAAGTTATAAAGGGTTAGTAGTCGAACAGTATAGAACATAAGTGTGTGAAAAACGTCGAGACACATACTTGAATGGTTTAGTCACCACTCAATACGGTTGTACAATATGTGCACTTTCACTGGAACCCACGATCCATTTAAGCTTATCCATACCAGAAACTTTAAGCTAACGTGAGAATTGAATGGTGAACAGTTTAATAGCCTCTACTGTCTACCTATGTGTGAAATTAGTAGAAGGATAGTAACGTTGATGATTTGAGAGGATATACATACTTTGTGTGTACAACAACACACATTTAATGGAAATTCACTGAATTGTTCGTTGAATCAACGATTTTTAATCCTTGTGACCGTAGATATGAAACATAACAGAAATTCTTGAAATACGACTAAACTGCGAAAGGGAGTAACGGTAAACAGAGACAAATAGGCTTACAAGTTATGCAAGTAAGTAAATAATGACTATTTCTAACCAGTTGATAACAGTTTCAAGCAATATTATTTATGATATCTAATGTCGGGTTTCTACAAGTTAACAAAGTGCAGTCAAGAAGCCTACATTATACCGGAGTCCTCAGATCAAAGTTCAGCATCTACAAAGGCCGATTCTCTCCAAACTTTATTCAGTTGACCTTCACACGAATCAGTAAGGCGAGAGTTAGAGGAAGTCCAAAAGAAACCCTGGATCTAGATTTTCTGCTACTTGGCACTCGTCATCAAGAATTAGTCGCGATTCTGAAGACTGATGCATTTTGATGAATTTGACCTCGTGCAACTCAGACTTACAGTCAGACTTGTTACCACTGAGCCGATCGAGAAGCGATTGACACCCTGTAAGACATTTGTGTTCACGATTGATAGATTATTGAGTTGTGACCAGTGCTATGTTTGTCATGAACTTTTTAATGATGATCGAATTCTATCAATCAGTAGAACACGTTCAAATACAAAACAAATTTATATATGTAATACATAACCAAGTAGCTGTAAAACGTCTTCGACTGACTCATCAGTCCTGCCTGGAACATTGTGCTTTATAATGAAAATATAAACTTTGTAGTTTAACCCTATAGCAATCATACGAACGTCAAGACAGTTCTACTGTACAGAGCTGAAACTTAGAGAACTACTACAACCATCATCAAGAAGGTACAAGTATTCATAAATAGTTGTCTACGCAAGATACTCAACATCCATTGGTCAGATACCATCAACAACAGTCTTCTATGGGAGAGAACAAACCAGCTTCCAGCTGAAGAGGAAATTAGGAAAAGACGTTAGGAATGGATAGGGCATATATTACAGAAATCACCAAACTGTATCACAAGACAAGCCCTAACTTGGAATCTTGAGGGGAAGCGGAAAAGAGGAAGGCCAAATAACACATTACGTCGAATAATAGAAGCAGATATGAAAAGGATGAATAACAACTGGAAAGAGCTGGAAAGGTTTGCCCAGGACAGGGTTGGATGGAGAATGCTGGTGAGCGGCCTATGCTCCTCTACGAGGAGTAACAGGCGTAAGTATGTAGGTAAGTAAGCAACAAGGTACATTTTCATTTCTCCGGGAACCAATGTTACTTCAAAGATTCGAATTTCTTTTCATTCGATGATGTAATCATGTTTTGATTCAAATAATGATGACCATCAAAAAACACGAAGCACTGAAAAACTCTCGTCCTAGTGTGGGACTCATCAGTAGCGCGCATCATCCACGCCATCAATGGGGAGTTAAATCAGAAGCCTCAACTCTCATGGTAATCTCTTAACCCTAAGACTGCTGTGAAAGCCAGTGGAGTTCAACGGTGTTCAGAAAATCTCCTTTAAATATACATTTCTTACACTCATAATAAAACGATTAGACTAACTTTACAACCAATCACTGGATTATAGTCCCATGAACCAACAACGCATCTATCACATCGATCACCTTCAGTATTTGGTGGACAAATACATTTTCCCGTAATCTGATCACAAACTTGACCATTTGGGCAAGGCAAACAAGCTATAAAATAAGAAATCTTATTTGAGTATAAAAGACAAACAAAAATGTAAATGTTGTTTTAAAAAATAAAACTTTTCTTCCAAACATTCTATAACTCCTTTTTTCTCCAACCATGAAATCTTGACATCTGACATGAAAAAAAAACACTAAGCATGATATTAGCATAAACAGCTATTTTGTGTTTAGATAGATGAACCTTTAGGAATCAGGTTACATTGTAGAAATATTTCTTCTTGATTTGGGACTTTTAAGAAGTTCATGCAAGTGGATCCATACAGGATCAAATCTGGATGATATTCTTCATATTCTTTTTGTTAGTTTTATTATCATTGATGACACTGCTTCTCTTCTGAATAATCTACTCTTAATGATGTTAATTTTATCTTGTTGTGTTACTTTCAGCCGATGATCATTTATGCTAGGTTCTACTATGTTAACTATGATTGATCGACTAACTCTATAGTTGTACTTGAAAAAAGTTTAAGTAATGAAAAACGTCGTGTAAATTTTGAGTAATCTATGATTAATGTGCAGGTTCATAGGGAGAAAGAAACAATAAAGACAGGATATTTATTATCAATGTCAACACTTACGTTTACAACCATTTTCAGAAACACCAAAATATCCTAATTCACATTCTGTACAGTCTCGTCCTACTACATGTGGAGCACATTTACACTGACCAGTATTCATATCACATTCAGTTAACTGAGTTAATGTTCTAGTTAATTCAGTTCCAATTCCACAATTACATGGTAAACAATTTGATCCAGTGTTATTCCAATAGAATCCAGGCTACAATAAAATAAATGAATAGAAATTAGTTCTTATGAACATAGATCTAACATTTGAATGATTTGAAAGAAAATATGTATATATTAGCCTTAACTAATATGCTAAATATCATGATTTATGCAGTTTTCTTGCTCTAATTCTACTTCCTTTTCCTGTATTCTGTTCTACATATGCCAAACCACTGCCTACCTCGATGGGTGATGTTGTCTAGTATAGGAGTAAGATGAAAGAAAGCTAAGTGACCAAGCCATGATGTTTCACCGATCCATGAAGTCACCGACAGTTGAATTGAGCAATGTTAATAGACGTAGACATCTGAAGGAAAACACGGAATACAATGGACAGCTCAGAATCAATTAGACGATTTGACTTCGCAGATGACCTAGCCCTCCTATCACGTACACACGAACAGATGCAGATGAAGACAGCCAGTGTAGCAGCAGTCTCTGCATCAGTAGGCCTCAGCATACACAAAGGGAAAACTAAGGTCCTCAAATTCAAAGCGGAGAACAGCAATCCAATCACACTTGATGGCGAAACTCTGGAAGATGTAGAATCCTTCACATATCTGGGAAGCATCATCGATGAACAAGGAGGCTCAGATGCAGACGTAAAGGCGAGGATCGGCAAAGCAAGGGCCGCGTTCCTACAGTTGAAGAACATATGGAACTCAAAACAACTTTCAACCAATATCAAAGTGAGAATCTTCAATACGAACGTCAAGGCAGTTCTACTGTATGGAGCTGAAACCTGGAGAACTACAACAACCACAATCAAGAAAGTACAAGTATTTATAAATAGCTGTCTTCGCAAGATACTCAACATCCATTGGCCGGATACCATCAGCAATAGCCTTCTGTGGGAGAGAACAAACCAACTTCCAGCTGAAGAAGAAATTAGGAAAAGACGATGGAAATGGATAGGACATACATTACGCAAATCGTCAAACTGCATCACGAGGCAAGCCCTAACTTGGAATCCTGAAGGGAAGCGAAAAAGAGGAAGGCCAAAGAACACATTGCGTCGGATAATAGAAGCAGATATGAAAACGATGAATTACAACTGGACGGAGCTAGAAAGGATTGCCCAGGACAGGGTTGGATGGAGAACGCTGGTGAGTGGCCTATGCTCCTTCACGAGGAGTAACAGGCGTAAGTAAGTAAGTAAGTAATAGACGTAGACTATCTAGTTGGTGTTCGCGTGATTATCTCAACAAATGATTAAAGACTTTGGGAGACATGGCTAAGAATCATTCACTCCTTGTCTTCCTCTAGAACCTGAGTCTTAAAATCTCCTCATTACTTTTGTCATTTTCTGTAGTTATTTTTTACTATTACTGCTGCTGATTTTATCACTACTCGTACTATTCTGAGATTTGTCTTGAAATGATTTTAATTCTCTGCGTTAATGATATTGATGATGTATTCCGTTTAGAACTTCATCAAATGAACGATGTTGAAAATTTATTTCACTTTTGACTATAAGCTATTTGTAGCTAATCAGAAGTCAATAGAGTAAAAGGAGAGCTCAAACCCTATGAGGACATCATTCTCTTCTAGACTGCCTATATACTATAGTAGCGAGTCCTGACTAACATGAAATCTAGCTCTAGGGTTTGCTGTAGAGTATTGAACCTCGTCCTAAAATAACAACTACGTTGAAAAGATTGAAAGGCAGGTATTCCCATGTCAAAATGCATATTACTTCAAAGAATCTACGAAAAAACATTCACATTTCAATTATGTATCACTCGTTGAAGACGATACATGAGATGAACATAGTGAATCTATTCAAGAAATTTCATTATACTGAGTAACTCTGTCGTACAAAGATTTCTATTGAATATAACAATGAAGAGGATAAAAGTTGATCTTAGTACTTAAAAGGAGTTATTCAATTATCCTCAGATTACTTTTGATGCCATAAATAAGTAATCTAAATAACTCATTTCATTTGTTATAGCAATCAGATTTATCCATACATTCCAGTTACAAAGTTATCATTTCTATTTACTTGACTTGAATGTACATTAATTTGATGATTTCAGTATAAAGTTATTCATCTTTATCAGCATTATTTTCTTCACCATTTGTAGATCGATAGGATTATCATCAAATTAATTAAAATACTGTCAAGTGATCTATGATAATTAGTTGGAAACCCCACACCTAGATTTTACTTTAGTTGATACTTTTCAACCAGGCGAACCTGTAGTCTTGGGTTAACTGATACTCTTTGCGAGATTCAAATTGGAGTCGTCACCCACTATCATAACGTGAGACATTTTTCACTGAAGTAGTCGAGCTCTTGACCTAGTTTCTTTAGGAATATTTAATATTAATTGACCAATGTGCAGTGAGCAGTTCCACGTTTATCTAGTCCTCTAATACGAATCGAATGTTATTAATCACGTTTTAATGTGGTCACTTGCTTAAATTACTTGACATTACTGAAACACTTTTAAAGTGTCTTCTGTAAACCGACTATATTAATACTTTCAGTAGATTATCTGTTAGTCTTTTTTGTCACTTATCTGTTACATTTAAATACCTTCGTTTCCATGACATCATTAAACATATAATTTACTGTTGGGAGGCTAAGACTTGCGTTCTGGACTCAACTGGCTGGGCTAAACAGGGATGCAGGACCAATCGAAAATCTAGGCCGTTCTTACGTGTTTACGCGTCTTTGGTTCGATCAATAATTCACGCTCGCTAAACTCCACTCAGCAGTTTCTTTCACGTCATAACATTTACAATCATAAGTTATTTGTTCTGAATAATTAGGATTTATCGAAATTTATACATTTGTAATGATTAAAACAAAACTTACCAAACATTTATCACATGTATCCCCAATTACATTCTCACCACATTTACATTGACCAGTGATTGGATTACATGTTCGATCGATTGCTCTTGAAGTACATTTGCACTCTGTAAATAATGTTCGTTTTATAAAACAGAGACATATATATATATATATATATATATATATATATATATATATATATATATATATATATATAATATGAACAGAAAAACAAGAAGCTACGACAGACTACAGGAACTAGTTTCGGGAATATTATTTCACTTAATTCCAAACTTGTAAAGCAATAACACATATTTTTGTTTCTAGTTTATTCTTTAGAACATAAGCTTTCGTTTGATGTATGATTCACTGTCATATCTTTTTCTGTTTCAAAGCTATTGTATTTTAAACGTAATCTTTTGTACTCTACTTTCTACCCTAATCCCTAGTTTTGGACATCATTGTATTTTTTCTAATTGTTTGCACGTAATTGTCTGGTTTATCATCCATTTATTCATGTATCTTTTAACACTAATCTTAAAAACGGGAACCATATCGGAATTAGGAATAAATGGAGTAGTGTTCTAGTTGACTTGTGTTCTCTCACTCGCGTGCTTGTCAGCCGATCAGGTGATAGAATAGTTTTCGTCACTCTACCCTAAGTAGATAGTCTCAATTCGAACTTATGCATACTAGCCTCAAGGTTAAACCAGTCAACTTTATCGCTTGAAGGTCTTAATCTTGATTGAGACAAGTTATCCTCTGCATATTAGTGGACAGACGGCGAGGCTATAATTTATGGACGAACCAATCAGGTTTCGGATAACAGATCTAGCATTTTGGAGGGAAATTCATTCACTTATTTTTCTAAATAACGTTTTGGCATTTTAGCTTTATAACCATCATTCAGCCCTGGTAAGTAGGTGGACGTTCTCAAGGTTACTTTAGCGTTACTCAAAGGTCATTCATGAATTATAATCTCAGCAAATAAAGTCTACGTTACAATTCGATAGTCCGTAATATCATACTTATCAACACTAGTTACTTTCTATCCATCTAATTTAATCTTATAATATTTTTGCTTTCTTTAAATTGATGATCATAAGTTTGATGTGTGAAATAATCTTGGTTGAGACTAAATATCAAAATTATCCCCTTGATAAGTTGTAATTTAGCTGACAGACTATTAACATGACAATAACAACAGAGTAATTCCCATTGAATCTTATTAGTTTAATGGATTTATGAAGATTGTTGAGTTCTATAGTTTACATCACTAACTGACCTTGGTAAGATAACCACTGAAAACTAGGAAGTACTTGATAGCTGTACTCTGACCCTAATGGGGATGGGATACAGAAATTTCAGGTCACAGTGCGAGCGCTTAGATTTTAGGTAACTAACCCAGCATTCAATAGCTTTACATTTCTAGTTTTAATCACAATGAATCTAGCATAAATCATCAATGCTACTTAGATTTCGAAATGATGATGAATAATGTTTACTTCCACTAAAAGTAATTGCTGATGATGTAGTCCAAAGCGATAACAAAGGATTCATAATAGAACTGTTTACGTTCAGACAACGTAAAATAACCAGAAATACAAATAATCCAGTTTATTATCTTCAAAATCCACCAAAACACTAACAAAATACCTGTGACTTAAAATTTCTGTGGAGCTTCTAACTTGAACTATAGGTGAATGCTCAAAATAAATTACAATTTTATCGTTATTCAATGCATGACCATTTTGAGTGTTCAGACATATTTATTAGATTTGTAAATCTTCATATCAGGTGTGAGACCACATCGTAAGTGATTGAAGTTGTAAATACACATCAATGCATGGCAGTTTAGTGACCGAGAGGTTAATCGTTCACGCGCAAGACCGCGGATCCTAAGATCTGTCCCCAAATATAGAGTCGTAGATGCGCGCTAAATCATAATCATGGTAATAATCGTAGTTAAAGATGAGTCCTGGAGTGAATATCAGCTCTGAGTTGCAGGTGCATCCAGCCAACGAGTCCTAAATAGGACGAAATCTGTGTCCTGGATGCCATTGCTAACCATCATCCATCTCTACTTGTAATAGTCGAAGATGATTAGAAAGACCCAATTGCTTTGATGGCTAAATTGATGAGACGTCAATCATTTTATTGAATAATCTCAAAATAATAAAACCGTTTATAAAGATAACAGTAAATGTGAGTGTGAAAGTTTGACTAAAATGGTCAATGAAGGTGTTATTATGATTCCATGACATTTAATGAATGTTCCTAAAGGTTACAGGTCAAACAAGCAACAACAAAAATTTTCAAAAGTATTTTGAAAACAAAAGAAGAAATATGGGATAGAAGGTTAACAGTTAATTGATCATCATGACAATACAAAAGTGAACTGTAAGTTCTTTTTGTAAACATAAACTGAGGTTCAGACAACAAACAGTAGTACTGGAGTCTACTGAACGTCTAGTTGGATATGAGTGTTTCTGATATTCATATTTAATACCATGATTTTGGTAGACAGACGAAGAGATGTGAAGCGGCGATGTTAGGCATGCCTATTCAAGATAGTACTCATTGCAAGCATTGATGCAACTCAAAATAGGCAATGAATAGTTTGACAAAGAAACAGGCATTAGATAAAACAATAAGTGTACAGGCTCACACAAATGAGATGAACAAGTGTGAAATTATAAAGACACAAATATAATAAGTATATATGTACTGAAAGTCACAACTTCCTATGAAACTAATAAAGTTATTAGCAAGGTGAAAATGACTTAATTGTTACTTACTGTCTAATCAAGAATTAGGATAATTAGAAGTTGGACAGATATATCCTTTTTGAGAACAGTTGTTTGTCTTGCTGTTTCATATGTTTACTTGAACCGCTTACTCATAAACTCAAGTAAGGTCTTAGAAACAAAGAAAATGAAAAAAAAAATAAACTAAATATATCTTAGATTTATTACCTGTACATCCATTTGGACCTAGATTATAATATCCTACTTGACATGTTGAACAGTCTAAAGTACCACCAACTCCTGGTTTACAAGAACATTGTCCAGAGACAGGATCACATGATGTTAAATATTCTGGTCTGGTACCAATAGGATCACATTGACATGGTGGACAACCAGCTTCTGTATTACCACGACCAGATATACAACGATCACATCTAACACCTTCATATGTTGATAAACAATTACATTGACCATCTTCAAGTCTACATGATGGAGAGATGCTGCCTTTTGGATGACAATTACAAGCTGAAATAAATTCAAACAAACGAACTATTTAAGGTTAATCAAATAAGCATTTAGGAAAAATTTTATTGAAATAACCGAGATATAGTAACAGCACTTTTGTTTAATAAAAGTTTGTATAAACTAACGTTGTCTAGTTTGTTCTTTATAACCCCTATATCGATCGAAGTTTATGTATATTACGAATGTAACATTACACATTGAATTTAGTATGTACAATAAGCAGTACTGGTTACATAGTTGAAAAGAAAACAAATTTCGCGCAATTTCGTGAATTGGTTGAGGTTAGACATTAACACCGTTGGATTTCAGCCAGCTCAGTGGTCTAGAACTTAATCGTCCGCGCGCGAGATCGTGGATGAGCACTGCTGAGGAGTCTCACAATAGAAGGAAACAGCCATCCAGTGCTTCCAGGTTTTCAATGGTGGTCTAACATCAATCGGTTCATAATCTCAATCAAAAACGTAATGATCTCCACAAGCCCATATTGACAAATTTCGCTTGATTTAAATTTCATACAATATTAGTATTTATTTTTGTGTCAGGAATTTCCGATTCCCAATAAAACTTAGTGCGATTCTTATTTAGTATATATGATACTGTAGTACTACAGATATCATCAAAAATGTACAGGTATTTGTAAACAGCTGTCTATGCAAGATTCTTTAGATTTGCTGGCCAGACACCATCAAGAATAACCGACTGTAGTAGAGAATAAACTAGGCTCCAACTGAGGAGGAAATTACGAAAAGACGCTGGAGGTGGGTGGGACGTACGTTGAAGAAATCATCAAATTGGATCATAAGCTCTAACTAGGAGTTCTCAAATCCAAAGGAATATAAGAAGACCAAAGAATACACGGAGCCAGGAATCGGTGCCAGACATCAAAGGAATGAATAATATTTGGAAACAACTGCTAGACACTAAAGTATGATGTTATCATTGTTTGTTGTATGTAAAATATATATCGATTTTTCTTATGTCATGAATGTGGTTGACTTAGGTTATTATCATAAATTACCAAGAAGGTTAATAATAATAATAATTTCACATTTTAATATTAATGAAGGTTAGTTTCCACTTGAACCAATCAATATTTCACCAATTACTGACAAGATTGCCTAATTTCTACACTACGTTGCCTTTTAACGTTACCTTCAATGTGATTTGAGAAGGAAGGATGTCATTGAATATTAAAATTATTCTTGAACCAAATTCATCTACTAAAAACAATATGCTTGAAAGCCAAAACTATTTTTATTATTTAGTCGAAGGATCATGTTACAATTTGTGGCCTGATGACCTATTAATATATAACGTAATGTTACCGCCAATTAGAGAGCAATAATTTATCGACAGGAACACTGACGCGTGAACCCGTACGTGCAGACTAGAGTCTCTATCGGTTCTGCTTCCTGCCTAACCCTGTCTGTTGAGTCCACAACACCAATCTCAGCCTCTGCGATATGAATCATTGATTTCAAACATACTGGGTTAATATACCAATCAAATAGACCACATCATACCATAAAATAGGAAACAACATTTGTATAAGATTTAGCCAAATGTGGCTTTGAATGTGGGAGATAATAATTGATAGACTAGGTATAACTCAAGAATGGTAAATCGTAACATAACAGTTGATAGGTTACGATAAAAACAACACGAATATGAATAGTTTAGTTACTTATACGTATAGTATTAGTCCAGAGATAAATAAATAAATAACAAGTCAAATCTACATATTTGATGAATTTGCATTGACAAATATGTCTCTTTTGTTATTGTATCAGGATAAACGTAACCCACTGGACTGATTCACATTCATACTAGTTCTTTTGTTACTTACAACTGATTGATGTTGATCAGTAGGAAATTGAACTAAACAATGATCATTCAAAATAAGCTCATCCAACGTTTAGATAGTGAAAAATTGAGACTAGTTACTAGATGAGTGAAAGACAGAACGGAACACCTATCATGTATTGGCTACCAATTAGTTTTTATACATACTGTTTTACAACTAATTATCAGAGTTTTCCTATAAAAAAAAACACTGAATATTCACTTTAATCATTTGTAGTTGAAATTATAAAACTGAATTTTACAGATTATTAGGATGTGATCATTGTTAGATCATTGTACAGGTCACTCACTAGTTATATAGCTACTTTTAATTATTCAATAGTCATTAAATTATTTTTGACCCAACCGACAGTATCATGTCAACGACGTTTTTCCTCGAAATCTAATTGATGAAAACGGTTTGAACTTATTTCTATCGAAAAAAATGAAGTAAACTCAAAAAAATATTTTGTGGAGAATGTTCAGTTTTATCATTGGCATCACGAAATGACCTTAGTTTTGAAACCATAAAAGAAAACGGGAAAGTATTTTAGACCGCGCACGCAAAATCTGCTCAAAAGAATGCCTCAAGGAAGAAATTGCTACAATCACCAAATGCCTACGTGAAAATGCATATCCGGAGAAATTCATTCACAAATATGTTAATACAAACCCTCTGATTAAGCATGATACAGTTGAAAAGAAAACCTGCTTCCTATCCCTGCGCTTCAAAGGAGATGAAGTCGCCGGAATTATCAATCACAGAATTAATTCCGCTTTAAAAGTGGCCTACCCGGCAGCCAAACTGACTACGTTGTGGAAAACATACTGCTCACTGAAACAAACGAAGATCGACAAGTCCTCTCCCCTCAGTTGCTCCAACTGCATTTACCAATTTACATGTACGTGCCGTAGCACATACATTGGAAGAACTGAGAGAAGAGTACACGTTCGCATTTCTGAGCATATTCCGAAGAACTTGACGCTGAGAGGGACTAAAGCTTTTAACATTGCAATAGCTCGGCATCTACTTGACACCGGGCATACCGTCGATATTCTGCACGCGTTTAAAATTATCAATAGACAAAGAACTACTACCACTCTTCGCTTCGCTGAAGCCATTGCAATTAAGAAACTGAAACCGGATTTATGCATTCAAAAAGAGACTAATAAACTTATCACTACCCTGGTAATCTCTTTTGTTTCCGTTTGTTTTTTGTGTTTTGGTTATTTGGTTATTTTATTCATTTACTTATTTTAAGGTATTTTATACTCCCCCCCCCCTATCACCTAATTCTTAAACTAAAGTTTTAGTCACACATTTCCACCGCCTGATCCTCTTAAATTATCTTAACTTTCCAAATCCTACTTAATTATTATTACGTAATCTACCTTATCATTATTCAATTCCATTAATCTCTACAATTATCACACAATTTATGAACTTCACTAAACTTTTACACCACCCAACCTGAATTAACCCCCTTTTTTTACCTCTGACCTGTTTCTAGTTATTCCAGTTATTTACACTCATTTATGTCAATTGTTTCACACTATCTCCATGTAAAATAATTCTATCACAATTTTGGTTTGTAAGCAGCTGACGAGAAACCTCGAAATAATATGAATTCATACTGTTCTGCATCAATGTTTGTTCTTGCTCTATTTAAGTATTAAACAGTTGTTGCTTCCCAGTATAGAACTTTTCAGTAGCGCATATTCACGTATTCATATGAGATAGAGCTTAAGATCTTCAGGTATCTCAACGAGTAATTAGTTTTTAGACTACTGAGTTTCAAAATATCTTATGAAGTTCATTTTGTACATACACAAATGATGATTTGTCATATAAATATCAGGTCATGAAAATAAAGAGCGGATCAAAATCACCGAAATATGGTCAAACATACGTCTACATGGTTGTCCTCTAGTTGGATCTCCATGCGTTCCTTCATCGCATGCATCACACTGTGGTCCAGCTGTATTAAATCCACAGATACAAGCTCCATTTGTTGAATTGCATCCTATAGCAGCGGGTCCACAATTACATGGACGACATGGCACTCCATTCAGTGGATCACCATAATACATTTCTGCACATACTTCACAATATCGACCTCGAGTACTAAGCATTAAACAGAAGGGTCAAGACATTGATTACATAGTAAGAAAACACTATTAGTCAACTTTTAAGAAATTGAAAAGAATAACTTTATACTATTTCATCAACTAAATTTCTTCTTTCTGAAACTTAAGCTCGTTGGCATCCTGTTATGGGTCATCACTTACTCTTTCTTCAAATGGTTATAATTTACAGTGGTTAACATTTTTAAACATAATTGAAATGTTATAATGTTTTATAAACATAACATAAGCTAATTTAGGCTATTCTTATACACAACTAAATGATTGATTAATTTAACATGAGTAATAGGATATCAAGAAAAAAGGTGTGTAATATGATTGATTATGTAAGAATTTTCATATCTCAGAATTAAAGAATTGTCTCTAAGGTATATATATTTCAATAGTTGAGATCATGAGTCAATTGAAGCTAGACCACCACGGAAACCTGGAAGCACTGGACGGCCATTTCGTCCTATTGTGGGACTCCTCATCAGTGCGCATCCACGATCCCACCTAGTGAAACTCAAACCCAGGGCCTATCAGTCTCACGGGCGAGCTCTTGACCACTAGACCACTGAGCTGGCCGACATCCAAAGGTGTTAATGTCTAACTTAAACTTATCCACGAAATTGAGCGACACATCCACCATTGTCATCAGTGAGCTACTATATCACAACAGACCTGGTTGAGCTCCACTGGCCACTGCTTCTAACTAGGACTCCAGGATATACCTCTTGAAGCCAGTCACTAGGTTTTCCATAGTGGTCTATCTTCAACTGACTCATGATCTCAACTATTGAAATTACTACAATCTCCACCAAACCCCTTCTGACATATATATTTTTAATTAGCTTCAATTCGATCTTATGAAAAATTATTACACAGTACTCATCAAAGTGAAAATGTGATTAGATTTTGACTAGAGAAACAAAACCTTGTTTTTATAAAAAAAAATTATAGTTCTTGATATGATAGAGAGTGGCTGTTAGCTAATAGAAGGGCAAAAATGTTTTATTGTGGTGTCTGTTACTATGTTAAGTCCATATAACTTATTCTAGCTTCTGGACAGGTCAATTTATTCATTCTTCTTGAGTCATATTTTGACAGTGTTAATTATTCGATTATCAACCTTGACTGCTTTTATATGAGCGTATGTGTGTGCACTTCTTATCTTACTCATCACTTATCTGTAACTTAATTTGGTTCGACTATAAACATTGAGTAACGCTTAATTGAATTGAGTTGGCTCATATACCTTCTCTAATTCGTTCCACTTTGCTCTCTACGCTTTTTCTTACTCAATTCTCTCTGTGCTTGCTTTCTGAATTGCTTGCAGATTTTATCAATTATTAACAGTACACTATCCACACAACTGGTATTCTAGCTTTTGAATAATCTCGAGTAAATGCATAATATTACCAGGAGATTCGGCATGCGTAAATGCTCAGTCAGCGAAATATTATTCATTGGAGTCGGATATAGAGGAAATTAGCCTCTACATTACGATAGATGTTGACCCATTTTACTGTGTGATCTGAATCATCTTGTTGAGGAGTTTAGTCTACAGTTGAGCCGATCAACATGATTCATCTGATAGTTTCTCGATTAGTAGTTTAGTCAGAAATATAAAGAGTTAAATTTTCTCTTTATATATATTCTCATGGGCAACAGACTAGATGTTGTCTTGTGATACTCTCATAGCTCAGTTAGAAATAATTCAGGATTTAATTAATTACTAATGAATTGCTAAAATCATTATAAAAGTTGTCAAGCACAGATCCTTAGTGTGGCCAAAGTTAAAACTTAGTAAGCCATTTGGTTTTAAAAAGTTTATCTGTTTTGAACAATAACTAGTGAATACACAAACGAGTTAACAAAGCTTATTAACGTCTGTACAAGTTTATGATTGGCATATAAACGAAGCATAGCAGCATCAAGGTCAAATTGGCGAGTGTTTAGTCGTATCATTTGTAAGTTCGTTTGTTGATCACACTTTATACATAAGGTAATAGAAAAGGCAGATATGTTTGTTATGGATCGGTGTATTACCAGTGTAAATCCGTACTTATTAATGTTGTATCAGTTGACTCGGTTACATAAATACACAGTTCATTGAAGACTAAGCACATTCTTTGAACAAGATGAAAGAAAATTCCTTGAAATGTTTAATTTCAGTGAATCAAATATATAAATTAACTCACTTTTCTGTACAATCCAAACAAACATAAGGTTTTTCCTCTTTAAATACTTCTTCTTCATGTGCCAAACAAATTGTAGTCATTTGATAATCTAAATGAGGACATTCACATGATTTACATGCTGTTGGGTCACCAGTTCGTGGATCCCCATAAAATCCCGGTGCGCATACATCACATTTATCTCCTGCAGTATTATGAGTACAATCCTAAAATATAAAAAAATATTGATTCTATAGATTGGTGACATCCCCTAATTCCTCCTTCATAAATTGAAATCAATGTTGAGCAGTGATACCATAATCAATGACGATCTGATTAAGTTTATTAATTCATTAACCCAAAATTAAAAACTGTTTAACTTCAAAACAGTGGTGTCATTTGTGTTTTAAATAACCTCTCATTTATATCACACGAAAAGATTACTACTCTATTAATTCACTTGGTGTTGTTTACTTGTATCTTCTTATTGAGGTTTATAACTGCAATTGATCAGTCTCTTGTTGGCATATGTGCATCCTGTGCGGACTGCCTCGACATTGCTTAAAGCCACAAACTTTATAGTAGTGGGATCCAGGACGCGCGTTCCGTCCCATTCGGGACTCACCAGCTGGATGTATCTGCATCTCATAGTTGGTGTTCACTCCGGAACTCGAACTCAGTACCGTCCGCTTCAAACGCCATCGCGTTATCCACTTAACTACTCTCTTGTTTGATAAAATGTTGGTTGTCACTTTGAATCTTTGAAATCATGACGATATATTTTATCATTCTCAGTAGTATCATAATTATTAATGGATCAATTGTATTGTTAATAGCAATGGTTTGAATTAACTTATTATTGATATTAGTAACTAAATTTTGATTAGTCTCTGTTGGTATATATTTATATATATATCAATCCTGTACGGATTGTCTCGATATAGTCAGTTATTATACGAGTTTTCATTTAGAACTAATGGATTACTGCTGACAGTGTAATCCATAACGTGCATTTCGTCCTATATGTGACTTGTAAGCTAGGTGTACCTTTATTTCAGTGTCGATATTTATATTGGGACATGGATCCAGTTCCTTATCCTTTAAATTCTAACATTTTATTCACCAAGTCAGTGAGCCGTATATTGTTGAAGAGACTACCACAGAAAGTATGTGGATAAACAAAGGCTGATTTAAATTCAACCTAAAAGGTTAACAAATGGGTAGTTTAACTACGTTACGGTAATTATATAGGCATCATACAGGTTGAGTTGATCACTATATGAATTTAGAAGCTCAGTGAATAAATCAACTGTGTCTTGTTATCATTTTGAATTCCTTCATAGTGTCTTATGAGTATAATAGGTGAAAAAAAACCTTAATTCAAGATTTGAAGTAAGTCGACGCTTATCAGTGGGTACAATAATGGAGCAGGGTGCTTACATACATAGTATACAATTCCCTTTGAACCTAACACACAACAATAACATCATACACTGTCCCATAATCCTTGACAGATCAGGTAACCTGAAAGCAGCAAGAACATCGAAGCATACGTTAGACTGTTGTCGAGCTGATACAAATGACACTTATCAACAACGTATGTCTACAATTTTAAAAGAAATAATGCTTCTAAAGGGTTATTTCACTGACAGAAATGATAGAAGTCAAAACAAAATTAGTGTTTGCCTAATGATCCAGTTGATTTTCTGACAATTAATTTACAAAGAAATATCATCAATGAATAGATGGATAATCTCTTGAAGATTTCTCATATTTCACTTAACAAAATAAATTTTATCTCTTGATAAAACTTACAATGCATACTCCAGTTTTCTCATCACAAATATCTGAATGTCCATGACATTCACATAGTACACAAACAGGTAATTGTGTCATCATAGTTGAACGCCATAATGATAAAGCTGTTGATGAAGTAAAAGAACTTTGATTAGTTTGTATCGTTGATTGTTTTTGATAATCACGATAATAACCAATTGCACATGATTCACAAGATGATCCTGAATATCCATTTGGACAAATACATTCTTCAATATTTGGTATTCCACCAGTTTCATCACGTAATGCACGACCAAGTGTAACAGACATTAATCTGTAATAAATGAATGAAATTAAAAATAAATACATTGAAATATTCAATAGAGATTGCATTTCGTATGATGTATTATTCAAAGTAAATATAAACATTTTAGGGATATGTGTACATATAAGATGGATTCCGTAAGGATCGGTCGTGCACAGACCAGATTGCAACACTACGGATCATCGTCGAACAATCAATTGAGTGGAACTCGTCACTATACATCAACTTCATTGATTATGAAAAGGCATTTGACAGTGTAGATAGGAGGGCATTATGAAAACTTCTTCGACACTATGGAGTTCCTGAGAAGATTGTCAATATTATCCGGAACTCATATGGCGGACTACAGTGCAAGGTCGTGCATGGAGGACAGCTGACAGATGCATTCCAAGTAAGGACCGGAGTCAGACAAGGCTGTCTACTCTCTCCCTTCCTCTTTCTTCTGGTGGTCGACTGGATTATGAGGACCTCGACATCTCAGGGAAAAGGTAGAATAAAATGGACAGCTCAAAATCAGTTAGACGATTTAGACTTCGCAGATGACCTAGCCCTCCTATCGCATACACACGAACAGATTCAGACAAAGACAACCAGTGTATCAGCAGTCTCTTCATCATTAGGCCTCAGCATAGACAAAGGGAAAACCAAGGTCTTCAAATTCAAAGCGAAGAACAGCAATCCAATCACTCTTGATGGTGAAACTCTAGAAGATGTAGAATTCTTCACATACCTGGGAAGCATAATCGATGAACAAGGAGGTTCAGATGCAGACGTAAAGGCAAGTATTGGCGAAGCAAGGACAGCATTCCTACAATTGAAGAACATATGGAACTCAAAACAGCTTTGAACCAATATCAAAGTGAGAATCTTCAATACGAGTGTCAAGGTAGTTCTACTGTACGGAGCTGAAACTTGGAGAACTACAACAACCATCATCAAACATGTACAAGTATTCATGAATAATTGTCTATGCAAGATAATCAACATCCATTGGCCGGATACCATCAGCAACATCCTTCTGTGGGAGAGAACAAACCAGCTTCCAGCTGAAGAGGAAATTAGGAAAAGACGATGGAGATGGATAGGACATACATTATGGAAATCACCAAACTGCATCACGAGACAAACTCTAACTTGGAATGTTGAAGGGAAGCGGAAAAGAAGAAAGCCAAAGAACACAACACGTCGGGAAATAGATGCAAACAATGAAAAAGACGAATAACAACTGGAAAGAGCTGGAAAAGATTGCCCAGGACAGGGTTGGATGGAGAATGCTGGTGAGCGGCCTATGTTCCTTCACGAGGAATAATAGGCGTAAGTAAGTAAGTACATATAAGATGAAATGATACATTTTAGTAGTTGTCAAATGTATAAACAGCTAATACATAATTTAACTCTATTGATTGTGAATAAAGAAAAGCAACAAAGTCGAATGAGAATTGTATACTTGCTTAAAGATGAGGATAAGAAAGAACATGATTGTTTAGTTAGCTAGAGAGAAGAGTATATGACCAGTACATCTAAGTGGTAGATTACTGAAATCCCGAAAATAGGGTTAACCTAATTATGATACACATAAATTTATATTCTGTACTTCATTCATTTGTCATTCAGTATGGAATCAGATTGTGAGCACAAAAATGTTGGGAACTTTTACAGTACTCACTAGTTTTCACAATGACCCCAAACGAAATCAATTTGTAACAAAATCAAATTTTAGATTTTAGTAAAGGATAAATTGATAACTTCAATGAAATCAAATATTGATACTTACTCAGTTGTTGTTTGATCAGTAATATATTTAGCTTTAATCATTAATCTATCTATACTGGATAACACAGTCATTATATCAGCTATTGTTGCTGGTCGACCAACTCGTTCCAATGTTGATTCATCAAATCTTAATTGATCACCCTGTAACCAACTTATAGGAAAACGATCTAATGGTATAGAGGTTGGCGGTTCAACAATTACACGAAATGATGATTCACTTAATGGAATATTTAAAATCATATGACTTTCACGATAGGATGGTGATAGCATATGAACTAGTCGATAACCATTACCCTGTTTATTTTAGAGGATAGGAGAAAAAAAAAAGAGACAAACAACATTAGAAGATGAAACTATCAAAGTTTGATTTTAGTAAATCAACGTCTATATGTGCTATAATAACTACTTACTATTTGAAAAGTAAATTTTAATTAAATTTGTAATGGTTTGGATGATCTCATTGTTGATATTTTGACTAAATTTTAGTCTATTCTGGTTGGGAATATGCAGAGCGTGATGATTGTCTTGATATGTCCATCAAGTCACTAGTCTCAAACTTCAGTTAAAATATGAACAACGATATAATTAAACCATTATAAATTCAATTAAATTTATACCTGTTGTACACGTGAGTCACTAAATGAACTCAATGGCATTGGCTTTTGAAGCGAAATGTACTGGATTAGAGTATTTCAGTTAGTATCAATTCTAGGATGTAGTTACATTCATCTGATGAGCCCCAAATGGGACGTAACGCGCGTCTTTGATTTCACTGCTACCTGCATCCCGCTTTAACATTAATCATTCGTTAAAGAAATGATTAACGTAATTATTTTCGGTATTAGATAACACATTAGTTACATAGTTTACATCGATAAACTGACCTTGGTTACACAGTCAATGAGAAGTAGGAAGCACTTGAATTTTGTTTAGTTCCAATATGAGACTCTACAGTAGTGTGCGTCTATGACTGGACCAGGAAATGAACGGAGAATCTTCACGTTTGATACTAGAGTTTAATTTTTAAACTACTGATCCGGTATCTAATTGTTTACACTCTTAGCTTAAAACCATCTATGATATTATGGAACCATCATTTACTTACATACTGGCTTTTTAATCAGAAGAAAGTGGACAACCGGTATCATAAAGTAAATTTGCTATCTCTCATTATTCGTCTCTTTTCAAAATAACACGTGATCCCTGAACTAACCCATTCTACAAACGACAGTTTTAAGACAGAATTCTCTTAATCTTTAGTAGGACTATTAATAAACATCAACTGATTCATTCCTGGATCAAACTATGCAAACGACCGAGACATAGAATAGTCACTTTATTTAACATCCTAGATCCTAACAACGACTTGATTCTATCAATGAATACAAAAATGTCAGTCGTTTGGTAGTCAAAAATGGTTGACAGAAGTCTACGGATCTGGGTTTTACGGGAGAAATAGCTCAGTAGCAACAATTCCAACTGTGGTATTAAATGATACGTCTCTCGGGTAACACTATGTATTGAAAATGATAGGAGTTTTATAATACTTCAGTAGAAGATATATATATGTGATCTGTATACTAATAAAGATCTAAGTAGCTATCAGTAACTCAGGAGTGAACAGACCCACTGAGTCGATACGATCATTAGGAGACGGATTGAATTAAACAACATGGATCAATAATTCATACTAGTGCTTCTTTCCTAGCACGTTACGCGTCACTGAGTCAATCAATCGATAATCTAACAATCAGAATCTTAATCTAGCAATTTCCAGCTCTGGAATGCAATACGCAGATATTATATTGGAGGAGTAGGTTTCCCCCAGTAATGAATTTTATGAAAATATATCTATGTACAGTTTTTAATTATTACTAGTATTTAGTTGAGTGATTGAAATCTTCACTTAAACTAATTAAGTGAATTCATGGTTTCTGGTATGTAATTTATGAAATGACCAATAAGATTGAAAAAAAATAGATAATTAACAGTTAAATTTGATAATTGAATTAGTGAGTCAATTGAAGCTAGATCACCATGGAAAACCTGGAAACACTGGAAGGCCGTTTTGTCCTAGCGTGATACTACTCATCAGTGCGCATCCACGACCTCGCCCCGCGAGACTCGAACACAGGACCTCTGGACCACTGAGCCGGCATCCAATGGTGTTAAGGTCTAGCCTCAACCAATCCATGAAATTGCGCCACCGTTCACCATTGCCTTAAATGAGTTGGTATTTCATAACAGAGGAGTCCCATACTAGGATGAAATGGCTGTCCAGTGCTTCCAGGTTCTCCATTATGGTCTGGATTTGATTGACTACAATCTCCACAAAACCGCTCTCTGATTATAACACTTATGTATTGTTGAAATTATTAATAAACAGATATTACCTCAATTACAATATCTGGTTCATGTAGCCACATATAATTTAAGTGATCAGTCATAGCCATCGATAAAGAAAATTGTCTACTGCCTGATATGTCCGTGTTTATTGTTGGTGTACGATATGTTAACATAGTAGGTGAATTAAAACGTAAAATAATATTCAATGTATCACGATAAGCTGTTATTTGATTGCCTAAATATGCTTCTGGTGCAGACCAATAATAACCGCGTGTAACTGGTGTTGAAGTAACTGATGAAAGCCAACTTTCAACTGCACGTGTTTGAGCAAATAAAACTTTATCATATTGTACAGATGTTTCTGTCATTGGTATTGTGTAACTTGTATCTGATGTAGATAAGCTTGGTACAATAATTTTCCAATTCGCTAAAGTGTTGACCTATGAAACAATGAAAAAAAGATCTTGGAAATAATTATGTTAATTAAAAGATTAATAATAAGAATGTAGTATTTGGCAACTTGAAGGATATAAGTGATTGTATTCTATTATGCTACACTTTTAAAATAGAATTGGTAGATAGTTTAATGAAGAAAAAAACTATTAATTTACATTCTATTCAGAAGTAGAGATCAAGAATTATCCACTAGTCAGTAATGAATTCATATTTCACATTGCAATTAGTATGAAGTTGGCTGGTTTACTGAACAGCAGGTTTTCTAAATTAAAATAGACGAATTACTTCATAAAACTTAACTAATTAGTTAGTTTAGATCACGAAGACGAATTTATTAACTGAGAGAATAATAAACTATTTTAATAGTTGAGATCATGAATCAATTGAAGATAGACCACCATGGAAAACTTGGAAACACTAGATGGTTGTCTCGTCCTATTGTGGGACTTCTCAACAGTGCGCATCCACGATCCCACTTGCGAGATTCGAACCCAGGGCCTTCAGTCTCGCGCGTGAACGATTAACCTCTAGAACACTGAGCCGACATCCAACGATGTTAATGTCCAACCTCAACTAATAAGATAATGGACTAGGAATAACTGTAATAAGAAAAACATGGAACTAGTTTGTAATCCCTCTACTTTCTCATAATTCAATCAAATCAAGCGTTGGATAATAATACATTAGGCTTCTTAAATTCAACACTTAGAAGAATGAATATTACCGTATTCATCATGTTAATTGGTGACTTACAAGAAAAATACTTTTGTTTTACGTGATCTTAAGGTAGTTTTACATGAACTCCTATGCGTTCCTCTGAAAATCAGCCAACTTAACACTTATTATATCAAGAAATATGGCATTAATTAGTCCACTGAGTTAGGAAAGTTTAATGAACGCATGATTTCAGCATGATCAAACGATAGTGATCCGAATGAAATAGATATCCTACTTATCTTTGTATTCATTATGTTGATGAATAACTTTGATACAACAAAAATAAACTTCAAACGGTAATTGTATTTAGGATATATGTTTCAGACATAATAATATTGAACGGCATACAAGCGATATAAAATGCAACGAATGTATAAAGCATTGGAGTTTGGTAATCCGTAGACTTAAAAGATAACAAGGTGGTTAAGTTTACACAAGTCAGGTAAGATATGCTGGAAGTTGTAAGACACATACTGTTATAAACACATGTATTAAAAATAACCACGATTACACATAAGAAACTAACAGGGTTAAACAAATGTAAGATATAATAACTGGAATGATCAGAACAACTTGTCTCACGCTTTTTTCAACCTTGTTCAAGAGAATAGGTGCACAAAAATGACTGAAAAGAGTGAAATTATTAATCTTTCCAAAAATCAGAACAAATTCCTCTCAAAAGTCACGTTTTAGTAACTAATTCATGCTTATCGTTAAAGTGTGTAAATATTGGTTATTAAATAACTGGACTATATGATATCAACTCTGATTACCGACAATATTGAGGCGTCAGAACAAAGAAAGCGTTGATAACAACAGGCTTTAATTGGTGTAAAATTCGTTCAGTATGAAGCGCATAAAGTTTTTGAACAACGAGTATTATACCCATATGAAGGTTTATACTTCATTAATTATATGAACAAGGCTATAGTATTCCTGTTTTGTGGAGGTAAGTCTGATTGATAGCTAGCGGGTAAATCATTAGCAATAAACTCAAAAGTTATTGAGAAGAAGAAAGGAATTTAAAAATAATATTTGACAAATATGATGAATGATAACATGTAATGCGTACATTACCCTGGATTCTGTTCATGTAAGTAGCAAAATCTCATTTTACGGAAGTATTGAGTCATAATAATCACAGATTTCGCTTGAAATGTCTAAATATATTTCACACTACTACCTATTTAAAAGTAGTATTTCATAAAACGGAAAAAGAAAACAAGGAGAAAAAGTAATACAAAAATAATAACATATTCGACATTAAGATTCCTCTGTATTTTTTCTTGTAACAGAGTAAACCCGTTAAACTGAATCCTAACGAATAGTTTTTCTTGAATGTGTCCCTAAATGAATGATTATTATTGCTTGACTTTTCTTCATTTAAAGACAATAAAAATTTGTCTTTAAGATTAATTCTCATCTTATTATAAACTAGTAAATGTTAGACAGTATAAATGATCAATACCGTTAGGTGTTAAAACGTTGTCCGGTGTCATTGAATATAAAATTAAATCTATCGTAATCCTGTTAATTGAAATCTAAATAGTTCTAATATTTCCTTTGACAATTTGGTCTCGCGCGCAAGACTGAAGGCCGTGGGTTTGAACCCCATGGGCGAGATCGTGGATGAGCACTGCCGAGGAGCCCCACAATAAGGTGAAACGGCCGTCCAGTGCTTCCAGGTTTCCAACGGTTGTCCATCATCAATCGTTTCATGATCTCAGTCAAAAAAACTTATTCAAAATTATCAAGTCAAACCTTGGTAACGATAATTTCTGGTTGATATTAGTTTATAATCATATGAAATCCACAGAAGAAGGACAAAAACTGAGTAATTTTTTAATCTTTGACCTAATTTTATAAATAAGAGACGAATTTAAGATTGAAAAACAGAGGGTATTATTGAATGAATTCAACCATAAATTGAGTTATAATAAGAATAGATTCAGGATACAAACTAATAACATTAACAATAGATGAATTAAAAAAAGTTATGTTACTTACTGGACCAAGTAATCCTTTTCTTTCCAATATCTATATTCATAAAAATGAATAAAATGAGAAAAGAAAAAACAAACAAACATGATATTACTTCAGGAATAGATATTTTCAGGGGTATTTTCATGATAAGCAGAATATGTGTAGATATCATAACAATGTTTGATTTGAATATCACCAATTGTGTACCATATTGGATAATCAAAATGATAAACAAAGATAAATATATACTGACTATCATAAGTTATATTGTATTTCGCTTAACGATTTATGATTATTTCCATCTATACTAGATGATTTTGATTCCACAATAAAGTTATGGATATGTACTACTGAGGAATCTCTAATTGAGATGAATCAGATCTCCATTGCTTCCTAGTTCCCAATGGTTATCTAACCAAAGTGAATTCGTGATGTACACTTTAAAATGTCTTGAATAACTAGAAACAATGAGGAATCATAAATATCATTGTCATCTCATGAATAAACTTTCTCAAACAAATATACTTTGTGTTCTTATTTAACTAGTTTACTCATTCATTAGAAGCATATATCAGTGCATAGTACAGGCAATGGATCATGTCTGTTCTAAATAATGAATGTCTATTATTTTCAGCAAATTCATTTATAATTAACCACAGTATTATGTTTTGTTCAGTTGAATTTACTCACTTTTAATGTCCCCTACTAAAACTAGAACACAAAAACTCAATATTTTAAAACCCCATAGAGTTATCTAATATATTGGTGAGTTATGACTATAAACTATGATTTATTTAGTCGATATTAATCTCTTTGATAGTTTACTACCTTCTCTCTATAGATTGATTGAGGGATATTTTCATAAGATTAGTGCATGTACTAATAACTCGTTACTGTTATTCTTTACATTTTAATGGTAATCAATATTGAATTTAAATAGAGCAAGAACAAACATTGATGCAGAATAGTATGAATTCATATTATTTCGAGGTTTCTCGTCAGCTGCTTACAAACCAAAAATTGTGATAGAATTTTTACATGGAGATAGTGTGAAACAATTGACAGAAATGAGTGTAAATAACGTGATTACAATAATAACTATATATATATGCTAGAAACAGGTCAGAGGTCAAAAGAGGGGAGTTAATCCAGGGTGGGTGGTGTAATAATTTAGTGAAGTTCATAAATTGTGTGATAATTGTAGAGATTAATGGAATTAAATAATGATAAGGTAGATTACGTAATAATAATTAAATAGGGTTTGGAAAGTTAAGATAATTTAAGAGGATCAGGTGACGGAAATGTTTGAATAAAATTTATTTTAAGAATCAGGTAATAGGGGAGTATAAATTATCTTAGAATAAGTAAATGAATAAAATAACCAAAACACAAAACAAACAGAAACAAAAAGATTACCAGGGTAGTGATAAGTTTATTAAAGTCTCTTTTTGGATGCTGAAGCCATTGCAATTAAGAAAGTGAAACCGGACTTATACTCCCCCCCCCTATTACCTGATTCTTAAAATAAATTTTATTCAAACATTTCCGTCACCTGATCCTCTTAAATCATCTTAACTTTCCAAACCCTATTTAATTATTATTACGTAATCTACCTTATCATTATTTAATTCCATTAATCTCTACAATTATCACACAATTTATGAACTTCACTAAATTATTACACCACCCACCCTGGATTAACTCCCCTCTTTTGACCTCTGACCTGTTTCTAGCATATATATATAGTTATTATTGTAATCACGTTATTTACACTCATTTCTGTCAATTGTTTCACACTATCTCCATGTAAAAATTCTATCACAATTTTTGGTTTGTAAGCAGCTGACGAGAAACCTCGAAATAATATGAATTCATACTATTCTGCATCAATGTTTGTTCTTGCTCTATTTAAATTCATAAAGGGAACCAATTGCATGCAATATTGAATTGTAGAACATTATCTACCTTAAAAGATAGAGAAGATAAATAATAGATATTTAACTTATAATTTACACATATTACGATACTATTACTGAATGAGTTGAGCTTTTAGTTAACAGAGTTTATGTTGTCATGTTAAATAGCATGATCATTATGACTCAATATAACTGGGCAGTATGATCAAACTACTATTAATGACAAAAAAACACCACAAAATCTATTCTATACTCTGTAGTTTTTCAGGTTTTGTACTGTATTATAATTTTCTAATTCACTGATATTTACCAATGCTTCGTTTTATTTAAATAATTTAAACTAATATTGAAACCTTTGTAAGCGAAGATGGATAGTGACTAGCAGCGGAATCCACAACTCGCATCTCATCCTAATTGGGACTCGTCAGCTGAATGTGCCTTCATCTAAGTTGACGCTTACTTCAGGACTCGAACCCAGTACCGTTTGTTTCAAACGCCACTGCGTTATCCACTTAGCTACTGAGTCCTGACAGCCACTATCTGACGAGTCTCAAATAGGACGAAACCCGCATCCTGGATTCCACTGCTAGCCGTTATCCATCTTTGCTTATAAAGATTGTGGCTTGAAGCAATATAGACGCTATCCGCACTGGTTGCTCATATGCCAACAAGAGACTGTTCAGTTGTAGTCCTAAACAACAATGAGAATATACAAGTAAACAACACCAAGTGAAGTGAATATTGAAATCATTCTTAAAAAATATGACTGAAAATATATAAATATCCCTGTTATGTCCTCATACCTGATTAGTTATATCATGTGATACGACCGCCAATTAGAGACACCGACTTAAACGATCAGACTAATAACTTATAAATCTGTATGAATAGCCTATAACTTTTATTAGTCTTCCGAAATAGTAGCTTCTCTCCTAATCCAACCGGTTTAGTTCAGAATGCCAATATCAGCCTCTACTATACGAATCATATATTTCAAACATACTAGATTTATATACAAATAAACCACACCGCGTCATACCGTAAAATAGAAAATAACATTTGTACAGGATCAAGTCCAAAAAGTGGCTGTGATTATGAGAGACTGTTACTAATAAATTGGGAATATCTTAAGAGTAGCAAATCATATAATCATAGTCAATAGGTTAAATAAAAGGAATATATATATATATAATATTATTACTTAATAGTTATGCAATAAGAATATATATATAATAGTTCATAAATAGATCCTAGCAGTTACTACTTATTTATCATTCATCCAAATATAGTAACCCCACATATCAAATCAATGAATACCATACATGCGTAATACTCAATAGTTTCGTACTAGGATGAAATGAATATTCAGTACTCCCTAGTATGCAATGGTATCCCAATTCAAATCAATCTATAATGTATTAAATATTAAGTAAATATATATATATATATATATTTAAACAAACTCGAATTGGAGTAAAGTGTCCAGTCACAATAAATAGAATAGTATCATAGCAAAAATGAAAATGCAAAAAATTGTGTGAATAAAATGTATAGTGTCCGGCCCAGATCTCCGGCCAGATAGTGGGTTGGAGAATGCTGGTCTGTAGCCTATGATCCATTAGGAGTAACAGGAGTAAATAAGTAAGTAAGTAAAATGCATAGTAAGAGAATTTAATCTTGTCAATTGAGATAATAATAATAAGATTGTTCTGTGAATATAATATCTAATAAGGGGGGGTGTTATCAAGGTAATTACGATAAACGAATCGGGAATAATCGATGTGAAGATTAAGATAGAGATAATCAAAAATAATGATAATTAGGAAAAAAATAAATAAATCAAAATAAAGGAAGGGGGTAAGAGGTTTATAATATTCAGTCTAGGTATTCAGTGATCCACTCGTAGGCCAACATAAATATGGAGACTGTATATATTTTATATCGATTAACAGAACCATTCTTTCTCACTTGGTAGATAGTGAACATCATATCAAAATACAGGAAGCTTTCTCTGTTTTATATCAAGTTCCAAAATATCTACCTCAAGGAGCTAGATTCCAACTGCTTTACATAACCGAAGCCATCTGAATCAACTCCAGAAGACCAAATTTATCTATCCAGAAAAAATATATCCAGTCTCTATATTTACGTTGGCCTACGACTGGATCACCGAATACCTAGATTGAATATTATAAACCTCTTACCCCCTTCCTTTATTTTTATTTATTTATTTATTTTTCCTTATTATCATAATTTGTGATTATCTCGATCTGAATCTTCATATCCATCAATCCCAATTCGTTTATCGTAATTACCTTGATAACACCCCCCCTTATTACAGATTATATCCACACAACAATCTTATTATTATTATCTCACTTGACAAGATTAAATTCTCTTACTATGCATTTTATTCATACAATTTTTTGCATTTTCATTCTTGCTATAGTACTATTATACTTATTGTGACTGAAAACTTTACTCCAAATCATCTTGACCTTTGTTGAATGACCTTTCTAATTTGTCAAATAATACAATTTTGAAGGATATAGATATATCAGAAGGGGTTTTGTGGAGATTATAGTAATTTCAATAGTTAAGATCACGAGCCAGTTGAAGCCAGACCACCATGGAAAAGCTGGAAGCACTGGACGGCCGTTTCGTCCTATTGTGGGACTCCTCAGCAGTGAGCATCCATATATACCGTAACAGATGGAAACGTGCACCATTTTTTAACAGATAACATTGTTAAATTCATTAATGCCATGCCTTATTTTTAGCCTTTGTAAAAATATCACAATCATTATGGACTTATAACTGTAGAGCCTGATGATAAAGTTATTGAAGAAACAATTGTTCGTTCAAATATTCTTCATTTCTCAAACTTGAATTATTGAACAATGAATTTGAATGAATTGAAATTTTATTCATACATACCATTGCAGTAGTTGGTGTAACACCAGTACATTGATCAGTAAGACTAGAACAATAACATGATTGACAACCTTCTGGATTATTAACATCTAAATTGAAAAATCCTTTTTGACATGTATTACAATAAGAATCTGGATCAACATTAATCTATTTATAGAATTTAAAAAAAAAGAGATGAAATAGGTTTTATAATTAAAAAAGGAATAGAAATTAAATATAATTACATAATTAATCAATTAATTATTAAGAAATAAATTCGATTTATAATGTAATTCATTTCATTAACTAATGTTGATGAGAAGTTGCACTGCTGAAGAGTCTCACAGTAGGATGAAACGATCGTCCAATGGTTCTAGGTTTTTTATGGTGATCTAGCTCCATTAATTGATTCATGATCTGGACGAGTAAAATTACTATAATATCCACAAAACCCCCTTCTGATATTAATTAATGTTGTGTTTCTATAACTATCCTGTCTATGTGTTATAACTGAAAGTTGCTACTTATATATATTTTGTTCTGCAAGATTTGACCGATCAGTTTTATTTATTTATTTTCACACTACATGCTTGTTGCAATTCATTACCTTTATTATTCAATCTGTTCTAAAAAAATATTACTTAGTAGAGATTATTGAGTGGCATACGATGAACTTTATTCTTCCAGATACTCATCATTTAGGTGTGAATATACCCTAGTGAATCGCACACGCAACAACAAGCGCAGCACAAGACGATCAGTGTAGCAGCTGCTTCAGCAGCAGTAGGTCCCAACATATACAACAGCACGCATCAATCGGATCACACTTGATGGAGAAGCCTTGGAGGATGTAAAAACCTTTACATATTTAGGCAGAGTCATTGATGAACATCGTGGATTTGATGCAGATATGAAAGCGCGGATCGGCAAAACGAAAGTAGCATAACTACAACTGAAGAACATTTGGAACTCAAAACAACCGTCAACTAACACCAAGGTCAGAATCTTGAATACAAATGTCAAGACAGTTCTACTGTATGGCGCGAAAACCTGGAGAACTACGAAAGGCATCATCCGGAAGATACAAGTGTTTATTAACAGCCAGACAAGAGAAGAATGAACAACAATTGGATAGAACTAGAAATGAAGGCTTAAGACAGAGTGGATTAGACAATGCTGGTCGGAGGTCTATGCTCCATTGGGGGTAACAAGCTTAAGTAAGTAAATACCCTAGTCAAAGTTGAGCATCATAACCATTGAATTTTTCAAAGCAATTATTATTTTATTCGTAATTCCATTTCCAGTTTTCTAATATAATATTAGGCTAGAAATCCAACAACAATTATTCTCCATAACCTGTTTATTCTATCTCTGATTATCATCTTAAGATAAATACCTAGGAAATCTGACGAAAAGTTCTAGTTTTGAACAAATTTTGTCTTGATCTAATTAAGGTTTCTCATCATTTGAAGGAACGTCACACCACAAACTGACGTTAACTAGAAAAGCTAATAAAAATCAGAGATCTTGTACAGCTATTTCAATCTTTTTTTAGAACTTTTCTACATCTTAGACGTACTACTGTATGAGTATTGACCCCAAAAAGTACATGATATCATTAGATTATGAAATAGGTTAGTCAGTTTGGAATATATAGGGTTGACTCTTAAACTAGAGCAAAACAGCTAACAAGCTCCGTAGTGTCATTGAAATTGACCCACTGGTTCTATCGATCAAGCGTTTACCTCGAAGACTGAAGTTCCTATATTGGACCAATGCTAAGGTTGTGAGTGCATACTGTTGATGAATCATAGATATCCAGTTTTCCTTGATTCTCAATAGTGCACTTAATGAGATAGATCTGTGATGAATACTACTTACAGATTAAATTGTTCTCCATAAAATCTCTTCAAGTAACCATTTATGACTGGGTTTCAACACAGTACCAACTTATGATAAGTTTACATTTATATTATATGAGATTTTCAATTCATCAATTTCAGTTAGAGTAGTTATATATCCATTATTGATTAGGTTCAAAATAGACTTCTTCAAGCTTTAATAATAAGATTTGTGATCCACTAAGATAATTAAATCAGTATTGAAATAAGGTCTTGCTTTATTTCATAAATTTGCTGATTTGTATTAACGTTTATGTATTGTTAGTTAAATCTAACTGTTTCTTGTCAGAATAGAGGGAGGGGTTATGCAGATTGTAGTAATTTATTAGTTGAATTCATGAGCCGATTAAAGCTAGATCACCCTGGAAAACGTGGAAGCACTGGACGGCCGTTTCGTCCTAATATGGTACTCCTCAGCAATGCTCATCCACGATCCCGGCTGTAGCTCTTTTAGAGTTACTGCCGGTGCCAAGCTCGATTAAAGGAGGAGGGTTGTGCATGAGGTTGGCAACCCCATCCCGTAGAAAAAATCTTGCTTAAAAAACGCTAACTTGATTAAACAAATTAAACCATTTAGATTCATAGATGAAAGTTAAATCTCCAGTGATTGAAACCGTAGTTCCTGTCAATATGCGAGCACAATTTAATAATCCAACGTGACAATTTTCAAATTTATAGTACTGGATTATAAATATCTCGCGTATATGTCTGAAATATATCTGTATACAAATTTTTTAGTTCAATATTTAAAACATTTATTATTATTTCTAAGCTCACCTTACAATTACATGGTGGTTCACATTGATATCCTGGACCACGATGACTTCCTCTAATATCACATGTACATGGTATACATAATTGAGGATCAATGTTAGAACGTTGATAACCTTCAGCACATTCATCACAACGTCTACCTGCATAACCTTCTTTACAGATGCAATCTCCGGGATACTGAACACAAAAAAGTAATACACACAATAGTAAATATTGTTCTTATTAAAATTGTATAAATCTCTGTAAGATGAAAATTTTGATATAATCACAGTGGTGTAAAAACATTTAATAAATAAACTATAATGCAAGCAGTCAAATCTAGCTTTTTTAAGCTATCATAGTGTATTCTATTAATCAGATGTTTAAACAACCAAATACAGTTTAGATCTAATCTAATACAAACAATGATGGGATAAGAGATCATTACGATAGGTGTTAACTTTCACCCAGTGTGACAGCTTATTTACCTACTTACGTCTGTTACTCCAAATGAAGCATAGGCCACCGACCATCATTCTCCAACCCACTCTGTACTGGGCATTCCTTTCTAGTTCTTTCCAATTTTTTTTCATTTTTCTCATGTCCGTCTCCATTTCTCGACGTAATGTGTTCTTTGGTCTTCCTCTTTTCCTTTGGCCTTGAGGATTCCATGTGATGGCTTGTCTTGTGATGCAGTTGGGTGCTTTCGTAATTGTATGTCCTATCCACCTCCAACACTTCTTCCTGATTTCTTCCTCCACTGGTATCTGGTTTGTTCTCTCCCACAATAGGTTGCTGCTGATAATGTCTGGTCAACGGATTCGAAATATTTTATTTAGAAAACTGTTAATAAACACTTGTATCTTCCGGATGATGGCTTTCGCAGTTCTCCAGGTTTCTGCCCCATACAGTAGAACTGTCTTGACATTTGTATTGAAAATTCTGACCTTGGTGTTAGTTGACAGTTGTTTTGAATTCCAGATGTTCTTCAGTTGTAGATATGCTATTCTTGCTTAGCCGATCCACGAGTGTGACAGCTACATTCTTTAAATTATTCACTGTGCACTACTTATATGTTTTACAGTATCCCTGTGTATCTTTTCATTTATATGATGTTAGTTAATCTAATCATTGATGGTATGTAAAATCAGTACAAAAATGAGTGTATTAGACTTTATAATGAACTAATGTTAGAAGACTTGTTTTGGGATCATGTTTCTAAAGAGTTAATAAACCTTTATAGGACTGGTCTTTATGTTTTTACTTCACGTTGTGGGAATAAAACGGGTTCACATTCGTAAGTAGAAGCAGTGAGACTGCAGATACAACAGAGCCAACATTTACATAACAGAATCTGTCCAGACATAACACTATGACAATAAGAATAATACAGAAGATAATAAATGAGATGTTTTGCAACTGCTGTTGAAATATCTATTTTCAACTATCTCAGAGATTTTATCCATCGAGCATATAATATCAGTATAATCTAGAGAAATCGATAGTTTTCAGATGAATAATATCATGAAAAATCCTGTTTATTACAATTACTTGATCTGGTTTACTACATTGAGGACTAAATGATGGCTAAGTTCCGAGTTATTGTTGTAAGAATTATCGAAACATATTTTTCAACTGTTCAGTTACCGGACAACTGATTAGCAGTATTGACAAGTCCTTGTTGAAGGTAAAAATTACGTACGGAAAATTTATTAGACTAGTATTATAGCGAAATCACAAACCCACCTAACTTAATTCACCATTATAAACCTGGAAACAGTGGACAGCTGTTTCACCCTAGTACAGGACTCCTCACAAGTACTCACCAACGATCCCAAGCCCGAGAACCGAATCTAAGAATTTCTGTTTCGCTCACAATTGCTTAACTTCTTAACCACTGTGCAATAAACGTATAAAATGATACTACAACAATGACGACTCACTCGTTCTGGTATTTCAGCATCATTAGATGTACAGTCACCTGTTGAACCAAAAGTACTACATTCACATGGTCTACAAGGATATTGTGAGTCAGGTCGGACATTTAATGGGCGATAATAACCTTGTTTACATTTTTCACAATTTACACCAGTTGTATCTTCCTAAAAAACAGAAAATATAGAAAAGATTTAATACTGTTTAGAAAGGTAACTATTTTAATTAAATAATATAGAATTAAAAGGTGTTTAATTTGATGAATAGCATAAAGGTTTTCATCTGAGATTATCCGTAATTATTTCAGTTATTATGAAGTGTGTTGTTTCCAACATTTTAGATCATTTATAAGGTTAGTTTAATGATGTAGCGTTGTATGTTGAGATGCTATTTTTATTAAAGATCTTATTTCACTGGTTTGGTAATTGCACAAGAAGTGTATATAACTGAATTGGATGGCTTTCATTAAAACAGATAGATTTTAAGTTGAATTGTTTATCTAAAATGTGTATCTAGAGGTTTCAGTCTACGTAAAGATAATGGTTTATCGTTTTCTTTTAAAATTACCGATCTTTATTGAATATTTATTGCTTTAGGTGAACTTGACCCGAATCGATCATTGATTAGATAGAAAAAAGGAGATCATTCTTAATTTTCTCTGAATGAATAATGAATGGTATGTTCGCTTACATTACTAGTGAAATCATTTGCAACAATCTGTCATTATGTGAAAGAAGTATATGAATTTCTCACTTCATCAGTATTTCGTTAAACAACGAAGTTCAATTTGAATATGGATAACTATTATACCCTAGTTAAATAATTATAATTATTTTCAGTGAATTTATATTGAAAAATGCTTTGTAAATTTATAAACTACTTTAACACTTAATCTGGGCATAAATTTTTGATTTATAATGTACTCAAATGGACTAGTCAAGTGTTGTACAATATTCCGAGGATCATTCGATTTATTTTGTTAAAAATTTCAGTATCGAGAAGCTCAGAATACCTATGCCTCGAGCCTCCGTAAGCCTAGAAGGTTGTACGAAGAGATAATTGTTAAGGAATCCATAGAATGTCCTAAACGCATGTATTCGTATATAAACTAAACTTGAGTACTGCATACAAGTGGCTAGCCTCTGTTTAAAAAAGACATTGAGCTTTTGGAAAAGGTTCAGAGAATAGCAACTAAGCTGATTCCCGGAATAGTGAAGCTCCCGTATGATGCTCGACTAGCTAAGCTAAACCTATTCCCATTGTCATATCGAAGAACCAGAGGTGACTTGATTACAGTTTTCAAATTACTTAGTCATAAATTTGCACCTGCTATGCCCTCATTTTTCTTCTCTTCCAAAATAGAGAATTTACGAGGACACTCCAAAAAGGTTCATAAGACCAGAACAAATTACTTGTCAGCTGACTATCGACTTTCCCATTGAATCATTAACGAGTGAAATTCATTATCTCAGCAAGTGGTTGAGGTTCCGTCCGTCGACTCTTTCAGAAAATTTTGGATCAATTGAAAGACCGTCATTGCCAGGACTAACACAGGCCATTAAGCCTCCTTTCCTTTCCAAACTGAAACTGAATTATTGAGGTTTATAATCAGCAATTAGTTATAACAGTTTGCCACAATATGGATCCAGTTTGAATAAAGCATGAGTCATGTGGTGACCTTTACCGAAGACTGCCTAAACTTCAAAATCTTTTGTAAACGCTTTCTTTTTCCATAAATTCTGTTTAATTAATCAGTATATTTAGTTTCCATCAACAGTATATTGGACAATTTCAATGGTTTGTATTTTTTTATTAATAACACCAGGGATTGTCATTATTCATTTGGTATAGTGATATCACAAAGTGAACATCGAAAATGAAGCGTGGTTATTATCCATCTGATGAGTCCCAAATAGGATAAAACACGCGTCTTGGATTCTATTCTCAGAAACAATCCACATTTATGTTTGCATTGATAACTTTCTGCATGTTGCAGTTAATCCCTTTTATTTGAAAAGCATTTTTGAGCTACTTGTAAGTAGTACAAATTAAAAGCATTAAAAGAAGGTATAGAAACGAGTTTAAGAAAAGTGGCAATGGTTATATGCTAAGAAGGTAAATATCGTTGAAAAAGTGTTAATTTTTACTATCAAGAAACTTACACGACAGTTTAAGCAGACTCCTCCACCTTCTAGAACACCATCTTTACGCATACTTAAACGAAGATTAGCGACTGTTTGATTATAAATACATTCATCTGCCTTTTGATTACAGTTACACTCTAAAACATAAGAAATATATAGATATCTAATCACAAAGTGGATTAATTCAGACGCTTAAACAAGCTGAACCAACATTTGATTCGGTTATAAAGAAAAAGAACTGATTTTTTTCAGATTTTCAAAAGAACAATTTTTTCAGTATGGGATTGTGAAAGTCGTTAAGTTTTTGATTGAGATCATGAATCAATCGATGTTAGACCAGGAGTGAAAAGCCGGAAACACTAGACGGTCGTTTCAACCTAGCATGGGACTCCTAAGCAGTGCGCAAACACGATACCGAAAGTTCTGGGTTCGAATCCCGCTTGTGGTCTCGTGTATGCGCACTGCTGAGGAGTCACATACTAGGTTGAAACAGCCGTACAGTGTTTCCGAGTTTTCACTACTGGTCTAACATCGATTGATTCATAACCCCAGTCTAAAAACTAATCTTTTAACGTTGAGTACCAACGTGAGGCTTTACTCAATTATCATTTGCAGTTTTATGGGTAACAAACTATTTCATACTTATATACGACATTAATAAAAGCAGTAGAAGGTGAAAAAGATACCTATATAATACATGTACTTCAATGATTCGCTTAACTTTAAAAAAATCAATTTACTTCCTTGTTTCCACTTGAAGCATAATTTTGAAAAGGATTCTATACTATCTGATTTTAACAAGCTAAATAATGAATAACACGAATAACAGTTACATTATCATTTACAAAAATTTCATGCACCATCAACAGGAAGAATTAGGATAAACTCAAAAGTACAGTAATAAACATACTTTTGTACAATTGATTAGACTTTCAAATATTGATGCTTGACCTATGCAAGGATCCATTTCATGTTGATGGATCCTTGACTAGTATTCAGTGTTGTTTCTGTCTTTTCATTCAGGACAATATTCCCAACTCAATAGTCCTGCTACTAATTGTGACATTTTATGATATAGGTCTAAATCCAATGGAACTAGGCATCTGTGGCCAAAGTTCTACTAGATATGAGCTATCATATAATGGCTAAGTTGCAAATCTAGCTTAGTGAATTTGCATTATTCGATGAACACTTTATATGAACATAGATGACCCTTAGATTTTGATTTGATTGTTGATAGAAAAAACACTAGTAAGGTTGTTTTATAAACCAGTCAGAAATTCCGGTATAAAAACTAAGATAGATCATGGAAAACTTATCAAAGACATCTGAGAACGAAGATTTATTCATAAATATGTTGAATGTCTTTAAGTATTGAACGATTTTATATCATTATTAGTATGAATTTGAATTATCCTTTTGCTAGTACCCTGGACTGGATTTTGATCAGTCTTTGTTGACACATGTAGATCTTGTGAGGATCCCCTAGACACTGATTTTGGATCCCAAATGTGAACATAAACACTTGGACATAGATACATCCATATGACAAACACGTTAGAGGATAAAACGAGCTTCCTGACTTTCACAGGTAACCACTATCCATTCATTTTAAATATCTAAACGTTTAATTTTAATTTTAATTTTTTTGTGATATTGAATGCATTATGTTCTAGTTAAGATTGTTCCTCACCATAATCCTAATCAGCTTTCAAGATGACTGATTAGGATAACGTAAATATATTCAAATATTAAATTGAACAACATAACTGTTGATTTTTACCTTCACATATTCTTCCTGGACGCCATGGTTGTTGATTGAACAATGGACAACACTTTTCACAATTGTTTCCGCATGTGTTATGTTGACAGTCACACACGGCTCGAGGTACACCCTGAGTGAAGAAGTAAACAGATACATAATTTAAAAAAACAATTTCAATAAAGGAATGATATTAACTGAACAACTCATATCATTATTAGTAAAGAATTAAACGACCAGGTTTTTAATATTCAAGATTGCATTTCAACCAAACTTTATTGATACAAGTACTTTCTGTGAAAATTGATTCGTTGTAGCCATTTTATCACGCGACTTATAGAATAGATAAATTGTGTTAAAGAAATGGACTCAATAGGTTAGAATATGGTTGACCGGAATTTGAAGTGAAAGATATTGGGTTTAAACTCCAATGTGAGCGTCAACAATGGGATAAATGTATATCAAGATGATCCCATACACATCATTTCATTGGAACTTCAGAATATCCATCTCGTTTTAAATTTATGAGTAAGGATTCGGCGAAAGAGCATCCATTAAACTGACTCCTAATACAAGTGATTGAATGTGAGCATTTTCATAGATTTAAGCTCAGTCATTTTTATTACATGAACTAAAATTATCAGTATAATTTTGGCGAAATAAATAGTAATTTAATATTCTATTTATTCGAATATTGCAGCTCATTATTTTGATCGATAACGCTGTTATTATATGTATATATATATAGGATACAGTGAACAGCTAGGATGCAGCTGGACGATCTAGACTTCGCAGATCATCTGGCCTTTCTATCTCATACGCAACAACAAATGCAGGAGAAGACGACCAGTGTAGCAGCAGTAGGTCTCAACATACACAAGGAGAAAGTCTGGATTCTCCGATACAACACAACATGCACCAATCCAATCACAATTGACGGAGAAGATTTGGAAGATGTAAAAACCTTTACATATATGGTGGATCTGATGCAGATGTGAAGGCGCGGATCGGCAAAGCAAGAGTAGCATATCTACAACTGAAGAACATCTGGAATTCAAAACAACTGTCAACTAACACCAAGGTCAGAATTTTCAATACAAAGCTGGAGAGTTACGAAAGCCATCATCCGGAAGATACAAGTGTTTATTAACAGTTGTCTACACAAATAACTTCGGATCCGTTGGCCAGAGACTATCAGCAACAACCTAATGTGGGAGAGAACAAACCAGATACCAGTGGAGGAAGAAATCAAGAAGAACTGGTGGAAGTAGATATGATACACATTGAGGTATATATATATATATATATATATATATATATATATATATATATATATATATATATATATATATATATATATATATATATATATATATATATATATACTAGTTCCCTTGTTGAAAGCACAAAGCTGATCGTGTCGAATTCCCAAATTCGCAATAGACTTACAAACTAGAGTTGAAACTTTACTTATAATCTAGCACTTATTAAATCATAAATCTTGATATAGTGAAAAATAACTTGAAATGAAAATAAATATCCCAGCTTTGACATCGTCAGCAAAAGTGGTAAGTGAATCGGAATTAAGGACCATATACCAGAATGCTTGTTGTAAGTGAGTCTTACAAATGATTAGCGATAACATAGTTTCATTGGACTAATCCCATTTCCTTGCCTCCAAGTTTATAAGGAAAAAATGAAATCAATAAAGTACATTCTCATCAGATTATTTCGTTCTTGTCAAACTTACATCAATTACTTTCTGTTCGCATCGACTGGCATGACTATTACACACACATTTTCCCCCAACTTTAATCGTTCGAATTGAGTAATAATACTGAAATGAAAAGAAAATAATAAACAAGCAAAATTTGAAGTGCATAATCTGACGAATAAGAGTAAAGTTATGTTTGAAATCATCATCCCATATACATAGGTATTCAGATTTATTTTAATATATTTGCTAACTTACTTTAGCGTACTTATGAGTAGTATAATGATTAAAAAAAGTTAGACAACCGTTGAAAACCAAGAATTTTTGGTTAGCTGTTTCGTGCTAATATGAAACAGCAGCTTCATCAATAAATGAGTGATAGGTTTGAAGCTATCACGAGTTCATTTAATCTGCGAACGAGAACAAGACTCTGTGACCAAAGACCAATAAGCTAGCTATTGATGCGTCCCAGCCCCTCTAACTAGAGGGAGAAGTCCAAGCTTGGAATGGGAAGTATATTCTGCAAACAGCCAGAAACAAACCATAACAACAAACACAATTCAAGACGTATATATACAGTACAAAACCGTCTCTGATGAGAGTTACCAAATAGCATACTAAAAGACTCAACGGACCAATAGCGTTTAAGATATTTCCCAATGGGAAATACGACATGAAGGTGACAAGAGCGCCTTTGGCGTCAAAACAAAGCAATTCAAATTTTCTAAATAAAATTACAAAATGAGGTCCTTTCCCAAGTGAATTCTGGGGATCTGACGTCCTAAACAATAAGCTATTAGCCTTCAGTTATTGTTCTCAATAATGAAAATGTGTTTTCGTTTTTTATTTCCTAGTATCATGTTAATTAACTGACTGTGATATATACCTATCTTATTGTCAATAACGTTTTTAAATTGTCTGAATATCAGCGGAAGAAAATACCAAGAGTTCAGTATATTCTATAAACTTGGATAAACATCAACATATAATTCAAGCAATTAATCAACCAATGATTATTAGCAAAGTAAAGACGTTCCTCAAAAAAACAAAAACTTAAAAAGCTTTAGTTTTTTTTGTCAAATAATTTAATAGTAATTTCAATACTTTATATAAATGAAATTAAGATGGAATTACTACTTTCCATTGACTTTTAATAACAGAATTCATAATCATAAATCAGTTTATATTTGGAACCAAATTGTTTATTTAACTATTTACCGATTATTATTATTATTATTATTATTATTATTATTAGTAGTAGTAGTAGTAGTAGTAGTAGTACCAGCACCAGTAGTACTGGATAAACGTTAACTGCAAAATGTTTACAACCATATTTATTTGACCTGATTATATATATATATTTATCTCAATTCTTAAACATCCGGTCAATTTCATTATACTAATGATGATCCTAATAACACATTGATGGTATATTTTTATAACCAGCCAATTTATGTATGACATGAAATGTTATTTGAATACATAATCATCTATTCTCTAAATGAGAATTACATTCGTCTATTATTATTACCTATATAACTATACTAATACTTAGACTAATAGTATATATTTATGTAATATCTGATGTGGTAACTTGTCTCAGTTCATAATATTACAAATAATTGTTATTATTGCCAAATCTTAAAATATAAAAATTTAGGGACAATATAAACAATCATTATGGTTAATTGAATATTATCTATCCAATAGTTTATTGTATAATTATGATATAATAAAAGGTTAAATATCATTGAATATGTATATATATATATATATATATATATATTCATTTTTTGAAAAATAAATTATGTCAATAGTTAAGATCATGAGTCAATTGAAGCTAGATTACTATGAAAAACGTGGATTCACTGGACGGCCATTTCGTCCTATTGTGAAACTCTTTAACAGAGTGCACATCCACGATCCTGCCTTGCAAGATTCGAACCAAGGACCTATCGGTCTCGCATGCAAGAATGCTTAAACTAATATTAATACTACTACTAATAATAATAATCCATCATTTTAATCAATACTATCATGAGTAGAATAATGTGAATTATAAGAGGGAGAGAATATATATATATATATATATATATATATATATATATATATATATATATTGACTCTTCAATAGTGTTCATCTACGATCCACAATTCGAATCCAGGACCTATCGGTCTCGCACACGTGAATGCTTAAACGTTAGACCACTGAGTTGACCGACATCCAATGATGTTAATGTCTAACTTCAACTAATCCATGAAATTGAATGATATAACTATTGAAATTACTATAATCTATCCACAAAAACTCTTTCTGATACAAATAAATTATTATTAATTTTATATTATAAATAAAACCGGCGGCCTGCTTGAATATCTGGGCTACCTGTTCCTCCGATCTAGATATTTCATCAAGTTATCTGTTTTGTTGTTTGTTTTAGCACATCACTATGTCTATTGTGCACACAATCTATTCAGGCGCGTTTATGAAAAGTTTACAACCTTTCGCTATACAGGATACAAAATGGTACAATCAGCAACATCATGGTGGCCGGCAATACGCATTGAAACGAATGAACATTAATCAAATATGGATTACCGAACTCCTAACATCTAACTGGTCATCATTCAAAATTTGTCGTCACAATCGATAAAGGTATAAGAAAAGGAAACTTGTTGAAATACTGTATGCTGAGAATTCTATGTTGTACCAAAAATATAATGTTGAATAAAGCTTCTAATAATAATATATAATTAATTTGATTAAAATTAACTAATAATAAGAATATGAATACTACTACCACTACTACTTATAATAATAATAATAATCCATCGTTTCAATCAATGTGAATTATAAGGGAGAAAATAAATACATTCAATCTACATTGACAATTGAATCTTATTTGAATTGTACAATGTAATTCATAACATCATAATAAACATTGAATATGTACTTTTGTATGTTTATATATATGGATAATTGTATGGTGTAGAGAGATTAAGATTAATAATAATATGAACACCCTATTAGTATTGATTTATACATCAATGATATACCGTTACACACATAGAAAGAGTGTGTGTGTGTGTGTGTGTTTTATTTCTAGACAATATGAAAATAAATCATGAAAATGTTTTGGTGTTGTTGTTGTGGTGGTGGTGGTGGTTGTGGTTGTTGTGGTTGCGGTTGTTTAAACTATTGTCATGTTGAGAAAAAAAGGAAGAAAATAGTGAAATTATTTTCACAATAATTAAGTTTTGAGATATATATATATGTGTAGTTATATGTAAATAGGAATGATATATAAGACTTTCAATTCGATCTTGTTTTAATATTTATGTATAATAATAATAATAATACTATTTCAATGGTTGGGATCATGAGTCAATTGAAGTTAGACCACCATGAAAAACCTGGAATCACTGAACAGCCGTTTCGTCCCATTGTGGGACTTCACCGTGATAGTGTTCATTTACAATCCCGCCTCACGAGATCCGAACCTAGGACCTATCAGTCTCGCGAATAAGCGGTTAAACACTAGACCTCTGAGCCGGCCGGCATTCAACGGTGTTAATGTCTAACTATTCTTGACTTTATGATTCTGCGTATTCGATATATGATATCAAGTCATTATCATAACGGTACTATTAAAGAAAAGTTGGAAATCATTAGATTCTATCCAATTTTATAGGCCGATACATTGATCTTAATAAACAAAAGGAAAACTTAATACAGTTATCTTTTTGTTAATAATGTACTTCAAACTTTTCAGATTACTATTTAATGAAGAAGTATTAAAGGTCCTTCATTTAACTCTATTCATCAGATTGTTAGATAAAGACAAATTTGACATATATATATAGTAATTTATTAGTACGATATATACGTTAATTAGGAATTAAAACGCATAGTTTATATCATGTGAACATAGTAAATACTACTTAGATCAACTTAAGTATAAATCTTGACTGTGTTTTTTTATTTATTTCATATCATAACATCAAAATAACCGGAAAAAAGACAAAATGGCTAATAGTAAATATGTGCTTAAGACTCAACACACAATAGTAAGGTTATTTCCAAATATAAACTGAAAGCGATGTTGAACTGTCATGAGTTGAGTTAATTTGAAGTTATTAGAATTTGAAATGTATTGGTTTATATATCAAACGTAGATCATGTTTACAAACTCCTCTGGAATTGAAGAAGAAGAAGAAGAAGGAAATGCTGTTTGCAACTATGCACTTCATAAATTGTGCTCACATTTTATTACAATCTCTTGATATCTTCTAGTTTATTATCTCTTTGGTCAATAGTCTTTCTACCACTGAAGTCATTCCATTTATTTAAGTCAACTCATTTATAGTCAATTAATATTATAACATTTTAAATAATCTAGTCTATTTTTCTAATACAAGTAGAGATAGATGGTGGATAGTAATGGGATTGAAGATGCACGCTTCGTTCTATTTGAGACATATTCACTAGATATTTGCGACAGAATGTTAATATGGAAACAATTCATATAGGATATACCAATGACAAAAAGAGACTGATGATTATTCGCTGTCCTAAACATCAACTGGACGATTCCAACAACCAATAAATATACAAAATCATAAGAATTTAAAGTCAGGATCTAAACTTTGAGTCTTCGAAAAAAAGAAGGGGGAGAAAAGTCGAAATCCGATTGATTTACTCATTATAGATGACTTCCATTTTGATTCAATATGATGGTTACTCAATGTAGTATTTGTTACTGTGATCGCATATGATATTTTATTCTGTATAACATATGTTATTGTTGTATTAAATTGACATGATCTATGCTCAGTATATGATCTGTTATAACTGAGTATGTTTTATATAAGTGATTTCATCCTAAGTATTAATCAAAGTGTGTGTACAACCATCATATAAATGAGTGTATTATTGACTAGGGTCGTCGTCGTGTTTTGGTGGTTAATAAATCTTCATTTATACCAGTCTTTGTGTTCTTACTTTCGCGTCGTGGGAATTGCGGAGGTCCCTCGTTCCGAGTATAAGTGATAAGCAATTCCGACATAACAATCAGAGACGACCAGATATAAAAATTAGCGTTAAAAGAGTCAAGACAATCAGCATTCAATTCACTAGTTATAACAAATAGTTTGTTTATATCAAAACTTTTACCTAATCTGTCATCACAAAATTAATATCATATATATCTTAATTAATTTCACTGATAAACATTTAGACTTGACAATCATCAAATACATCTCGGCTTATAATCATATAATACAAATCGAAAATAGTATAGATGAATGAAAAGCGATCGATTATTTGGTTAATTGAATTAAACTACCCAGTAATTGTACCTAATACTTTTTAATAACTATGTCATCTAAACAAGGTTTATGTATAAATGGGTAGTTAGGATAATGTCAAGTATAAAACTGATTGAAAACTTAGAGAAAAAGCATTATACTATGCTAACTAGTATAATAAGAAAACATTTATCATAAATGAATCTAATTAGAAACTCACAGTGATTTTTCTCAGCTTTGATTTATTTTATTAGTTTAGATAACTTTTGTTTTGTTGAACCATAGAATGTATGGAACTTGAAAAAGATCCTATATAAAATATTTTTTATTTGTTGAGATTATGAACCGATTGATGTTAGAACACCATTAGACAGCTGTTTCGTCCTATTATGGAACTCCTCAGCAGTGCATATATACGAACCCGCTCGAGGGATTTTTTAAACTTTCCCCGTTATCCATCAGAAGTCAATTTAAACAACGTATAGACATGAGAACCATTAACTTATACTACAAACAAGAACTTCTTGCAAAAAAATACCTTACTAATGACCATTCATTTGTTATTCAGTGATAGCAATACCAGTTATTCACGAATATGGAAAACAGAGAATAACAAAAACTGAGGAATGAAGTGGGAAGAAATAATTTTACACTCATACCCTATTATAAACTGAACTGTCTAATTGATTTGGCATAGCCATCCAATCACCAGAAAGTGTTTGTAATTGTTGAAAACGTAATCGTACAAATCGTGCAGACAAGAAATCCTGGATAAATAAAAGGAGTTAAAATTGAGAGAAAAAAGACAAAGTGAGAATGATTTTAGGGGAATACAATTTCAAAAAGAAAAGAAAAACAAATTACAGGAGCATAATAGTTTTGATAGCTGGTTAGATAATTTACTCATTTTTTTAACGGGGTGATGGGTAAACTGTAGTTCTATTGCTATGTGAAGTTAAACTATCTCATTGTTATAGTCATTTGTAATTAGTTGTTACAAGAACCATCATTTGGATTATCTTCTGTTACGACCAAACAACGCCCAGGACAGGGTTGGATGGAGAATGCTGGTGAGCGGCCTATGCTCCTTCACGAGGAGTAACAGGCTTAAGTAAGTAAGTAAGTAAGTAACGATCAAACAACAAAATGAAAAATAGTAAACTTGAAAAGTTGTACAACTGGATGATCATTCAATAGTGAACAATATCATGTTTATCTAGTTCTTTACCGCTTAAGGAACTTTATCAATCGCGTTGCAATGTGGCTTCTGGTTTGAATGACGCGATATCATGTGCACTATGTTGAGCTGTTGTGATGCTAAACGATTAGAGACAGTTGAAATGAAACCGTACTTGACCTAGGCTTCATGTGAATGGTCACTTGTCAGTAATATATACCTATAATTTTCAGGGTACCATATCCTCTTTCTGAAATTTAAACACGTAGTGACTTACATCAGTTAGCTTTCGCTGGGATAAAAGGATAAAAGAGGAAATATCAAATTTAGGTAGCTATTGTCTAGTGAAATAGTTGACATGTTTTTTTATAATTATCTAAAAACTTGTTATTTATTATAATTTTATCATAATCATAAGTGTAAAATGTATTAAGATCAGTCAAGTGTTCCACTATCTTCTACTAATTACAAACTGTTGTCATTTAACTATGAATTTGTTATTCAATTTTGCATCACAAATGTCCTATCTATGTGCATCTAGTGAGACTGGTCAAATATTAGTTCATTCTGGTCTTATATATTTTACTTATCTAATGATAAAAAGTGTTTATTACTAATCATCTGAACTCCGCCTGGAGTCCCTCTGGGGGCTACTGCCGGTCCCAAGCCCGGATAAATGAGGAGGGTTGGGCATGGAGTTAGCGACCCCATCCCGTAGAAAACTAACTCGCTAAAAAAACGCTAACCAGAAAAAACTACTCATCTGACTTCTTGATATTGTTCTTAAAGGATAACAGTAATGGGAACTTGTATTGTTAACTGATTATATGACAAATACAGAAATGAAGTTAGAGAATTTATTGCGAATGATGTGATCAAAACAAAAACACTTTCAAACTATGTATGTCTGATGATAATTATTATATATTACATAACATTATAAACTACGCTATAATTATTGATATTACGTATGAAAGTCTCTAATTCATAGAAATATTTGTTAAATTGTGTATAAAATATACAGTCGTAACCATGATTACTACGTAGTTATATAGCAGATTTTAAAATAATAAGTAATAATCAATTCATAAGTCAAACAACAAAATCATTCATCTATACTTACAATTAACTTTGATGATATAGGACTTTCAAGACCCGATTCAGTAGATATGGTACTTTCACGATCTAATGTTAAAGTTACAATAATTTCACCTGATTGTAATGCTTGAGGTTGACTGTAAAATGTTGTACAGTAAACCTTAAAAGATTTTAAAAAAACGTATAATTTATTTATTCATAGTTTTTTTAACGATATTTCAGTTAGTCAGCTAATTAAAATCAATCTACAACCTGGTAAGTATCTGGATCCATTCAAGATATCTTATTAAATGAACGTAAATAGATGACATGATCAGTACAAATACTAAAGGAGTAAAAACGGTAACGCCCCCAAATGCCCAAGGACTGCATCTCCTAAAGTTGCTCCACTGCCTTGTGAATTAGACCTTTAGGTCGAAGTCTCCGAGTGTGGCCTCCTAAGAAATCCACCTAATTCGGTCTGGGCACCTAGGCAGTATCACAGCCCACACACAAATCAAGTGACTTGTGTGAAGCATATGTATTTGGTGCCTCTTTGTACCAATATTTATGTGTTCAACTAAATAATGAAGAAAGAAAAGATAACAGTATCCAAGGTAGTAGAGAATATTACGCATAAACAATCGAATTTAAAATCAAAGTATCATGAAAGGCTGTGAGTATATTATGAAAGTACTTAATGGCCGTTTCGTCATAGTATGAGACGCCTCAATAATGAGCATTCATGAGATTGAATTCACCAACCGAACTCAGGTTCTTCAGTCGTGCATCTGAAAGCTTAATCTCTGGACTACTGGGTCAGTATTCAATAGAAAATACACGTTTCTAATAATAACGAATGGCAAACTATTTCATTTAAATACGCTCTAATGAATGGAAACCATCGGTATTTCGAAGTCACTTTTTATAACTCTTGTAAGAGATTTATTTTGAAAAGGTGACAACTAAATAATGGATAAGAAATAAATGAGCTTGACAGAAATCGAGATTAAACCTCCAAAGCTATATATTTTTCACTGACAGAAATTTAAGACTACATGATGTACACAAGATTTGGTAGATATTCCTTAAAGCTAATTTAAAACATGAGTTGAGAATGTTAGCAAAACCATAGAACAGTCTATAAACATAATACTAACTTCATCATCACCCAAATGCCATGGTCTTGGTCCACTTGTAATAGTTAGTGGTCGATCGATTAACGGTTCGTATAACTTCTTACAGTCATATTCAGTTTTAGCGAAAAATACCCATGGATGATATACTTCACCATCTACTGAACGTTCTAGGATCCAATTAGCTGGCCGAGGACTATCACCCATACGTAGAAGAACATAGACTATTTGATATACCTTTAAAAATTCACAGAAAAAATGAGATTCAACTTTATACATCTGATAATATGCAATAAACTAATATTTCACAACCCTAACTTTGGATTTATCTAAAGTTTTCCTTGAATTAAGTATTCCGTATATACTATCTGGTCCTAGTCGATTATTGGATTAGTTATAGCATGATCACTAAGTTGAATGACTTGACATTATATAGCATTGTTCTTTAATTCTAGCCAAATAATGGTGTACTGGTAAAAACCTGAAAAGATATATTGTTTCAACAATGATTTTAATTCATACCATTAATTAATCCAGTTAAGCTCAGATCATTGTGGTCACTACATTTAATGATCATCTTCACTGATAAGAGCCATTAATGAGGATGTTTAAATCAATCAGGAATTTCTAACTTCAGTCGTTTAATACAACGGAACATATAATAGTATTCTCCTACACAGACTGATTGTTTTAATCAGGTGATTTTTATTCATGCAAACAAAACAAAAATGTTGAAAGCTTATTGATGAGTAAACTTTTTAACTCTACTGATTCGAAATGAATTAGTGAACCTCTTGTTTATTTAAAACAGATTCCAAAAATATGTAAATATTGTTTGAGCTCTAACCCGACTTTACTTATTACTTGGAGATTTTCAATACTAAATACCCAAAATTTACAAAAACTTTAAACATTGAAGTTTAGCAAGTAATATTTTCTGTTCTTTCGTTAACCGTATTTCATAGTGAGTCTTTAATAGTCCTCAGTAAGCTAATATTTTATACTTAAGTATGTGTCAGAAATATCAACTGAATATTTAGGCAAAATTAGATGACCCAGGATTCTAAATTGTGGTCTAACGTTTATAAATTGTGTTTCAAATTAATTAACGACTGTTCTATTTAATGTATTACAGTAGTTTCAATGGTTAAGATCATAAGTCAGTTGAAGCTAGACCACAATAGAAAACCTGGAAGCACCGGACGGCCGTTTCGTCCTATTGTGGGACTCTTCCACAAAACCCGTCTGATATTAGTCAACATATGCTCACTAGTGACTGGCTTCAAGAGGTATATCGTGGAGTTCTAGTGAGAAGTAGTAACCAGTGGAGTTCAACCAGGTCTGTTGTGAGGTAGTAACTCACTGAAGACAATCGCGGATGTGTCGCCCAATTTCGTGGATTAGTTGAAGTTAGACATTAATTTGATTTTATCTTGTAGCAGTTGGCTACCGTATATATATATATGGATAAATGATTATTTCCAGAATCTAAAGGAAGATTACTTCAGATAATTTATTCTATTCACAAATGCTTTACTGAACTTTTCAGCTGGCTGGCAATATATTATATATTCTCATTGTCTTAGAAAAGCCTTGCTGACTGAAAAGTATATGGTGTGAGCATTTTAAATCTGCTCATATAGCCTGCTTACTGATAACTATTAGTAATGTGTATCATACTAAATAAACAGAAAACCCTTCAATAAAACATTAGCACATACAAGAAACACATACCGTTTCTTAGAAAAATAATATTTGCCAAAAATGGGCTGAATATTTTTTTAAAATTTTCATCACAATTGAGCTGGATCTTAGTTTGAAAAACAATTTATAATGCACACAAATCCATGGTTTATCTGTTAGTGTATGAAATGGAAGCTGGAACGTTTAAGCCTTTTCACTCTTTCTCTCTTTCCTCCTTTCTTTACTTTCTTATGCGACAAATAAAATGTTCGTTAAATTTCTCTACAAATTCGTCCATTTGTCGCTGATTGATGTAAACATGCTTGTAGGCATGATCACATAGAAGTAAACATTATTTTAATAATTCTGTTGACCGATTCAGAAATTAATAAAAGTACAAATGTTTAGTTGGTTATATTTACCGACAATAACCTGTAATATAATTTTCACATCCATTACAATTGAGATTGTATATTGAAACAGAAATGAGAGAGAATGTGTGTGCTCACGCGAAAAATGAAGTGGTTTAATTTAATGATGATACTGAATGCTGGGAGATGACTTACAAAAACGTTTTGGCTTTTGTTTTATCTCAAATTTATTTCGCTAACTTAAACTAATACTTTATTATGCTTTGCAAATAAATCTAAACTGATTAATCCACGCTGAAAAATAGTTCGGAGTATGGAATGTTAAATAGAAGTCGAAACGTAGAGCTGCTGGAAAACATTACTAACACCGATGGATGATTTTGATAAAGGTTCGTTTGTTGAGCTGGGTGAAGTTTAATTGCGTGTCTTACGATCGAGATCATAAAACTATTAGTGTTATGCTACCAGTAAATAACTGGAAGCGCTGAACGGCTGTTTTGTTCTAGTACAAGATCGCCGTCAGTGCACGCTGGATTCGAACTCAGGACCTTCAGTCTTGTTCGCCAACGCCGAACCTGTAAACCACTGAGTCGACACCCAACGGTGTATCTTTAAGTGCGCCTCTAGAAAACTCTATAAAAAACACATAGGATTGAGTCATTAAAATTTCACCTCATATGACTGACAGCTTCTTCGGTCGATGTAATCAAGATCAAAGTCAATCAAGCAAGCTATTGCTCATATGTGATGAAATCTAAACTACTCACTTCCATCTGTAACTTTTCTTGATGATGTTGTTTCTATGAGAAAGTGAATATTTTCTTCTTTTATTAACCATTGACCGCAATATTTAGGTCTATTAATTTTCCGCCAACTACTGAAATAGTATATATTATGATGGATAATAGCTTCTAAATGTCAGCAATTTTATTTCGAAATTGTTCTTAAACCATATACTTACCTGACGAAAGTCCATAGTGATTGTAACCGCATGGTATTGTAAACCTTGTGCCAAAGATGGGCTTTGCCACCACAAATTGGCCTCACCACTGAGAACGTATTCAATTGGATGCCGTAAATTAGGATCTCTATCATCACAATAACCACATTGCACCCATTGCCCACTTGGGTCACGATAAGACTTGGCTTCCTGGCTGTAAGTCAAAACTTCCCTTGGTGTTCGGTGTAGGCTTAAGCATTAAAATTATAAAACTTATTTATTAGCAAGCATGAAATCACTAGAAGCTATAAAATTTTTAACAGAAGATGTAATATCGCATGTGTTTTGCGAGAATAAACGTTGGCCACTTGGTGAACACTTATCCAATATTGTACGAATCCCAGTTTCATAATTGTGATTAAGCTGCTGAAGAAACATCCACCAGAATGATCTTCCTACAATTTAATAGTCTTTAACCGACTTAACTGTGAAATGTAATGTTATACTAATTTCGAATAGGATACATGAATAAACTATCGACCTTTAGTTGTTTTGAGTGGTATTAGGCCTCCGACTGAAAATAAAAACCAAATAGTACTAACACGTAAGTCCTTTTGAGGCCCATTTTAGGGAACTTTTCCCTTTTGCTTGAGAGATTAGTAATGAAAACTACTAAAAGCTTATTTTTACTCATAAACTGTTATCCACATCTACGTTTTGCATCCACAACTTGATGTAAAACTAATTAGAAAAGTTTGTTAAAACAGAAAAAAGTAAAGTTACATCTTTCAAAAGAGTTCTATTCGGTAGCTATAAGCCAACTGCATAAAGACAACCTATAAGACACAAAAAATTACTATTTAAATGTTTGACAAGCGTTCAAGATGTACTGATAGAACCTACTTAAGAAATAACACATGGATATCATGTTTAATATTAAAAAATTCCAAACAACCAGCCGCCAAGAATTTCTATCTGACATCATTACATATCATATTGAATCAGTTGTACAAAACCTGTCATCCAGTTCAAGAGTGAACAAGTTGAAGTCACCATATTTTCTGGCATTATACCCCATCCTGATCTGCAATTGATAAACTTTTACAGTTGAAGCGTATGTTCAGTAACACAACACAGAGAGATAAGTGATGTCTTAAAACTTGCCGACTGAAATCAATACTTGTGTAAATGAACTTATGGGTACTGAGAAACATCTGTCAAATAATTATCCTCAAAAGTTAAAATTGCTTTGTGAACAGAATTTTAAACTTTTTTAAAACAACCTTGTCAGATTAACTGATAGTTACTTACAAATGCTAAAACATGGCAGTATGTTACTTAATTCTAAAAAGTAGGGAAGACAAATTTATCAAGCAATTCAAGAAAGAAAACAGGTTTTATTTCACAAAACGATCTTACCGACCATCGTATGTGATAAAGCCATCAGCATGCTCAACAAGCCGGCAGAAATATTCTTTACGGTTTATACCACATGTGGCATTTGCTGTAATTATAGCGTTCTCTTCCAAAATCGAATCAGGATCCATATCCAGGAAATCTGCTTCATATGGATAACCTGTAAGCAACAAGTTATACAACATCGAGAAAGCTACCATCATATCTCTGCAAAATCGCTACATTTGCACCAAAAATAATAAGCAATAAGACTGATAAGGTCATTCTCATGATTTCTAGTCTTGCTGAAGATACATCGTTAACAAAAAATATTTTCAAAAAAACGCTTATTATATTAAATTATGTGTGATGTAGTAAAACGAAGATGTAGAGCGCTCAAGTTTCGGTTTTTGAAGGTTAAAAAATTGATTGCTTTAAATCAACTAGCCATTGATTTCCCATATCTATAAAATCCACTCCTTTGTTTTTGAGACTCAGTTTCTGTCCACTCGAGTAGAAACCTAATTAAGTGGAGAAAATAACATCTGTTTAACAAATTAGTGGGAAATATCATGCCGACCCCCTGTGAAAAACCATTTATTAGGTTAAAATGACCACAGAACCTTTTGATGGAAAATGGTTTGAATAATTCGCTCGTGTTCGCATGGTCAGTAGATTCAGATGAGTCTTCCACGTTAGCCTCTGCCAAAAATACAATGGAACAACACTGGACTCTAGATAGTTGATAATTAAATGAAATCTGATGTGCGATAATTCGTTCTGGTCGCTTAACCCTTTAGGAAAGATACAATTTTCTCATAACTAACTAATAAGGAAATGAAAATACTCCTCATAGTATCATGAGTAGCAGTAAATAAATCCTAAAATTCATTAGCTCTGTATGCTTTCGATATTCGATGTTGATCAAATTAGTTTTACTGAACTGATATAGCTGAAAGCGTCCGGTCATACGTACGCACAAGCCATCAGTGGGTACGCCGTACTCCAAATCTCTTACAACCGCTAGCCAGCTTAGATTAGTCACTTCTCCATATATCGATATTTCACCACATATGAATTCGAACCCTTTCGCTTATGGCTGTTGATATGATTAGGTTGTCACATTTCAATTACAGAAGGTGTTACTGGTTAGGGTGTTGTCAAACTCCGAATACTAATGGTGTTTTTACATGTATTTACTTGTACTTAGACCCAACTTTAGAATCCATGAAAAGTCCGTTTTAGTGTCTTTCTTTGAAAAGGAGCAACCTTATTGAAACTAACTGCCCTGATATCGTTATATTAGAAATACGAGGTGACGCTTTCTCATTCTGGCAATACGTGGAATGTAATCGGTAAACAATAAAATAAAGTCTGAATATTGTGATTTGCCATTATGATCCTTGTACCATGATGAGACCAGCGAAATCCCTAGAAATTTTTGTCATCAGACCACAATTTCATGCAATGGAAAACCATAATCTCGTGACTAAGTGTACCCCGATGAAACTACTACATTCCGTCATATGGCCTTCAACAGTGATATGAAAAACTTTGACAGCTTTTATTCCCTATCAGCTAATTAGAGATATATGTTATTGATTTATCAGATCCACGCCGTGAGACAAGCATGGAAGATTCTAGGATTATTTCCACACCAGTATTATAAATGATGAATTTTTTCTCAAAAAGGGCCCAGAGCTACTTATCGCTTGGCGCACATCACTAACCACTATCAAACGTCAAGATTACAGATTCCCTATCCATAAATGTGTGTAGCGAGCACTCAAAGAAGTAGGACGTTTCAAAAACAAAGACAGACGTCTCATTTTCTCAACGAAACACTGCTCTTAACAAATCTGAATAATAAGTTTCACGGGGTTAGAATCTATATCAAAGTCGTTTAACTCACTGAAACTATCGATAGTGTTCAACTAAACTCGGTCGCTAAGGGACACTCACTACTACCCTAAAAAGTCAAGAGTATCGCGCAATCGACTGCCTACTACTAGCGGTCTGCATCTACGGAGCCTGTTACACACCAACTGGTTAGGAATATAGTGATCTACTTTTATCGAGAGAACGCGATTGGTTTAATGGAAACAACTTTATAACCAATTGTACCAGTGATTGTTTTACTGTTCTTGTTTGTTTTATTGTACTTAAGACTTTCTTCCAACCGTTACTAATACTGGTCAGCATTGTGCGTCACGATAATCGGTGTTCAGACATACGTAACATGTGGACCAACCATCTCAGTCGATGAAAATTCACAACCTCACTAACTGATTTACCGTCATACCCTAATACACTGCATCTAACCTCACTATTACTTACCCCGTGATCCCAGCAGACGCCAGCAATATTTCTAAGGCGTATGTGGTCAAGTACTAGTAGCTTGTAATGGCATTGGACCATAACCACACAATCTTCAAAGCTGAACATAAGACTACTCAGAAAATAGATATTCAATATCTAACGCGGAGAAATACCCAACGATGGAGAAGGCGCGAATAAGGGGTTGAAACTACTGGGGTTCATCGAGTGGCATGGCTCGGTCATGCAGGCGTGGTCTCTGCTGAATGTTACCTTATACCTTCTATTCATATTAAATATATTGTTCTTTCTCTAGCCTAACCTTGTTCTACATCATGTATTGGTAATTGATACTATACAGTGAGTTGGTGTAGTCGATGGTGTGACGTCCACGTAAGATCTCATAGATTAGGCAGTTATATCATGACAAATCTACAAATTTAGGATTAGGTCTATTATTAGAGCAGTACTAATATCATAGTAGACCTTAATTCTACAAGCTTACGAATATCTTCTACTCCTAATGGCAACGTTCCGCAGCCGTAAATGAAAAAAAACACAACGGGCTGCCGCACAGTATACTCGTCGATTTATTGATAGACGAATATCTCGCCTTCGCCACAGGTGACGTAAGTTGACAAAAGCCAAACGAGCTTTTCGAATCTGTGCTGAGATTTCGTCAGACACCAACCCATCACGGCTGATCACACTTCCAAGATAAGTGAAGTTGTCAACGCGTTCGACTACTTCACTCCCTATCCTTAGTTCAGGCGTTGACGCAGACCAGTCCCGAAGCAACAACTTGCATTTCGAGGGAGAGAAGCGCATTCAAAACATTCTGGCATTGTTGCTTAGTGCTACCAGAAGACTCTGCATTTTATCAGCGTCTTCACCAAACAGGACTATATCATCTGCGCATTCTAAGTCGATAAGTGGACCTCTTGGAAGGAGATCAATACCCGAGAATTCAGTCGATGAGAATGTCATTTCCATCAGTAGATTTATGATGAAGTTAAACAAAAATGGGGAAAGTGGACAGCCTTGATGGACACCACTTGAGGTTTCAAAAGCAGATGACAGTTCGCCATAAGCTCTCACTCGACTGGTAGTGTTTAAGTAAAGAGCCTTCACAAGGTTTATGTACTTCTGAGGTACGCCTTTCAATGACAGACACTGCCACAGAACCCCTCGGTCTACAGAGTCAAATGCGGCATTTATGTCAAGAAACACAACCATCATCGAACGACGACAAGCATCCCTGTGTTCTGGAACCTGACAAATGGTGAATATGTGGTCGATGCAGCCACGACCAGGTCTGAGGCCAGCCTGATTTTCACGTGTTTGCAGTTCACGAGTCTTAGTTGGGCGTCCGATATTAGATGATATATTAGTTAAACTAATCCCTCTATGGTTGTCACAGGATGATCTTGACCCTCTCTTATATATCGAGACAATAAGTTATTGCCGCCAGTCAGGTGGGATAACGTCTAAATCTCATATTTTAGCTAAAATATTAGTCAACCTAATCGCTAAAATTGGACCACCATCCATAAAGACCTCTGGGGCGAATCCATCTGGACCAGCTGCTCTTCCTCGTTTCAGATTAGCTATAGCCTTTTGAACTTCAGCGAGAGTTGGGGGACCTATTTTAATGCTCCATTCACACTGTCTGGGAATGGAGGGTAGTTGTAGAGTAGCTGAAGGCCAGCTGAACTGCTCCTTAAAATGCTCCACTCATCGATCTGGGATGAGAGCAGAAAAGAGTGTCGTCTTCTTTTGAGATGGTCTCACACAGAGAATTTCTTCAGCTATAAAGTGTAAAAAAACATACGATACACATAGATATATGTCATTTGACGTCTTATGAGATATACAGATCTAAAGACACACCTAATACCAAGTTAAGCTGATATTTAGACATGCTTCCGTTCTCAAGCACTTCAAATACACGATTGTGGTGGTCGGTATTCGGTATAATCCTTAAACTTGGTATACATTTCGTCTTGACAACCGTTCTATATAACGCCCCAACGGTATATTAATCAGAAGGCGAATACGAAGCTTTGATTACGTTTACTACGAAACCACACACATATATCCAAATGTACAGATGCGCTAAACAAGCATAGAAGAGTTGTGCCGAAAGGCAAGCAAGCGAACGAGAGCGAGAGGAAGAGCGAGACGAGAGTGTGTGTTGAATATGAATAACATGGACATATATATATAGTGAAATGAATGAGTAATCGAATCAAATAAGCGGTTAGTAGTAAGACTAGCAGAGTGAATAAATGCGTAGGCAGTAAGCAATATTCAGGCATACGTATTTCATACAAGCACAATAATAATAAGGGTACAATAAATTGTTATAGTGCGGATGACTTTGTCCGCTAAATAAGTTAGCAAAAGGGCTTAATTGAGTTAAATGAGAATAAACTCAATTGCACGTGACTCGCTATAAGATGACCGTCTTCGGACAAGCCTCTTAATGTCACTGAAACAAAAAGCGATAAATTTCATTTCAGGTCAGTTTTTATCATTTGTCAGTGGCCCAATCCTTAGTGAGCTACACTACGTTTCTTGTACCTACTCATGCCAAAATATTCCTGTAATAACGTTGTTTGTGTTGCACGGTCATCAAGGTGGCCAAAGTACCTGTATTCAGCGGTAGATAATTCATGTTTGGTATTACCCGTGTGGTATGAATTCAACGTCAGTCCCGTATTACTCGAGTAGACCCTCAATCGTCTACATTATTAATCCATACACTCTTGGGCATACCGAAAAATATTGAAGCTCAGTCTCGATTCAAATTTTAGGGGTAAAACTCTTAAGTTAGATGCAGAAAATAGAAGAATAGATCAAGCAGCTACATTCTATTTTTTATGAGCAGTCATTTTTTGTAATTTGCTACAGGATTACGTGATTCATACTGCTTCTAGAAGTACTTCGATAGGAAACTTGATACACTCATAAGAAATGAGGAAAGTATTTATTTGTAATTAGTTTTT